CCTGAAAGGGGACTCATGCTTACATATTCCAAAAAAACACTTTCAAAACGACAGAAAATATAATTTTTTTCCTCATTTTCATTGGAACAATTTTATTTTCAGAAATGCTAAAGCTATCTTTTTCTATGTATTCCTATATTACTTTCAGCAGCCCATGGTTGGGTGTGTGTAGAGTTCGCCTTTTATTTATGGTGGCCCCATGAATTTAATAGGGTTTTCTTTGAGAGGAAATACTCAAAAATAGTTTTGTCAGTTTCTTTCTCTGAAATAGAGCACCTGCTATTTATTTGTGGCTTCCCATCCAAATACTAACCAGAACTGGCCCTGCTTAGCATTCCGGGTCAGAGACATTTAATCTTTCATTGACTTTGCCAGGTATTATTCTTCTGTACAGTAGTCTCTGCGACCCCTGTGACCCAACCTGTACAGGCAGTCCCCAAGTTACAAACAAATTATGTAGTTTTGTTCTCACTGTAGGCTGAACAGTAAACATATTCATGGATTCCCTGCTGTTATGTTAAGACTGTTACCCATGCTGTGACATGCTTGAAATCAAAATTTCATTTGTTTGTAATTAGAAATAAACATTTCAAATGTATAATTACATATTTTTTTTGTGATTAATCACTATGCCTTATGTTCAGATTGTAACAATAAAAATACATCCTGCATATCAGATATTTACATTACGATTCATAACAGTAGCAAAATAAGACATGTGCAGTGTGCATAGAATTTGGTCATTTTTTTAAAAAAAAAACTATAGTCTGGCCCTCCAATGGTCAGAGGGACAGTAATCTGGCCCCCTGTTTAAAAAGTTTGGGGACCCCTGATATAAGCCATGGGAAACTTTTTGAAGAATAATTTAAACTAACATAATTTTAACACCATTTCAGTGGAAGATCCCAGGGGCCATCCAGTCCAACCCCCTTCTGCCATGTTGGAAAGGCACAATCAAAGCTACCTCTGAGTAGTGGGAGAAAAATAGGGCTTTGGAAGCCCCAAGGGATCCATGGAGCACACTTTGAGACCAGCTGCTGTAACCCATTCTGAAACTACTACTTCTTTGTGAAATTCACTTTATATTTCCTGGTCCCATCAAGGTTGATGTGGCATACAACGTCCCAGATCCGGTGGCCAAGCCATCCTTCCAGCTGCTGGTGAGCCTGCAGGAGCCACGACCAAAGAGGCACCGCCGCACGCCCTCGCAGCTGCGCGTACCCCGGGGTCCCCTCTTCCCCGCCGGGGAGAATGGCTCGGACCGGGTGCCCAGAGGAGACGATGACGACCCCGCAGCTGACCAGGACCACCAGGAGTACAAGGTGATTGTGGAGACCTGCATGAGGTGAGGCTCTGAAGGGCAGCTCTCCTCTCTCTCCAACCCATCCGACACAGGCAGAGTTTCCCGCCCTTTCCCCCCTTGTAGCTTTTGCAACTGGGAGTGGCATGAATACTATTTGAACTTTACAGATGTTCTTTTTTAAACAATGGCTTATTTAATGTTTTTTAATGAATTTGTTGATTTTTTTAAAAAAATATCTATTTTTCTTTTTTTCTTTTAAATTTTATTTATTAATTAAATTAAATAAACATCAAAAACATCTTTAATCATATTTCTTATCATTATTTTAAAATTTCCATTACAACTTATGCTACATATAACTCTATCACACACCTTTTATTCACTTATGCATATTGTATTTCTTTATAATTATTATTATACCGTTTTTTCCCCTCTTCCCCTTACCCTTAGTTTGTGCCCCCTCCACCAGGACCAACCAACTCATGTTGCTTCACCGTTCCAAAATATCATTGTTTCTCTTGCTGGCTTGTACCCCTTTCCCTCATTAAACACATACTCAATATATTTTCGTTGGTAGGGTTCAAAACACTCTTTGATTATAGGTGAACTATAAATCCCAGTAACTACAACTCCCAAATGTCAAGGTCTATTTTCCCCAACTCCATCTGTGTTCATATTTGGGCAAATGGAATATTCGTGCCATGTTTCCTCCAGATCCATCATTGTTTGAGTCCATAGTGCTCTCTGGATGTAGGTGAACTACAACTCCCAAACTCAAGGTCAATGCCCACCAAACCCTTCCAGTGTTTTCTGTTGGTCAGGGGAGTCCTGTGTGCCAAGTTTGGTTCAATTCCATCATTGATGGAGTTCAGAATGCTCTTTGATTTTAGGTGAACTATAAATCCCAGCAACAACTCCCAAATGACAAAAGCATAATTTTTTGAGTTGTGTTGCGAGATGTTTTGTTGTCAAATTTGATGTGATTTTGTTCACTGGTTCTTTTGTTTTTAAGGTACTCATTATACACAGAGCATTTATATATATATATAGATTTCTGCTGTTGTTGAAGTTGTAAATTGATTAGCTTGTTATCCAGCTAAAACATGGGATTCCATCAATTCTTGGACAGATGTAATGTAAGGAGCCATTGTGTTTGACTTCCTTAACTAAAGAGTCATTACCTTTGACTATGTAAACATGTTGTTTTCAACCCCAGTTCAACAGATCAGCAATTCCCATCAGCAGCCTTTTATCACAGTTCAGCAGTTCATGAATTCTTTTCATCCTTTTCGGTTTTCCAGGCTTCATTCTTCTTAGGATGGTGTCTTCAGTCTTAGCCAGACCCCAATCATAAGATTTTCATACAGTTCCATTCAATCCGCATCAGTGGCTGCTAATGGGAAGCAGGGGCCGCTGTCCAAATGGCAATAACTTCTCGAAGCTTTGCGCCTTTTAGAGTAGGAAACACTTTAGCAGCCCTTTGCAAAATAGGCACATGTACCCAAATGTGTCCTCTGCTCAATGACTCCCCTTTTCTCTCCCTGCCTTGTCGCCCTGCAAGATGGCTTCACTCTGGCTCGTCCAACATGGCTGTCCTGGAGGTGCCCCTGTTTTCGGGCTTCCAAGCTGATGTCGAGAGCCTGGAGCAGGTGAGGCCCTTTGGCCCATTGGCCTTCCAGCGAGTGCAAGGAGATCAGCCAGGCATCATCACCATCATAATAATTATCATCATCATTATTAATATCCACGTCCAAGTATGATTGCCTTATTAGGTTTATTTATACCCCGGACTCATAGCAGCCATGTATCTGTTATTAGTATTAGAATGTATTATTATTGTTATTATTATTATTATTATTATTATTATTATAATAGAGTGTATTATTACTTTCCTATTATGTTTATTATTATGACATTTATTATGTTTATTTATACTCCACTTTTTCTCTCCATAAGGAGACTCAAAGATAGAATCAAAGACAGATAGATAGTAATAATAATAATAATAATAATAATAATAATAATTATTATTATTATTATTATTATTATTATTATACCCTGTCTTTTCTCTCCACCAGGAGAGAAAAGACAGGGTATAATAATAATAATAATAATAATAATAATAATAATAATAATAATCTGTTTATGTTTATGAATGAATGAATGAATTGTTTATTGTACTAACCATAGGCCATGACATCAGTAATACACTAACTTTATAAACACTTTCCAATATAAACCTTAAAACGTAACAAGAATTAAAACTAAAACAAGTTCTTTAAAATTATGAAAGCAGAAACATGACAATAACTGTTTCTGCTTTGTGTCATTCCAAACCGTTTCCGTTTCTGACCCCCAGTATGGATTTTGCTACTTTGGCTCTGATCTTTTGGGCTGCGATTGCAAATGTGGCAACCTTTAGTGTTATATTTTTAGAATGATCTGCTAGCAAGTCGCAGATCACTGCAGATTGTTGCCATGATGCCCTTTCTTCCAAGAGTGATCCTAGGAGATTTTTCCTAGGGTCATTGTACAGGGGGCAACGTAGCAAATAGTGTGTTAGGTCTTCTATTTCCCCTGTGCCACAAAGTTTATGTTTATTATAATCCACTTTTTCTCTCCACAAGGAGACTCAAGGCAGCTATGTATCTTATATTAGTATTAGAATGCATTATTATTATTATTATTATTATTATTATTATTATTATTATGTTTACTTATACCCCCTTTTTCTCTCCACCAGGAGAGGCATTATAAAAACATTATTATTATGTTTATTTATACGCCACAAAGCAACTTCTCATGCTGCTTTTGCATGGGAAGAATGTGCAATCACGGCAGGACCTTGGACTCGAAGCAAAGCTCCTGCTTCGCATTGTTACACCTTTATTAATATTATTACCATATATACTCAAGTATATATGGGCCGACCAAGGGCAAGATGGATGGATGACATCCTTGAAGTGACTGGACTGACCTTGAAGGAGCTGGGGGTGGTGACGGCCGACAGGGAGCTCTGGCGTGGGCTGGTCCATGAGGTCACAAAGAGTCGGAGACGACTGAACGAATGAACAACATACTCAAGTATAAGCCAAAATTTTCAGCCCTTTTTTTAGGCTGAAAAGCCCCCCTTTGGCTTATACTCGAGTTATTTATTATTTTACTGGGTTATTCTCCATTGTGGTCAACTGTGAATTACCGCATATGGTAATTTCTGCACCTGAGCAGACAGCTTCGGAACCTTCTAGATTAAATTAGAAACATTTTTGGCAGTAACCCCGCCCACTCTCCCCTTGAGAGAAGTATGGGTTGCTGTTGTCATGCCTCAGTTTTTTGGCTGTTTTCGTGGTGAAGGAACTGGAGCAGTAGTCCCTCCCAGTGGATACATATACTCTCAAAGGGAGAGTGGGCGAAAGCAGCCAGAAAAACCGAGGCATGACAACAGCGGGGAGGATAGGTGGGGACGTTCAAATTCATAGCTGACCACTCAAAGAAATACATTACAGGTAAGCAACCCATACTTCTCCGTCGTGGTCAACTGTGAATTGCACATATGTGGATCAAAAGAACGAAGCAACGATAAGCAGTCCAGTCAGTGATTAGGGCAGTCCAATAGGCTAGTCAGAAGACGAAGGATCAAAAGAACTGGAGCAGTAGCCCCTCTCAGTAGCTACATATACTCTCAAGGGGAGAGTGGGCGGGGCTACCGCCAAAATGTTTCTAATTCCGTGATGGTGAACTTATGACACGCGTGTCAGCACTGACACGCATGGCTATTTTTGATGACACGCAGACACATGCAGCCACATACAGAGAAGTACACCTTATAAGAGCCAATCTAATTCCATCCTTAAATTTGTAAAAGGCTCTACAAATTTAACATCTGCACATTTGAGCATTGTTCACTCCATAACTCAGCATGGATTATATATTTTTCTTATTTGAACTATAAATATTGCAAAATTATGGTGTGTTTTTTTCTCTCGAAGTGACACCCCACCCAAGTTATGCTCAGGTTTTTGGGGAATTTTGACACACCAAGCTCAAAAGGTTGCCCATCACTGTTCTAATTCAATCTAGAACAGTGTTTCTCAACCTGGGGGTCGGGACCCCTAGAGGGGTCGCGAGGGGGTGTCAAAGGGGTCACCAAAGACCATCAGAAAACACAGTATATTCTGTTGCTCATGGGGGTTCTGTTTGACCAAATTGTATCATTGGTGGGGTTCAGAATGCTCTTTGATTGCAGGCGAACTATAAATCCCAGCAAGTACAACTCCCAAATGTCAAGGTCTATTTTCCCCAAACTCCACCAGTGTTCGGATTTGGGCATATTGAGAATTTGTGTCAAGTTTGGTCCAGATCCATCCTAGCTTGAGTCTCTGGATGTAGGTGAACTACAACTCCAAAACTCAAGGTCAATGCCCACCAAACTCTTCCAGTATTTTCTGTTGGTCATGGGAGTTAAATGAACTATAAATCCCAGCTACTACAACTCCCAAATGACAAAATCAATCCCCCCTGCCCAACCCCACCAGTATTCAAATGTGGGTGTATCGGGTATTGGTGCTATATTTGGTCCATCCTGCATATACATCCTGCATATCAGATATTTACATTATGATTCACAACAATAACAAAATGACAGTTGTGAAGTCGCAACAAAAATGTCGTGGTTGGGGGTCACCACAACATGAGGAACTACATTAAGGGGTCGCAGCATTAGGAAGGTCGAGAACCACTGATCTAGAAGGTTTCGAAGCTATCTGCTCAGGCGCAGAAATTACCATATGTGCGAATATACAGGTGACCACTTGGGGAAATACGGTTACTGGTAAACAACTCATATTTATTATTTTTATTACATTTATTATTTTACTCTATTTATTATTGTTATTCTTACATTTACATTATTTTACTCTATTATTGTTATTATTACGTTTATTAGTTCACTCTATTATTATTACATTTATTGTTTCACTCTATTATTATTACATTTATTGTTTCATTCTTTTATTATTAAATTTATTGTTTACATTTATTATTACATTATTTATTATTACATTTATTTGTTCTAATTATTATTATTATTACATTTATTGTTTTACTCCTTTTATTATTATTACATTTATTATTTCATTCTATTTATTACTATTACGTTTATTGGGTTGTTGTAGGTTTTTTCGGGCTGTATGGCCATGGTCTAGAGGCATTCTCTCCTGACGTTTCGCCTGCATCTATGGCAAGCATCCTCAGAGGTAGTGAGGTCTGTTGGAACTAGGAAAAAGGGGTTTATATATCTGTGGAATGGTCATACCATGGTCATACAGCCCGAAAAAACCTACAACAACCCAGTGATTTCGGCCATGAAAGCCTTCAACAATACATTATGTTTATTGTTTTATTTTACTTTATTATTATTATGTTTATTATGTTTACTCTATTTATTATTATTATTACATTTATTATATTACTCTATTGTTATGGTATTTATTACATTTATTTATACCCCGCTTTATCTCCCAAAAGGGACTCAAAGTGGCTAAGGACACAAAATCTCTAAGATCTTGTGCTTTCAGCAAGAAGCGCATATTCTAATAAGCAAATTGAGCCTTGGCCGGGGAACCCGCTCTCGGACTGCTCTGAAGTCCGAGAGAGGGTTCTTCCTCCTTGGATGCTGACCCAAGCCCTTTTCCCCCTTCCTTTCCAGCTCCTTGCGAACAAGCAAACCGGCCTGAAGCGCTACGAAGTGGATGGCAGGAAAGTCCTCTTCTATTTTGACGAGGTCAGGCGGGGGGAAAAGGGGGAAAAGGCTCCCATTCCCCTTTGAATGCAACACCTAACCAAACCTATGTTTCTTTACAGATTCCAAGCCAGTGCATGACCTGCGTCAAGTTTGTGGCCTTCCGGGAGTACATTGTAGGGAAAACTGCGCCACTCCCCATCCGAGTGTACGACTACTATGAGCCAGGTGGGTATGCATGTATGTCCCCCTCCCCAAAGTGAGGGGAGTTTAGATTCTGCAACCTTCGGCTGGCCTGGGAAGCAACGACGACAACATTTTTTAAGAATATTTTATTTTATTATTATTATTAAATAAATATACAATAATATATAATAATATGATGATAATATAATATTTAATATTATATATGAATATTAAATATTATATTAAATATTAATATAATATTATTAATATTAATTATATTAATATTAAATATAATATTTAATATTGGGGAGGGGGACATACATCCGAGTATATGACTACTATGAGCCAGGTGGGTATGCATGTATGTCCCCCTTCCCAAAGTGGGGGGAGTTTAGACTCTGCAACCTTTGGCTGGCCTGGGAAGCGACGACAACAACATTTTGTAAGAATATTTTATTTTATTATTATTATTATTAAATAAATATACAATAATATATAATAATAATATGATAATATAATATTTAATATGTTATTTTTATTATTAAATACATTATATAATAATAAACTTAAATCATATCTTGTCCTATCCTATCTGATTTGTCGTCGATCCACTCCTTTGAGCTTCATGCAAATCTACCATTTGCCAAAATATGCGATCCTGTGCTTTTCTTTTACATTGCTGGCCAAATAACCTGTTTCCCCGAAAATAAGACATCCCTGAAAATAAGACCTAGTAGAACAGTGTTTCTCAACCTGGGGGTCGAGACAACTGGGGGGGGGGGTTACGAGAGGCGTCGCCAAAGACCATCAGAAAACAGTATTTTCTGTTGGTCATGGGGGTTCTGTGTGGGAAGTTTGGCCCTCTTCTATCGTTGGTGAGGTTCAGAATGCTCTTTGATTGTAGGTGAACTATAAATCCCAGCAATTACAACTCCCAAATCTCAAGGTCTATTTTCCCCAAATTCACATTTGGGCATATTAAGGATTTGTGCCAAGTTTGGTCCAGATCCATCATTGTTTGAGTCTGTTAGGAATCAAGAGCTGTTAGGTTCAAAAATAACCCTCACTTGGGGATGATTCCACAAAAATATAGGAGAGTGCCAGAAGCATCTACATCTTGCCTGGAAAATGGCAAGATGCCTCCTCACTCAAGGAAAACAAAAGGGAAAGAGAGAGGCCAAAATGGAGAATTGACCATATGGCCTCACCAGGGCAATAAAATATCTTTAAAGAGTAAATTACGTCTTCCCTGAAGATATCACATTGTTAAGTATTCAAAGGAGAGGAGATAGTGACATGCAAGATGAATAAGACAACTCTCTTCTTAGCCCTTTCTTGAGGCAGACATTCAAAGGGAACTTGGGGAAAGAATCCCTCATTCTAATCTATGAAGGCTAATTACTCCTTGAGGGCTGGAGACTTGTGCAGTCAAGAAAAGCACAGGGTCGTATATTTTGGCAAATGGTAGATTTTCTTGAAACCCAAAGGAGTGGATCAGTGACAAATTGGGTAGGATAGGGTAGAATATATAATAAAAATAAAAATAATTAAAAATAAAAATAAAAATGTAATGTTCGTTTGTGACATTAACAGAACTCAAAAACCACAGGACGAATTGACACCAAATTTGGACACAAGATACCTAACAACCCAATCCTTCACTCAAAAACAAATTGATTTTGTCATTTGGGAGTTGTAGTTGCTGGGATTTATAGTTCACCTACAGTCAGAGAGCATTCTGAACCCCACTAATGAGAAAATTGGGCCAAACTTTCCACACAGTTCTCCCATGACCAACAGAAAATACTGGGTTTGGTGGGCAGGGTCCTTTGGTTTTGGAGTTGTAGTTCACCTACATCCAGAGATCACTGTGGACTAAAACAATGATGGATCTGGACCAAACTCTACATGAAAGTTTGGGGAAAATAGAATCTTGACATTTGGGAGTTGTAGTTCCTAGGATTTATAGTTCACCTACAATCACAAAGCATTATGAGCCCCACCAAACGTAGAATTGGGCCAAACCTCCCACACAGAACCCCCATGTCGGCCACAGCAATGTGTGGCAGGGGACGGCTAGTATATATATATGGGGGAAATGGAAGGAAAAAGGAAGAGGGGCCGACCAAGGGCAAGATGGATGGATGGCATCCTTGAAGTGGCTGGATTGACCTTGAAGGAGCTGGGGGCGGTGACGGCCAACAGGGAGCTCTGACGTGGGCTGGTCCATGAGGTCATGAAGAGTCGGAAACGACTGAATGAATGAACAACAAAAAATAATATTTAATAATAATGTTTTATTTTACTATGATAAATAAAATATAGAATAAAATAAAATATATAAAATCTAATAATAAAATAATATTTAACAGTATTATATTATTAAATTGAATGAATTATATAATAATATATAATAACAAAATATAATAATAAATTAATAAAAATATAATTAAATAATAATAAAATATTTAGTAATAATATTTTATTTTATTATTAAACGGAACATATAATAATACAATTAAATGAAATGAACAATAATATATATATATATATATATATATATATATATATAATACAATTTAAATAATACTTTATTTTAGTATTATTAAATAAAATATGTTATAATTAAGTAATTCATAATAGCACATTTAATATAATAATTATAATAACATATAAAAACAACATCAACAACCGCTTTCCCCGAACCTTACTCCTCACTTTGGGGTGGGGGGTGGTGGTGTTGAAGCTTTTAGGTCACATTGCCTCCATTGGGGCTTTGTTCCTGGAAGCAGCAGGAGGGAGTTTTGGGCCCAAGGAGTCTGCTGTCTCTGCTTTGGTCATGGAAGTCCCAGCCGTGGATGGCATGGCTCTTGTGTTCTCTTCCAGCTAAACAATGCTCTGGTCTATTGTTTTGCGGGGCTTGGAGAGAAAACTTCCTGCCCCCACTGCACTAATGCACAACCGTGTCATATTCTAGCTTTCGAAGCCACGCGCTTCTACAATGTGAGTGAGAGCAGCCCTTTGGCCCGGGAGCTTTGTGACGGCCCCACTTGCAACGAGGTGGAGAGCGCCAGCAGCCACTGGGTCGGTGAGTCTTGGGTTGGGGAAGCAATCGTAATCACCATAATCATAATTACCATCTCTCCTTTCAGCTCAAGGTGGGGCACGGCATACTTAAATGCGTCTATCCAATCACACATTAAGACATAGCTAAAATGGAACCTTGCTTGCCGAGCTTCTTGACTTACAAGCAATTGCTCGTCCAATTTTTGTTGTCATTCTAAATATTTTTATTAACAATTTTATTACATTTCCATGCCATTTCGTTACAAAACACAATCTCTTTCATTCATATCATTATTTCTTCTCATTTCCCGTGTTGTGCTCCCCATCTTTTCTTCGTGGACCCACCAGAACTTTGTTTCTTCTGGTGAGCGTTGATTCCCATCTTATTTTCTCTATGTTTCTTCAGTAATTTTTTTCCATATGCTTTCAAAATTGTTATTTTTCCCTAGGCTTTTAAAAATCTTTAAATTCCATGTTAATTTATCATTTACTAGCTGTACCCGCCACGCGTTGCTGTGGCCAACCTCCCCCCTCTTTCTCTCTTTCTTTCCTTCCTTCCTTTGCTCCCTCTTTCCCTCCTTCCCTTATCTTCTTTCCTTCTCTCCTTCCTTCCTTCTCTACCTCTTTCCTTCCTTGCCCTTTTTTCTTTTCCTTTTTCTCTCCTTTCTTCCTTCTCTACTTCTTTCCTTCCTTCCTTCGCTTTTTGCTTCCATCCTTCCTTCTCTCTTTCTGTCTTTCTTTCCTTCCCTCCCTCTTTCTCTTTCTTCTTGCTCTACCTCTTTCCTTCCTTCTCTTTCCTTCTTTCCCTCTTTCCTTCCTTCCCTTTTCTTTCCTTCTCTCTTCTTCTCCACCTCTTTCCTTCCTTCCCCCTTTTTCTTTTCCTTCTTTATTTCTCTCCTTTCTTCCTTCTCTACTTCTTTCCTTCCTTCCTTTGCTTTTTGCTTCTATCCTTCCTTCTCTCTTTCCTTCTTTCTTTCCTTCCCTCCCTCTTTCTCTTTCCTTCCTGCTCTACCTCTTTCCTTCCTTCTCTCCCTCTTTCCTTCCCTCCCTTTTTTTCTTTCCTTCTCTCCTTCTTTCCTTCTCTACCTCTTTCCTTCCTTCTCTCCCTCTTTCCTTCCCTCCCTTTTTTTCTTTCCTTCTCTACTTCTTTCCTTCTCTACCTCTTTCCTTCCTTCCCCCTTTTCCTTTTCCTTCTTTATTTCTCTCCTTTCTTCCTTCTCTACCTCTTTCCTTCCTTCTTTCGCTCTTTGCCTCCATGCTTCCTTCTTTCCCTCCCTCTTTCTCTTCTTTCTTTCTTTCTTTCTTTCTTTCTTTCTTTCTTTCTTTCTTTCTTTCTTTCTTCCCTTCCTTCCCTTTTCTGTATTGTCATTTAGCTTTTAATCATTTAGCATATTTGGGTTTTTAAGTCCTTTCCACTGTTTTTTTTTGGGGGGGGGGGTTATGAGTGATGGTCACTCGTTGGTCTGTTAGGGGTATAGTGTCCAAATTTGGTGTCAATTCGTCCAGTGGTTTTTGAGATCTGTTAATATCACAAACGAACATTACATTTTTATTTCTATAGATTGCTAATTTCCATATTCCCTTATGCTACTCCTCTCTCTTAATTTCTATCAAGGCAGTTTGCTGGCCAACTTGCTTCTTGTCATCCATTTAACTGACTTCAGACAGTTGTTTCTGCTTCAAGAAGCGGCTCTTATCTTTGTTTACATTTCATGCATTGCGATAACACTCATTAGCATAGTCATGATGCAAGAGAGAAGACACAGAACAATGGTGTACATATTTACATTGCCACCACATGTGATGTACAGTCCCATTTCTTGGCAACCCCTCCAATATTTTTTTCAAACAGCTCATATTATGTATCTTTATCGGGGTCAACTACTGTCAATGTGAGGTCTGAAACTAGGCAAGTTAAGTTTATATATCTGTGAAATATTCAGGGTGGGAGAAAGAACTCTGGTCTATTGGAGGTAGGTGTGAATGTTTCAATTGGCCACCTTGATTAGCATTGATTAGCCTTTCAGTTTCAAGGTCTGGCCGTTGAATCCTTTGTGGTGTTAGCTGGCCCTGATAGTTTCCTGTCTGGAATTCCCCTGTTATCTGAGTGTTGTTCTTTATTCACTGTCCTGATTTTAGGGTTTTTTAAAATAACGATAGCCATATTTTGTTCATTTTCATGGTTTCCTCCTTTCTGTTGACATTGTCCACCTTCTTCTTGTGGATTTCAATGGCTTCTCTGTGTATGTACTGTGGTATGGTTGTTGTTAGAGTGGTCCAGCATTTCTATGTTCTCAAATAACATGCTGTTTCCAGGCTGGTTCATCGAGGGCTCTGCTATGGCTGACTTCTCTGGTTGGATTAGTCTGCTGTGCCTTTCATGTTCTTTGATTTGTGTTTGTGCACTGTGTTTGGTAGTTCCTATGTAGACTTGTCCACAGCTGTGTGGTATCCAGTCGACTCCTGCAGAGGTGAGAGGACAATTAGACTTGCAATTAGCAAGCTTGATTTACAAGTCTTTGAGTGGGATCCATCCATGCTAATATAAGTAACCATGAAGATAGCATAGTCAGTGAGTGAGGGCATCTGCCTGGAAGTAGCCTAGCCTTTACAGAAAACCCACACACACAGATAGATACCTACATAAAAACTCCAACCATCACCCAAGTCAAAAAAGAAGCACCATTAAAGCCTTGGCAGACCGTGCAAAAAGAATCTGTGAACCCCACCTCCTCCAAGATGAACTGAACCACCTCAACTGGGCTCTACAGGCCAATGGAGACTCCACCTCAGACATCAGAAGAGCTGCAAGACCAAGAACAAACCACGAGAGTCAAGACGAAGATCCACCCAGAGGAAAAGTGTTCTTGCCATACATCAAGGGAACCACTGACCGCATAGGGAAGCTGATGAGGAAACACAACCTACAAACTATCTACAGACCCACCAAGAAAATCCAACAAATGCTACGTTCAGCAAAGGACAAGAGGGATGTACCATGCAGCTGTGGACACGTCTACAGAGGGACCACCAAACGCAGCAGCATTGCCCAAACACGAATCAAGGAACATGAAAGGCACTGGAGCCTAACTCAGTTAGAGAAATCAGCCATAGCAGGGAACCGGATGAACCAACCTGGACACAGCATATTATTTGAGAACACAGAAATGCTGAACCACTCTCACAACCACCATGTCAGACTACACAGAGAAGCCATTGAAATACACAAGCATGTGGACAATTTCAACAGAAAGGAATAAACCATGAAGATGAACAAAAAACTCTAAAATTACAACAGCAAAACAACAGAGAGTAAACAATCAGGCACACCAAATCACTCTCAACAAAAGATTCCCCCCAGACACTTCCAAGTCATTAAATGCTAATCAAGGTGGTCAGTTGAAACATTCACACCTAGCTCCAGCAGACAAAAGTCCTTTGTCCCACCCTGGTCATTCCACAGATATATAAACCCATTTTCCTACTTCCAACAGACCTCACTACCTCTGAGGATGCTTGCCATAGATGCAGGCGAAACGTCAGGAGAAAATGCCTCTAGAACATGGCCATATAGCCTGGAAAAACCTACAACAACCCAGTGATTCCGGCCATGAAAGCCTTCGACAATACATTCACACCTAGCTCCAGCAGACAAGAGTCCTTTGTCTCACCCTGGTCATTCCACAGATATATAAACCCTTTTTCCTATTTCCAACAGACCTCACTACCTCTGAGGATGCTTGCCATAGATGCAGGCGAAACGTCAGGAGAAATGCCTCTAGAACATGGCCATATAGCCTGAAAAAACCTACAACAACCCAGTGATTCCGGCCATGAAAGCCTTTGACAATGCATCCTAGCCTTTCTTCCCTTTGAACTGTTTGCTGCCATGGAGACGTCCTTAATAGTTAGCCTGGGTGGTGTTCACTCGCCCTTGATTGCTTGCTGCCTGGAAACATAACAATAAACAAAGGATGTCCAGGCAGGAAGCAATCCTGGATAGCATGCAATCATATGCAGATGCTCTCACTAATTCTATGCTATCTTCACAGTTACTCACATGCTAATGGAGGGATTCCATTAATTTGCACTTGCTAATTGCACCCTGTATAACAGATAATGGTTCTTTCTCCTACCCTTGACATTATTCCACAGGTATATCTATCTTCCACTTGTTTACTACCATTAGATCCTCTGTAGATGCCAGTAGCTGTTATGCAGCGCGTGTTTTTATTCCAGCAACCTAACGCCCAAAAACCCAGGCGCAAAATAGTTTCAGACCAATAGTCAAGGTAAACAGAAAATCTTTACTCTCTTAACTTTGCAGAGAGTAAAGATGGAACTCACTGCTCGGAGAGATTAGAAAAGCCCCTACTTTAGTAACCTTTAAAAAGAGTCTCAAGACCTGGCTCTGCCGCTGCGCTTTCGGAGAGTAGTCATATAATTTTATGCTATTATTATTATTATTATTATTATTATTATTATTATTATTATTATCTTTATTTGTACCCCGCTAACATCTCCCGAAGGACTTGGTGCGGCTTACAAAGGCCAAGGCCCTCAATAAAACAACAGCATAACAAATACAACAAAAAAAACTCAAAAAGCAAACCAATAAACATTAAAGCAATAACAGTAAAACAATAACATCATGACACATTTAAAAACTAAGGGCTGGGCCAAATGTAATGAATAAAAATTTAAAGTGCTGGGCATGACAGGAGAAATGTAAGGATTTTAGGGTGGTGCGATGTGCAGACAATCTTAAATCTCTAATAAAGTGCGTTTGGGACATGATGCTGGGAGTTTCCTATTCTGGAAAGGCACACTGGAACAGCCAGGTCTTCAAGCTCCTCCTGAAGACTGCCAACGTTGGGGCTTGTCTGATGTCCTTGGGGAGAGAGTTCCAGAGCCGGGGGGCTACCACAGAGAAGGCCCTGTCCCTTGGCCCCACCAAACGCACTTGCGACGCAGGTGGGATCGTGAGCAGGGTCTCTCCAGATGAACGGAGGGATCATGTGGGTTCATATGCTATTGCTCCCTCAATGTTCTTGTCCCAGGAGTTTCTTCCCCCCCTCCGCCTTGTGCGTAGGTTTATTATCCCGTCTCTCCATGAGTTCTCCCTACAATTAGTTTTACCCCTTTATCTCACCCGGAGTTTTTTTATATCATTTTATGTACATTCGGCCCGCTCTTTGTCTTTATGTTCGGTTTTTATGTTCTTTGTGTATTGTTTATATGCTTTGATGTTGTATACTTTATTGTTATGTTGTTTATTTTATTGTAATTCTGTATTTTTTGTATTGTAATCTGTTGTTCGGGCTTGGGCCCATGTAAGCCGCTCCGAGTCCCCATTGGGGGAGATGGTGGCGGGGTATAAATAAAGTTTATTATTATAAAACAAAACTGGCAATACAGCACACAAAAATCAGCAGTGCAACATATTTACAGTCTTTGTAATATGCATAAAATAAAGCATCTTCTAAGCAGCAAATGAGAAATCAAAACAACCTGAAGTAAATAGCTATTTCACCATCAGCGTCTCCTGCTGGTACTCCACACTGGTGAAACAAAACTCCAGCAGCAGCCCACCAGAAATCCAGCACCCACCACACTGTATTCAAAAACCACAAACAGCATGGCACAAGATTGCTGCTTGACCTACTTAGTCAGCTGAACAAGATCATTACAATCAATAAGGGTTTTCTTCACACATATACTTGTGTCCTGCAAGGACTTACCGTAACAGTAGTCACAGATACAGGCAAAACGTCAGGAGGAGCAAATGCTGCTAGAATATATTGGCTGTATGTCTCAGAAGCGACATGACAACAACACTCCAGATTGAACCACACTTTTAAATACGTGTATAGAGTGGGGCACATCCCCCAAAATGTGCCCCTCGTGTGTCGCCATGCCTGTGACCCTCTCTCCTTGTCCATTCTCCGGCCAGGTTTCGTGCAGGGCGGGAGGTGCAATGGTGTCTCCGGCTGCCTAGCAGACGGCCTCTTTGAGCAGTGCTTGTGTGCCCGCGACTGTGGCTATGATGGGGAGCCGGTCTGCGGCTCGGACGGGCGGCCCTACCCCAACCGGTGCCAGATGGAGGCAGCCGCCTGCCGGAACAGCACCCGGATCGAGCCCGTCCCTATGGCCCAGTGCGGGAGGGGTGCAGGTAAGCAGGGAGAGCCACTGACCTGGGGTGGGTTACAAGTCTTCTCTTTTATTAAATTTTAAAGTTGCAAACATAGGTGGATGGGAAGGAGCTCGGGCCCCAAATTCGGTAAGGGAGGTCTCAGGAGAGAGAAGTTACGATTTATTATTTATTATCCTTAATGGTGCCACCAATTTGGTGATGTGAGGTAATTTTGGGAGATTGGGCACACTAAACGCAGAATTAATGGAGATGAGGCAGTTTTACAATCAAAGAGAACAAGTTTATTTTGAAACAAAGTGTATGGTTGCAGTTTGGTGATAAACTTGGAAAATACTTGGAGAACGTTACATATAACTTGGTTGCGATACAGTTCAGTCTTCTGATGTTACAACTTATAAATAACCTTTGCTGTGGTGAAGCACTTTATTAAACAATGGTTCCTGAGGTGAATAGTCTTCCTGTTTGACCCTTCCGTGATCAAACCTCAGATCTCTAGTTCACTTTTAACTAGTGATCTAAACGAGCTTCTATTAGTCTTCTCTAACTAATAAAACTAATAAGGTTTCCCCTTCAGCTTTCCCGAACTGAAGAAACCTCCGACTATTCACAAACACTGCTTCTCTACTTCCCACTCTCTCTCTCTCTCTCTCAACTCTTCACTTCCCTGAGCCTAAACCTAACTCTTCATTCCTCTGAGCCTCAACCCTGACTCTTCATGACTGTGCACTCTTCTGAGCCTAAACCCTAACTCTTCATGACTCTTCACTCCTCTGAGCATAAAACCTAACTAACTTTTAACTGTCGCTTTTCAAAACTCCCCTCTCTAAGCTCCTCCCACTTCTCTACAGCATTGTTTCCATGGTAACACACTCCTCACAGCTAGGCCGCTCCAGCATTAGCATCGTTTCCATGGTAACACACTCCTCACAGCTAGGCCGCTCCAGCATTAGGGCAACCAGTGTAAACACAAATACAGTTATAATAATATCATTTACAATCAATACAGTTTATAATCATATCATTTACAATCAACTTCTGTACAGTGGAATAATAGCAATTTCAGTAAACATCTCATAGTACAAACAGACTATTACTCACTTAATTGTCTTAAAATTGCAGATTCCGCAATTATCTTCCACTGGTGTCTATCCATTTACTCCCCCTCCCCGGGAACAGTACTTTCTTTCATTCAAATATTATTTTAATTGATCAGTTATGGTTCAGCCCTGGAACATGGTTCTGCCCTGGCATATGATCCAGACCTGATGTATGGTTCAGCCCTGGCGAATGGTTCAGCCATGTCATATGGTTCAGATCTGGCATACAATTCAGACCTGACTTACGGTACAGACCTGGCATACAGTCTGGACCTGGAATACGGTTCAGACCTGGCATATGGTCCAGCTTTGGTGTATGGTCCAGCCCTGCTGTATGGTCCAGACCTGGCGTACAGTGCAGACCTGGCATATGGTCAAGCCCTGGTGTACGGTTCAGCCCCTGTGTACGGTCCAGCCATGGTATATGATCCAGACCCGGCATATGGTCCATACCCGACGTATGGTTCAGACCCGACATATGGTTCAGCTCTTTGATGGTGTGGGATCCAGGAACTGGTCCAGTCCTGGCGTACTGTCCAGACCTGGCATATGTTCCAGCCCTCATGTATGGTTCAGATCTGCTGTACAGTCCAGCCCTGGCATACGGTCCAGACCTGGCATATAGTTCAGATCTGCTGTATGGTTCAGCCCTTTGATGGTGTGGTCTCCAGGAACTGGTCCAGCCCTGGCGTATGGTCCATACCTGGCATATGGTCCAGCCTTGGTGTATGATCCAGCCCTGGTTTATGGTCCAGACCTGGCGTATGATCCAGACCTAGCGCACGGTCCAAACACAGTGTATGGTTCAGACCCGGCGTATGGTTCAGCTCTTTGATGGTGTGGGATCCAGGAACTGATCCAGTCCTGGCGTACACTCCAGACCTGGCATATATTTCAGCCCTTCCATATGGTCTAGACCTGGTCCTGCCCTGGTGTATGGTCCAGACCTGGCATACAGTCCAGACCCCAGTGTACAGTTCAGACCTGGTGTATGGTTCAGGCCCGGCATATGGTTCAGCTCTTTGATGGTGTCGGATCCAGCAACCAGTATCCTAAGTACGTAAAAGTGCAAACTTGTGCTATTGGTACACCGTCCAGAAGCCATCTCTGTCTATTATGTTGTTTGCCAAATTCTATTATTTTTTAAATTTTGATTTATTAGGGAGTTGTTATGACAATAAGAAATCAATCTTCTCAGCAACCTACATAACCCTACTTGCGAATGTGACAAGAAAATCATATCAGAGGCATATAACAAGATGTTAATTTGTACTTTAAGCACCTTAGGCATATGTACTTTGGTCCTTCAAGTGTTCAGGTAGATCATGTACATATAAGCTAAATAACAGTGGTGCTCAAATACACCCTTGTCTGACCCCTTTATATGTTTCTACACTGTTTGTTGGAGCCCCCGGTGGCACAGTGGGTTAAAGCACTGAGCTGCTGAGCTTGTTGATCGAAAGGTCGCAGGTTCGATTCCGGGGAGCGGCGTGAGCTTCCCCTGTCAGCCCTAGCTTCTGCCAACCTAGGAGTTCGAAAACATGCAAATGTGAGTAGATCAATAGGTACCGCACCAGCGGGAAGGTAACGGCGTTCCATGTACTACGTATTTTTGACATTAATATTGAAATCTGAAATATATACAGAAAGTATATATAAGTATATATGACCTTGGAGGTGTCTACGGACAACGCTGGCTCTTCGGCTTAGAAATGGAGATGAGCACCACACCCCAGAGTTAGACATGACTGGACTTAATGTCAGGGGAGTACCTTTACCTTTTTACGCTGTTTGTTATGACTCCTTGCATCCCAAATCGCACATTCGAGTAGGTGTTTGTGTAAAGTGCTTTGATCAGTGTGCTGGCAACCCAGTGATTCCAGCCATGAAAGCCTTTGACAGCACAATCATAAATATGCTTTACATATATACACATTGTAATGCTTCCTTCCCTCGTTCCCTTCTTCCCGCAGCCAAAAGCACGCCGGAAGAGAGAGGGATCCTCTTGCAGAGCCCGGCCCCGCGGGAACCCACAGGTGAGGATCCGCCAAAAAAAGTCCCTTTCTCTCCTTTCCTCTTCTGGTTTTGCTCCTCCTACTGGCTGCGCATGGCCAGTGGCAGCACAAGGCCCAAACGGTCAAGAAGCAGAGCCCTTCATAAACAGGCCCAGTCCTTTAGGTCACACATTCTTCACAGTCCAGAACAACAATCAACAAAGGCTGGATGGCCATCTGTTGAGGGTGCTTTGATGATGCTTTTCCTGTATGGCAGAAAGAAGGGGGTTGGACTGGGTGGCCCCTGGGGTTGCTATTATTATTATTATTATTATTATTATTATTATTATTATTATTGAGGTTGGATGGTGTCACAGGTGCTTTGTGCTTTTCCTGCATGAAGGCAGAAGGAGGTTGGACTGGGCGGCCCCTGCCATTGCTCGATTATCCAACCTTCACTTATCCGACATTCCATCTTATCCGATGTTCTTATCCAACGCCCCCCTTTTCCTCTAGCATTTCCCCTTCAATTAAAGAAGCGCTCCCCAACTCTCTCTCCATTCCCAATAAGGCGAAAAGGCAAGACAAGGAGGAGGAGGGAGGAAATGGGGAAAAGAGGCAAGAACGGAAGTGGAAGCGATATCTCTCCTTCCCGCTGTGATTTTCACACTCCTCTTCCGCATCAAGGCACTTCCTGCTGGGCCACTTTAGCCCCGAGTTGTCTTTCCTTAACCCTTTGAGTCCCTGTTGTTAGTATTCTAGGTGTCCAGCGCTGCGTCGGATGGGTAACAGTCGGCAACTCTGGATTATCTGACATTTTTGTTTATCCAGCCCATTTATGTCGGATAAGCGAGACTCTACTGCATTATTATTATTACAAAGATTGGGTGGCCATCTGTTGGGAGTAATTTGGTGGTGCTTTTCCTGCATGGCAGAATAAAGGGGGCAAGATTGGATGGCTCATGGGGTCTCTTCCAACTCTTCTACTTCTTTTTCTTCTTCTTATTATTATTACTGAGGCTGGATGGCGGGGGGCTTTGATGGTGCTTTCCCAAAATGGCAAAAAGAAGGGGGTCGCACTATTTATTTATTTATTTATTTATTTCATTTACTTATACCCCGCCCTTCTCACCCCGGGGGGGACTCAGGGCGGCTTACAGTGGGGGCACAATTAGATGCACTAGGTGGCTCATGGGGTCTTGTTGTAGGTTTTTTTGGGCTATATGGCCATGGTCTAGAGGCATTCTCTCCTGCATCTCTGGCAAGCATCCTCAGAGGTAGTGAGGTCTGTTGGAACTAGGAAAAAGGGTTTATATATCTGTGGAATGACCAGGGTGGGACAAAGGACTCTTGTCTGCTGGAGCTAGGTGTGAATGTTTCAACTGACCACCTTGATTAGCATATAATGGCCTGGCAGTGCCTGGAGCAATCTTTTGTTGAGAGGTGATTAGATGTCCTTGTTTGTTTCCTTTCTGTTGTTGTGCTGTTCTAATTTTAGAGTTTTTTAATACTGGTAGCCAGATTTTGTTCATTTTCATGGTTTCCTCCTTTCTGTTGAAATGGTCCACATGCTTGTGGATTTCAATGGCTTCTCTGTGTAGTCTGACATGGTGGTTGTGAGAGTGGTCCAGCATTTCTGTGTTCTCAAATAATATGCTGTGTCCAGGTTGGTTCATCAGGTGCTCTGCTATGGCTGACTTCTCTGGTTGAAGTAGTCTGCAGTGCCTTTCATGTTCCTTGATTCGTGTTTGCGCAATGCTGCGTTTGGTGGTCCCTCTGTAGACTTGTCCACAGCTCAGGCCCGTAGCCAGGATTTTGTTTGGGGGGGGGGGGGGGGGGGATTTTTTTTAGGGGGGGGGGGTTGGGGGGAGCTGAGTTTCGGGGGGGGGGCTGAGTCTGAGTGAAAGAGGGTCTAGACACAAAAATGTATGTATGTGTATTTTATAAGACTCTCAAGAAAATAATATAAATCACGGTAATATGTTCTCTAATGGAGTAAATTGTCTAGACTTTATAGCATTTATAGTATTTAACAGTAATGTTATCAGCACATTATAAGTAAATGTAGGTTATCTTATCAACATAGAGTAATGAATAGTAGACTAGAGATAATAAAGTCCATCCTTTCCTGGAGTCAGATTTCAGTGCAGGAATTCAACAGTCTCTGTCTTTATCCTCAAAAGAATTCTTCTTTTAGCAACACAGTCTTTTAAGGAGTACTTCTTATGCAGCAGAGTCTTCCTTAGGTAACACAATTTCTACAAGGTCTCCCGGTATGTTCTCCTTGTTTCGAAAAATTATCTTCTTCAGGATGTTATCACATATATATAATGCACTAAATAAAGGAGTAAAAATAACATACACAATAGATACATGAAACTCCCCAATTCACATTTCTAGTGAAACATTCTATAATAACAGTAAAGAAACACGCTACTCTACTTACACTCTCTTTACACTCTCTTCAATAGTACAGGCTCTGTTCTGGAGGAGTTCTATAACGAGCAATGAGTCATACCTAGGCTACCTCTTAAGTAGAACTACATTTCACAAGAAACAAGTGTATTCAATTTTATCATTTAGTCCTTGTGGAACCAGTGTTTGTAGTTTAAAGATCCAAAAAGATTCTCTTTGTAGAAGGAGTTTTTTTACATCTGCATTAGGTCTGGGTAATATTTTTTCTAAAGCGCAAAATTTAAAGCTATGGTGTGTATGAGCTTTTTCATTGAAATGTACATATAGTGAAGAGTCAGTGGACCCATTCCTTATGCGTGAACGATGTTCATTTATCCTGGTTTTAAGGGGTCTAGTAGTCATTCCAACATATAATAGCTTGCAGGAGCATTCTAATAGGTAAATTACATTATCAGTGGAACATGTTGTTAAATGTTGCAAGGTAATCTTGATGTTAAGTGTTGGATGAGAGTATATTTTAATCTTGAGTGATTGTTGACAACAGTTACAGTGTCCACAGCTAGTGTGACCCCTAGTGGTAAGATTGTGGGATGTAGTAGGAGAGTTATATTCAGAATGGATCAAAAGGTCCCTTAAATTTCTGGATCTTTTGTGTGCAATTATAGGTTTGTCTTTGCATCCAGGAATGTCCTGTAGTAAATGCCAATGTTTTGAAATAATTTTAGTGATTTTAGATGAATATTGTGTGAGTGTCAAAGGCCATATTATGCGGTTATTATGTTTTCTAGGGCGTTCCCGTAGTAACTCCCCTCTATTGATGGAGTTCGCCTTACTCATGGCTGTGTTGAGTATCTTATTAGGATATCCTCTCTTTCTGAGTTGTTTCTTCAGGATACCTGCTGTGGATTCAAAATCCTTTTGTGTGCTAGAATTACGTTTCAGTCTTAAAAACTGAGAAAATGGTAAATTAGATTTAAGAGAAAAGTGATGAAAGCTGGAAAAATGTAAAATAGAATTCTTATCTGTAGGTTTGCTATAATTTTTAACTAATAGTTTCTGGCCATTTTTGAAAACCATGATGTCCAAAAAGTTAATATTAGTAGGGCTACAGTGATGTGTAAATTTCATGTGTTTATGTAGTGTATTGATCCAGCTGCAAAATAGGTCCGCTACTGGCATAATATGGCCTTTGACACTCACACAATATTCATCTAAAATCACTAAAATTATTTCAAAACATTGGCATTTACTACAGGACATTCCTGGATGCAAAGACAAACCTATAATTGCACACAAAAGATCCAGAAATTTAAGGGACCTTTTGATCCATTCTGAATATAACTCTCCTACTACATCCCACAATCTTACCACTAGGGGTCACACTAGCTGTGGACACTGTAACTGTTGTCAACAATCACTCAAGATTAAAATATACTCTCATCCAACACTTAACATCAAGATTACCTTGCAACATTTAACAACATGTTCCACTGATAATGTAATTTACCTATTAGAATGCTCCTGCAAGCTATTATATGTTGGAATGACTACTAGACCCCTTAAAACCAGGATAAATGAACATCGTTCACGCATAAGGAATGGGTCCACTGACTCTTCACTATATGTACATTTCAATGAAAAAGCTCATACACACCATAGCTTTAAATTTTGCGCTTTAGAAAAAATATTACCCAGACCTAATGCAGATGTAAAAAAACTCCTTCTACAAAGAGAATCTTTTTGGATCTTTAAACTACAAACACTGGTTCCACAAGGACTAAATGATAAAATTGAATACACTTGTTTCTTGTGAAATGTAGTTCTACTTAAGAGGTAGCCTAGGTATGACTCATTGCTCGTTACAGAACTCCTCCAGAACAGAGCCTGTACTACTGAAGAGAGTGTTAAGAGAGTGTAAGTAGAGTAGCGTGTTTCTTTACTGTTATTATAGAATGTTTTACTAGAAATGTGAATTAGGGAGTTTCATGTATCTATTGTGTATGTTATTTTTACTCCTTTATTTAGTGCATTATATATATGTGATAACATCCTGAAGAAGATAATTTTTCGAAACAAGGAGAACATACCGGGAGACCTTGTTGAAATTGTGAAATTGTGTTACCTAAGGAAGACTCTGCTGCATAAGAAGTACTCCTTAAAGACTGTGTTGCTAAAAGAAGAATTCTTTTGAGGATAAAGACAGAGACTGTTGAATTCCTGCACTGAAATCTGACTCCAGGAAAGGATGGACTTTATTATCTCTAGTCTACTATTCATTACTCTATGTTGATAAGATAACCTACATTTACTTATAATGTGCTGATAACATTACTGTTAAATGCTATAAATGCTATAAAGTCTAGACAATTTACTCCATTAGAGAACATATTACCTTGATTTATATTATTTTCTTGAGAGTCTTATAAAATACACATACATACATTCTTGTTTCTATGTTACTATAGATATTTGTGCATTGTTTGCTGTTTAGAGGGTCTACCCTAGCAAACCTTTTGTATCATTACCCCAATACCCCATGCATATGGGATATATTGAGTATGGTGCTCAGATCATGATATGAATAAACATAACAGATTAAATAATGAACCAGTAAGGCCTTTTCGCGAACCACCATGAGAATTTCGGGGGGGTTGAAGCCCCCCAAGCCCCCCCCCCCCCCCGGCTACATGCCAGCCACAGCTGCATGGGATACGGTAGACTCCTGCAGAAGTGAGAGGATCTCTCTATTATTATTCTGTTATTGTTGCTGGATGGCCATCTGTCAGTGTGTGTGTGCTTTGATTGTGCTTTTCCTGCATGAAGGTAGTTACCCTCCCACTAGATGGCCCATAGAGCCTCTTCCAACTCTATTATTATTATTACTAGCCGTCCCATGCCACATGTTGCTGTGGCCCACATGGGGGTTCTGTGTGGGAGGTTTGGCCCAATTATATAATTGATGGGGTACAGAATTCTCTGTGATTGTAGGTGAACTATAAATCCCAGGAACTACAACACCCAAATGTGAACATTCTATTTTCCCCAAACTCCACCAGTGTTCACGTTTGGGCATATTGAGTATTCGTGTAGAGTTTGGTCCAGACCCATCATTGTTTGAGTCCACAGTGATCTCTGAATGTAGGTGAACTACAACTCCAAAACCAAAGGACACTGCCCACCAAACACTTCGAGTATTTTCTGTTGGTCATGGGAGAACTGTGTGCCAAGTTTGCTTGAATTCCATCGTTGGTGGGGTTCAGAATGCTCTTTGATTGTAGGTGAACTATAAATCCCAGCAAGTACAATTCCCAAATGATAAAATCAATTTTTTGAGTGAAGGACATACATTGGGTTGCTAGGTGTATTGTGTCCAAATTTGGAGTCAATTCATCCAGTGGTTTTTGAGTTCTGTTAATCCCACAAACGAACATTACATTTTTATTTAGATAGATCATTGAGCAGAGGCTGGATGGGCAATCTGTTGGGAGTGCTTTAGTTGTGCTTTTCCTGCATGGCAGATGGCCTTTGGGGGCCTCTTCCAACCTATATCCCGCTCCCTTTGTGTCCTGATTGCAGAGGAGGGACCCACGCACCCGCTGGACTTCTCCTACTACTCCTACGAGTATGACCCAGACCCTTTCGCCTCTGAGGGAGGAGACGCTTTTGAACTGACGACAGCCGCCGCCAACGAGGACAGCATCGCTACAGCAGCAGCAGCAGAGAGCAGCAGGGTTCATGGGGCTGCAGTCACGGCTGGAGAGTGAAGGTAAGCACCTGGCAAAGTGTCACAGTCCCTTGGCTATCATAGAGCAGGCATGGACCAACTTCAGTCCTCCCTCTAAGTGTTTTGGACTTCAGCTCCCACAATTCCTAACACCTGGAGGGCTAAAGTTGGCCCATGCCTGCTACAGAGTGAGGCTTCTCTCCAAAAGGAATTATCCAAGGCACACAGGAACTGCAGATACCAAGCACTTTGATTGTTCGGAATACATGAATCATGCTCTACGGCACATAGATACGGGACTTATTATGTTTATTTATACTTTGATTATTCTCTTAAGCAGCCATGTAGAGTGGAGAAAAACAAGGATTTCATCGGATATCAATTGTACAAGTTCTCCCACTTAAAAGATGAGAAAGGCCTGTAATTGACATCATAGTAGACCTCAACTATGAGAGACAACATGAGAAAATACATCCAGAAAATCACATTCTCTGATTTTTAACGAATTTATTTGCAAAGATTCACTTTATTTATTTATTTATTATATTTATATTTATTTATTTCTCGTGTCATCAGCAACCATACCATTGTATTACATTTCTAACAGAACAAAACAAACAAACAGATAAAAAAACCCACAGATTTTGCAAACTTGGTAGTCCTTTGACTAGTATCTGGCCACTTGGAGTGCTTCTGGTGTTGCTGCAAGAAGGTCCTCCATTGTGCATGTGGCAGGGCTCAGGTTGCATTGCAGCAGGTGGTCTGTGGTTTGCTCTTCTCCACACTGGCATGTCGTGGATTCCACTTTGTAGCCCCATTTCTTAAGGTTGGCTCTGCATCTTGTGGTGCCGGAGCGCAGTCTGTTCAGTGCCTTCCAAGTCGCCCAGTCCTCTGTGTGCCCAGGGGGGAGTCTCTCATCTGGTATCACCCACGGATTGAGGTGCTGGGTTTGAGCCTGCCACTTTTGGACTCTCGCTTGCTGAGGTGTTCCAGCGAGCGTCTCTGTAGATCTAAGAAAACTATTTCTTGATTTAAGTCGTTGACGTGCTGGCTGATACCAGGGATGGAGATGTCTCTGCCTTGGTCCTTTCACTATTGACTGCTACTTCCCGGCAGATGTCAGATGGTGCAATACCGGCTAAGCAGTGTAATTTCTCCAGTGGTGTAGGGCGCAGACACCCTGTGATAATGCAGCATGTCTCATTAAGAGCCACATCCACTGTTTTAGTGTGGTGAGATGTGTTCCACACTGGGCATGTGTACTCAGCAGCGGAATAGCATAGCACAAGGGCAGATGTCATCACTGTGTCTGGTTGTGATCCCCAGGTTGTGCCAGTCAGCTTTCGTATGATATTGTTTCTAGCACCCACTTTTTGCTTGATGTTCAGGCAATGCTTCTTGTAGGTCAGAGCACGGTCCAGAGTGACTCCCAGGTATTTGGGTGCGCTGCAATGCTCCAGTGGGATTCCTTCCCTGTTTTGTAGCAGGTTTCCTATGAGGCGGGTGAGGTGGTAGTCCTTTGTGATATTATACATTTTTCTCAGGAGGAGGCGGTGGTTCACAGTATCATAAGCCGCTGACAGGTCTATGAAGACGGCTCCTGTGATCTGCTGCCTTTCAAAGCCATCTTCTATGTGCTGAGTCAGGTTCAACACTTGCGATGAGCAGCTTTTGCTTTTCCTGAAGCCAGCTTGCTGTGGAATCAGACAGGGATCTATTTTTTCCATAATTTTCCATGCGTTGCTGTGGCCCAGTCTGGTGATCTGGAAAATAAAGTAATGGTTTCTAATCTATGCAATTTTTTCTGCTTGTGGGTAAACAGTATTTCTTGTTGTTTCTTTGTCAGTGTTGATGTGGAGATTGTCTGGCTTGCCTACTCTGGAACATGCAACATATAATTGTCCTTCTTTAGGAGCTCCTTTCAAATCTATGATATTATATCTCTCTGTGTGTGAATCATATAGATCTATATCTATCTATGGCTGGATGGCTGTTTGTCAGGAGGGCTTTGATTAGATTTTCTTGCCCTTGTGAAGAGAGTTGGACTGGATGGCCTTAAGTATTTTCTGTTGGTCATGGGGGTTCTGTGTGGGAAATTTGCCCCAATTCTGTCATTTGAGGGGTTCAGAATGCTCTTTTGATTGTAGGTGAACTGTAAATTCCAGTAACTACAACTCCCAAATGTCGAGTTCTATTTCCCCCAAACTCCATCTGTGTTCATATTTGAGCATATGGAATATTTGTACCAAGTTTGGTCCAGATCCATCATAATTTGAGTTCACAGTGGATGTAGGTGAACTGCAACTCCCAAACTCAAGGTCAATGCCCACCAAACCCTTCTAGTGTTTTCTGTTGGTGATGGGAGTCCTGTGTGTCACCTTTGGTTCAATTCCATCATTGGTAGAGTTCAGAATGTTCTTTGATTGTAGGTGAACTATAAATCTCAAGAACTACAACTCCCAAATGACAAAATCATAATTTTTTGAGTGATGGTCACTCCTTGTGAGACGTTTTGTTGCCAAATTTGGTGTGATTTCGTTCATTGGTTCTTTTGTTTTTAAGGTACTCATTATGCACAGAGCATTTTTATATATATAGATGTATTTATATCTGTATAGAGATAATACATATAGATGCAGATAAGATATGGTGAATGGACTAATCAGTAAACAGATCTGTCTATCTTATCTATCTCTCGATCTACTTCTTCCCCTGCAGAAGCCCTTCTTTGCCTGAGCATGAGAGAGGCTGGAAGGTCCCCTGCCATTGCTTTCGCTCCGATGGGTTTGGCTGTGGAACAGGAACGCACTAGAGGCTGCCTCCACTTGCAAAGATGTGTGGCCCTGCCGCAGCAACAGCCTTCACGCCTTGCCTGCCCCTATCCCGCCTCCTTTCGGATGTCTTCTCCCTCCTCAGGCTCATTTTCTGCAGCCAGGATCACAGAACGGTTTCGTTTTGCTGCTCCGGCTCATTTTAAAATGGGCCGATCGTTGGTTGGCCAGGAGGACTTCCCGCTGCGTCCCTGCAAACGTAAATCCTCGGGAAGGTCAAGAGTTCTGCTCGTATTTATTGTTAAAGCAATCCTTGGATGCCTCCTCTTTGGGGAGTGGGCACGGAGGAGATCCACGAACCTGCTTAGTCGCCTCTTCAGTTTCTCTGACACTGGGCACCCCAAGCTTTGTGGACAGATAGAGAGGGTGCCCTGCGTGGCTTCTTTGCTTCAGTCCCTCTCGACGCGAACTTCCTCTCTGTCAGTTCACGCAAGAGAGAGCCATACGGCTGCAGCTTCGGATAGGGCTCCATCCTTGCGCTCGATCCTTTGCGGGAGGGTTGTAAGTGGGGAGAAGTTGGATTTAGATACTGATAAAATATTTTATTAAAAATGGATTTCTAAAAGAAATTCCCTCTCCAGTGATTGATTGCGGAAGGAGTGTTTGGTGTCCTTCCGTTTGGTGGGGTGGACGGCAACCAATTGCTCTTGGACTTTGCAGCATCTGGACCAGCCTTGGCTACGATTCCCTCCTTTGCCCTGGTCTGCAGATTCCCTAGGACAGAATCCACTCACAAGAAAGTTTGGAAATAAGATTCCTTAATAATAATAATAATAATAATAATAATAATAATAATAATCCTTTAATTATTTATTTGTCGTGTCAGAGCAACCAGTCCATTATATTACATTTCTAACAGAACAAAGCAAACAAACAAACAGACAAATACAAAACTTGTGAGTTTGGTAGTTGGTTAAATGTCCTTTGACCAGTATCTGGCCACTTGGGAGTGCCTCTGGTGTTGCTGCAAGGAGGTCCTCCATTGTGCATGTGGCAGGGTTCAGGTTGCATTTCAGCAGGTGGTCAGTGGTTTGCTCTTCTCCACACTCGCACGTCGTGGATTCCACTTTGTAGCCCCATTTCTTGAGGTTGGCTCTGCATCTTGTGGTGCCAGAGCGCAGTCTGTTCAGCGCCTTCCAAGTTGCCCAGTTTTCTGTGTGCCCAGGGGGGAGTCTCTCATTTGGTATCAGCCATTGGTTGAGATTCTGGGTTTGAGCCTGCCACTTTTGGACTCTCGCTTGCTGAGGTGTTCCAGCGAGTGTCTCTGTAGATCTTAAAAAACTATTTCTAGATTTAAGTCATTGACGTGCTGGCTGATACCCAAACAGGGGATGAGCTGGACATGTCTCTGCCTTGATCCTTTCACTATTGGCTGCTACTTTCCGGCAGATGTCAGGTGGTGCAGTGTAATTTCTCCAGTGGTGTAGGGCGCAGACACCCCGTGATAATGCAGCATGTCTCATTAAGAGCCACATCCACTGTTTTAGTGTGGTGAGATGTGTTCCACACTGGACATGCATACTCAGCAGCAGAGTAGCATAGCGCAAGGGCAGATGTCTTCACTGTATTTGGTTGTGATCCCCAGGTTGTGCCAGTCAGCTTTCGTATGATATTGTTTCTAGCACCCACTTTTTGCTTGATGTTCAGGCAGTGCTTCTTGTAGGTAAGAGCACGGTGCAGAGTGACTCCCAGGTATTTGGGTGTGCTGCAATGCTCCAGTGAGATTCCTTCTCAGGTAATCCTCAGAGCTCGGGATGCTTGTCTGTTCTTAAGGTGAAAGGCACATGTCTGTGTTTTAGATGGGTTGGGGATCAGCTGGTTTTCCCTGTAATAGGCAGTAAGGGCACCTAGAGTTTCGGAGAGCTTCTGTTCAACCATCTCAAAGCTCCCTGCTTGCGTAGTAATGGCACGATCATCAGCATAGATGAAGCTCTCTATCCCTTCTGGTAGTGGCTGGTCATTTGTGTAGATGTTGAACATGGATGGAGCAAGCACGCTCCCCTGAGGCAGGCCGTTCTTCTGTTTCCGCCACCTGCTTTTCTGGCCCTGGAACTCAACAAAAAAGCTCCTGTTTTGTAGCAGGTTTCCTGTGGACTGAGAGCAATGAAACTTGGCCCAGTTCTGAGTCCTACTCTCCATGGGTGCCACCTAGAGACACACACTTCTCCCATCTTTTTAAGCAATTGTCGACAGGTTGTTCCCAAAGCCATGTTGTGAGTTCAGAAATTGGAGTCTCCATGTCATGAATGACTTTCAATAACTTTTAAGCATAGGTTCTTTTTATTGTAATTTCCAGTCGGAGATGGTATATCAGATTACAGAAAACATTTAGACGAAGAATGACATTGGACATACAGACATACAGATTCTATGCAACTACATTGGATTTACAATTACATTGGTCAACAAACAAACAAAGGGGAATTACATTTTCACTCAACATTCTCACACATGTACACGCATTCATCCACATGCATCCAAATATTACCATATCCTTTTCTCCCTCCTTGGAGAAGTACCTGTTAGGCCAGACCGTGATTTCCTGCAGCCTGCCAATGTATAAAAAACTTCCATAACACCAAAACTTCAAAACACCGAAATGCCAAAACTTCTTTCCCTAAGAACAATGCCAGGGACCAGATCCCTGTTTTCCATACAGCAGAACCTGACTCCCTGCACAAAATCTAAGACTCCAAAAGCGCACTTCGTCCTCTTCCCTTGAGAAAGAAGCCCCAAAGTGACCAGAATCATGCTTTCCCATAGCATATCTGTCACTCTCCTTAGGTACACTATCTCTCTCCTTCCCATGGAGCAGAGCATATCGGGTGAACCAGACTCCTCAGGTCGGTCACAATTTGAGCATTATTAGACCGAGTCTTTTATGGGAATATTCTGTTGAGGTAGTCCCAAAGTGAGAGCTGGACCGTAGGGAAGGCTGAGCAAAGGAAGATAGATGCTTTTGAGCTGTGGTGCTGGAGGAAAGTTCTGAGAGTGCCTTGGACTGCGAGAAGATCCAACCAGTCCATCCTCCAGGAAATAAAGCCCAACTGCTCATTGGAGGGAAGGATACTAGAGACAAAGTTGAAGTACTTTGGCCACATCATGAGGAGACAGGAAAGCCTAGAGAAGACAATTATGCTGGGGAAAGTGGAAGGTAAAAGGAAGAGGGGCCGACCAAGGGCTAGATGGATGGATGGCATCCTTGAAGTGACTGGACTGACCTTGAAGGAGCTGGGGGTGGTGACAGCCGACAGGGAGCTCTGGCATGGGCTGGTCCATGAGGTCACGAAGAGTCGGAGACGACTGAACGAATGAACAACAACAAGTCCCAAAGTTGTAAATTAATGATAGACATCTTCCATCCTGGCTCCATCTCAGTTTCCTGGCCAGATGTTGATCTTCTCGATTGGTGTTGATCTTCCTTCTTAACATAAAGAATGTTGCAAACATTTCTGTTATCACTGTCCCAATTCTTATCAGAGTTTACTCTTCAGGTCTCATTAACAGGTTTCAATCACAAAGCAGCAAGCAGGTAGTTAGTCATTGCAGGCCTTAATATTGTACTGGTGTTTCCAAAATTATTAGCTCCATCCATACATCCTTCCATGCTTCCAGTCATTCCCACATATCATTTTAAATTCACATTTATCAAATTTGCACATTGAATTTATTTCATCCACACCTGAGCAATACTTCACCTTCAAAAAGAACTTCCTTGTTGGAAAGAGGTGGAAGTCTGATGGTGCGATGTCAGGTGAAGAAGGGGGAATGTAATGCTACCCCTCTATTCTGCTTTGGTTAGACCACATCTGGAATATTGTGTCCAATTCTGGGCACCACAATTCAAGAGAGATATTGACAAGCTGGAATGTGTCCAGAGGAGGGCGACTAAAATGATCAAGGGTCTGGAGAACAAGCCCTATGAGGAGCGGCTTAGGGAACTGGGCATGTTTAGCCTGAAGAAGAGAAGGCTGAGAGGAGATAATGATAGCCATGTATAAATATGTGAGAGGAAGCCACAGGGAGGAGGGAGCAAGCTTGTTTTCTGCTTCCTTGGAGACTAGGACGCGGAAAATGGCTTCAAACTACAAGAGAGGAGATTCCATCTGAACATGAGGAAGAACTTCCTGACTGTGAGAGCCGTTCAGCAGTGGAACTCTCTGCCCCGGAGTGTGGTGGAGGCTCCTTCTTTGGAATCTTTTAAGCAGAGGCTGGATGGCCATTTGTCAGGGGTGATTTGAATGCAATATTCCTGCTTCTTGGCAGGGGGTTGGACTGGATGGCCCATGAGGTCTCTTCCAACTCTTTGATTCTATGATTCTATGTGCTGGAATGTCAAAGCCACCGGAGCATGCTTCTTCCATTTGGGCAACAGGTGAGTTGTGAACTGGTGCATTGTCTTGCAAAAGGCGGGCACCTTTGGTGAGCATGCCACATTGTCTCTTGGTTTTGATGGCCTCCCCCAATGTCTGCAGCAGTGAAGGTACTGCAAATCCCATAATCTGTGGTCCATCCTCCCCCAACCCTCACCAGGACAGAGTGTGCATCATAGGGAGTCTGTGTGTCGAATTTGGTCCAGGCGCATCATTTGTGGGGGTCGCAGAGTAAAAAACACCCCTGAAAAGCCTTGACATTTTAAAATTAATCTTTTATTTTACTTGGATGTGCAAATAAATATATATTTTTAAAAACTACATTCAAAGAGTTGGCAAAGCAAATACAAGCAGTAAGAAAACAAGGGAAAGGGAGGAGAGGAGGAAAAAGCGAGAGGTTCTTCAGAAGCAGAAGAGGACCGAGCTCCAGTTCCCCTCCAGACACAGACAACAGACATTCATTTGTTTGTTTGTTCGGCGCCTCCGGGGAGGGAGCCACGGCTCAGCTGTCCCCATCAAAGCAAAGACGCCGAAAGATGGTCAGAAGTACACTTTTGAAAGACGGAGAGAGGGTGGCGTTGGGGGGAAGGGGGAACAAGGGGAACCGGGACCCTCGAAAACGCCACACCGTCCCCCTCCGGAACTTAAGCACACGTGAAAACACAAAGCTAAACACCCAACAAACGGCGTTCCCAACTGTGAGTTTGGCACGGATGGGACTGGGAGAGGGGCTCCTGGCGATGCTTGGGATGGCAGGAGGCAGAATTGGAGCATCCAGGAGTGGGTTGCAAGGGGGGCTGCACGCCTCCAAAAGGCTTTAACGGCATCTGGATTTTGGGGGAATCCGTGGCCATTCAGGGGGAGGAACGAGAAGCGGAGCTGCCGCCCTCGGCCAATGTCGATGGTTGTTTCTGGGGAAATGCTGCAATGGGAAGCCACCCCCCTTTCAACAGCCAGCCAGCCAGCCCGCCCCCCTCCCCAAATTGCAGAGACTGCCGCAGAAACATGACAGGGAAGGGCACTCGTGGTAAGCGCATCTATCCTGTAGCCTTTGAGGCAACATCTGATGAAACTATCAGAGGAGATGCCATGGCGGGAGGGGGGCAAACCATACCTTTTCTGGCTCCATGCAGCAAGGGGCAGCTCCTGAAGGCATGGTGTGTTGTCCCCCCTTTTGCACAGAAAGGCCATGGGTGTGTGTGTATGAGTGCGCGCACATCAAGAGACACCTGAGGTCTCCGGCCTCCTGAAACCTCAGAATTTGGCATAATACGTCCAGTACAGGGCCAAGGAGAAAAGGATGCCATTGCACCTCTTCTCACCAGAGATAAAATGCTCCCCCCACCCCACAAAAACAAAACCACACGTAAAGAGCTTCAATCTGAAGGGTAGCATCATTATCAACTCTTTTGCTGAGGCAGTGACTGTGAATGAAAATAACAAAGGAGCCCTTCCTGGCATCGATGCCGTGACGCCGCACTTCCCGAACCCTGGGAAAGCGGCTGGTTGGACGAAATGCCCAAAGGGGGGTCCGGGACGGGGTTGCGGCGGTGGCCCCTCAGGGAGAGGAGGGCTGGCGGCTGTACTGCACACGGTAGCGGTTGACCGGGAGGCCATGGACACTTAGGGTTTCACAGGTGGTCTTGCAGGGCAGCAGGTCCTCATCCGCCTCACCCATCAGCCAGTCCTGGAGCAACTCAGGGGCCTCACGGGAGGCGTGCCGGCCCAGCCAGCGGCGGTGCCACTCCTCAAAGCGCTGGTGGTGCCGGAGCAGGACGGCCGGCTGGGACTGCGAGTGAAACAAAGAGAGAAGAGGGACAGGTGAATGGAGTTGCCACCCATCAAGAGAGTCCCTCCCTCCAAGGCTGGTGTCCGGGCTAGTGGTGAGATCCTGCGGGTACTGTGAGGTGAGGAAAGGGGCTTCTTATGGGGATGGGGGAGAGCCATTCCAAAATTATTATTATTATTATTATTATTATTATTATTATTATTAACTTTATTTATACCCCGCAAAATCTCCCGAAGGACTCGATGCGGCTTACAAAGGCCGAGGCTGCCGACAACAACAACATACAATACACAATAAAACTCATAAAAAATAAAATAAACTCATAAGCAAATAATAAACCTCAAGCAATCAATGAAACAGTAAAACGATGACACCGTGACGCAATTTAAAAACCTAAAGGCCGGGCCAAATGTAACAGACAAAATTTAAAAGTGCTGAACTTGACAGGTCATATGTAGAGGTATTTGGAGGTAGGTGCAATGTGCAAATAACCCTGAATCTCTAACACAGTGCATTTGGGACTTGATGCCAGGAGTTTCCTATTCTGGAAAGGCACACTGGGACAGCCAGGTCTTCAGGCTCTTCCTGAAGACTGCCAATGTTGGGGCTTGTCTGATGTCCTTGGAGAAAGAGTTCCAGAGTCGGGGGGCCACCACAGAGAAGGCCCTGTCCCTCGTCCCCACCAAACGCGCCTGCGACGCAGGTGGGATTGTGAGCAGGGCCTCTCCAGTTGATTGAAGGGAGCGTGCGGGTTCATAAACGGAGATGCGGTCACGCAGGTAGGCAGGTCCCAAACCATTTAGGGCTTTGTAGGTGAGCACCTGCACCTTGAATTGGGATCGGAAAATGAACGGCAGCCAATGAAGCTCCTTGAACAGGAGGGTTGTCCTCTCTCTGTAAGGAGCACTAGTTAACATCCCGGCTGCCGCCCGCTGGACTAGCTGAAATTTCCGAGCCGTTTTCAAGGGCAGCCCCACGTAGAGCGCATTACAGTAGTCCAATCTAGAGGTGACTAAGGCATGGACCACCCCGGCCAGATCAGCCTTTATGAGGTAAGGTCGCAGTTGGTGACATCCACAAGATGTCAGGGCTTGTGATGAAGGGCTTCTTCACCCAGTATCTGAGTCAGGGGCAAGCGGAGGGCAGCAGCCTGGCACTGAGGAATCTACCCGTGCAGAGCAGAAGCAAGAACAGGGAAAAAGAGACACAAAGTTTGGGCTGGATCAGGAGCTCCAGGAGTTGAACATTCCAGTTATTAAGGCTGCAATTAAGGGTTTGCTGGAGTTGTATGTACAGTAGAGTCTCACTTATCTGACATAAAGGGCTGGCAGAACGCCGAATAAATGAAAATGTCGGACTGTGGCGCAGCTGGCTGAGTGTCAGCTGCATTAAGATCACTTCTGACCAAAAGGTCATGAGTTCGAAGCCAGCCCGGGTCAGAGAGAGATTCCGACCAATTGTGTAGCCTGTTGTTGACCTTTGCAACCTGAAAGACAGTTGCATCTGTCAAGTAGGAAAATTGGGTACCACCTCTATGTGGGGAGGCTAATTTAACTAATTTACGAGGCCATAAAAAAGACTCCAGCAAAGCATGCAGGGAATGCGCAAGTACTTCATCAGCGACAGTTAAATAGCCTCTGACTGTCTATATCTGTTGTGTGTCTTTGGCATTGAATGTTTGCCATATATGTATACATTGTAATCCGCCCTGAGTCCCCTGCGGGGTAAGAAGGGCAGAATATAAATACTGTAAATAAATAAATAAATAAAACAGAATCTCCTGTCCGATGCAGCACTAGGGACCTAGAGTACTAACAACAGAGACTCAAAGGGTTAAGGCAAGTCAACGCCGCAGGGCTAGAGCGGCTCAGCAGGAAGTGCCCAGATGTGGAAAAGGAGTGTGGAAATCACAGAGGGAAGGAGGGAGGATGCTTCCATTTCCGGTCCTCCCTTCCCCCCTTTCCTCCCTCCTTCTCCTCCTTATCTTGCCTTTTTCACTTATTGGGAATGGAGAGAAAGTTGGGGAGCACTCCTTTAATGGAAGGGGAAATGCTGGAGGAAAATTGGGGGGGGGGGTCAGATGAGAGCGTCGGATAGGACAGAATGTTGGATAAATGAAGGTTGGATAAGCGAGACTCTACTGTATTATTAGTGTGGAACACATCTCACCACGCTAAAACAGTGGATGTGGCTCTTAATGAGACATGCTGCATTATCACGGGGTAGAAACAATATCATACGAAAGCTGACTGGCACAACCTGGGGATCACAACGAGACACAGTGAAGACATCTGCCCTTGCTCTATGCTACTCTGCTGCTGAGTATGCATGCCCAGTGTGGAACGCATCCCACCATGCTAAAACAGTAGATGTGGCTCTTAATGAGACATGCCGCATTCTCACGGGGTATCTGCGCCCTACACTACTGGAATACCTACACTGTTTAGCCGGTATTGCACCATCTGACATTCGACTTGAAGTAGCAACCAATAGTGAAAGGACCAAGGCAGTGACATCTCCGGCCCACCCCGTTTGGGTATTAGCCAGCACGTCAACGACTTAAATCAAGAAATATCTACAGAGACCTCAGCAAGCGAGAGTCCAAAAGTGGCAGGCTCAAATCCAGAACCTCAATCAATGGCTGATACCAAATGAGAGACTCATTCCTGGGCACACAAAAAACTGGGCGACTTGGAAGGCGCTGAACAGACTCCGCTCTGGCACCACGAGATGCAGAGCCAACCTTAAGAAATGGGGCCACAAAGTGGAATCCACGACATGCGAGTGTGGAGAAGAGCAAACCACTGACCACCTGCTGCAATGCAACCTGAGCCCTGCCACATGCCCGATGGAGGACCTTAGAGCAACACTAGAGGCACTCCAAGTGGCCAGCTACTGGTCAAAGGACATTTAGTAGAATACAAAGTCTGCAAAATTTGTGTTTTGTTTGTTTGTTCACTCCTGACACAATGAGGGCCAATGAGGAAAGCGCTTGGGAAAGTGGCATACAGAGCTGGTTGGAGCTGGTAGTTTGCTGGGAGCAACGTCGTGGAACTGCTACAGCTGAATCTCTGTCTGTGAACTTTTGAATGGAACCTTGGATTTGGTGACGAAACTACAACTTGGATTGGTGAGACTGCTTGGCTTTGACCCTTGGAAAGAACTCTGGACTCTTTTTATGCTTTGCCCTTGTTGGACCACTTGCTGTGTATGACTACAAACTGCCTTGAGTACGAGGCATTGAGTGCCTGCATTTAACAGAGATTTCCCATCGTGGTCAACTGTGAATCGCACATATGGTAATCTCTGTGCCTGCGCAGAGCAGCTTTCGGAACCTTCTAGACATTTTATAAAAAACATTTTGGTGGGATTCTGCGTACAGGCCTTTGATAGCCAGGCGTTGGGACAACCTCCGCCCCTCCCACCCCTGCCACAAGTGGGTCGCACCTGCCTGGCCCGTGCCAGGGCCCCTCGGCGATACAGGTAGTCCTCGGCATTCATGATGAAGAGCATCTTGTGGGAGCTGAGGCGGAACTTGCAGTCCACGTTGCAGGCGCTTTCCACCCCCACCCGCTGCTTCCAGGAGCTCTTGGCCTTGTGCCGTAAGGCCTGGACCTGCTGGCACTGCCACCGCCGGAAACGGCTCAGGTTCCTAAGGAGAAGAAAGACCACGCATGTTGGTGATGGGGGGCAAACACAAGGGGCGTACAGCGCAAATAGGGTTCAGGTGCCGGTCTAGGGACCACTGTCCACAACGCCCTGGCAGGAAATTGCCCAGCACGGAAATACAATAGGACAATAGCATAGAATAACTCGATTGTCATTGTACTTCATACAACAAAACTAAATGCCAACCCCAATGCTTATTATGTATGTACAATTGCAAAACAAAGCACCCATCCATCCACATTCGAATCCACTGTTTCTCAACTTTCCTAATGCCACAATCCCTTAATACACTTCCTAGTGTTGTGGTGACTCCCAACCATAAAATTATTTTTGTTGCTACTTTATAACTGTAATTTTGCTACTGCTATGAATCTATTTATTTATTTACTTGCGGCATTTATATGCCTCCCTTCTCATCCCAAAGGCGACTCAGAGCGGCTTACAATATATATTTTCATACAATATATTATATTATTAGCATAGCACAATATCAGTATATATTACTATATTACTATATGAATCGTCATGTAAATATCTGATATGCAGAATGTATTTTCAATCACTGGATCAAATATGGCACAAATAATAATAATAATAATAATAATAATAATAATAATAATAATAATCCTTTATTTGTACCCCGCTAACATCTCCCGAAGGACTCGGTGCGGCTTACAAGAGGCCGAGGCCCAAACATCACACAATACGCCCAAATTTGAATACTGGTGGGGGTTTTTTTTGGGGGGGGGGGAATGATTTTGTCATTTGGGAGTTGTAGTTGCTCAGATTTATAGTCCACCTACGGAGCATTCTGAACTCCACCAACGATGGAATTGGACCAAATTTGGCACACAGAACTCCTATGACCAACAAAAAACACTGGAAGGATTTAGTGGGCAATGACCTTGAGTTTGGGAGTTGTAGTTCACCTACATCCAGAGAGGCCTGTGGACCCAAGCAATGATGGAACTGGACCAAACTTGGCACGGATACTCAGTATGCCCAAATGTGAACACTAGTGGAGTTTAGGGGAAATAGACCTTGACATTTGGGAGTTGTAGATGCTGGGATTTATAGTTCACCTACAACCGAGAAGCATTCTGAACCCCACCGACAATAGAATTGGGCCAAACTCCTCACACAGAACCTCCATGACGAACAGAAAATACTGTGTTTTCTGATGGTCTTTGGTGACCCCTCTGAGATCCCCTCATGACCCCCCAGGGGTCCCGACCCCCAGATTGAGAAACGCTGTTCTAAACGCTCTTGCACATGCCCTAATGCCAATGTATTAGTGAATGGAAGGATAAATTATGAGCTAGATGGGTTGGTGTATAGATAGGTAGATGACAGAGGTGAAGAGTTAGAGAGGTAGAGAGAGAGATGTATTGGGGAATTAATGGATGGGAAGATAGGTAGAGAAAGACACAATAAGATCAAAAGTCTCTCTCAGTCTATTTGCTCTTGTTTTTATCATCCGATCCTGTCTGCCAGATGGTAATAATCCAAAAGAAGAAAAATATCCAGGGGGAGATGGATCCTTAAGGATATTTTGAGCTTTCGTAAGGCAGCAGAGATTATGACAAAGTTCTTCCAAAGGGACCTTCCTTCTTCAGGTCACCACTCACCACAAAGAAGGGCATTTGGACCTCCCCACCGCAGCCTAGAATCTGGGGAGCAGAGCCTGGAGGGAGAGTGGGTAAGGAAAAGGCTGAGCCTCACCTTTGGAGAAAGACCGGCTTGAGAAGGAAGCCTTCCGTCTGGTTGTGTGGAGCCCCCTCCTCGCCCACGTACTGCTCCACGTAATTGGCCAAGTGCTGGAGGAAACAGAAGGAAGCGGAAGGGAAGTTGAGGCCAGTCTCTCCAGGAACACCCCCAAAGATCACAGCAGCCATGAGACCCGACCGGGCTCCTCTCACCTGCACCTCCGTGGGGTCTTCGGTTTGGGTCTCCTCAGTGTCCAGCAGCTCAATGGTCATGATGACCTGGTCCTTCCGCTGGAGGAACATCACCTGCCAAAAGACACATGCTGTTCGCATACAAAGAGGAAGAGGAAGCTGCCCAACAACATCCCGAAATTTGTTTAGAATTGCCCTTTCTATCTGTCTCTGCACCACTTTCCTTTGGGGGCCTGAAAAAGTGGTCATACCCCTAATAGGTAGTCCATACTTCCTGCTGGCCAGAGGGCATAGAATCATAGAATAATAATAATAATAGTAATAATAATAATAAATTTATTTATTTATTTATACAACAACAACAACAATGGGCGAGTGGGCTTATTAACAAGAGACTCTCCTCATAAATGCACAGCAGAGTACTTCGACAAGGGCAAGAAGGCCGCCGCCCTGCAGGTAGGTGCCTAATTATGCCCATTGCTTGGGCTCTGACAACCCAAGAGTTCCCTGAATGGTCCAGGTGGGCTCCATGGTCCTTCCAGGCTGTAGGTTCTTGATCCATGGACTCTGGTTGTCGATTCAGGGGTTACAGCCTGTGTTGGATGGGGTTACACTCCCCCTAAAGACATAGGTTCGCAGCTTGGGAGTTCTCCTGGACTCATCGCTGAGCCTGGAACCCCAGGTCTCAGTGGTGGCCAGGGGGGCTTTCGCATAATTAAAACTTGTTCACCAGCTGCGCCCATACCTTGGGAAGTCTGATCTGGCCACGGTGGTCCATGCTCTGGTTACATCCCAAATAGATTACTGCAACGCGCTCAACATGGGGCTGCCTTTGAAGACGGTTCGGAAACTTCAGTTAGTTCAACGGGCGGCAGCCAGATTACTAACTGGGGCGGCATACAGGGAGCATACCACCCGCCTGTTATGTCAGCTCCACTGGCTGCCGGTCCATCTCCGAGCCCAATTCAAAGTGCTGGTTTTGACCTATAAAGCTCTATACGGTTCTGGCCCAGCTTACTTGTCCGAACGCATCTGCCCCTATCTATCTATCTGAACACATCTCTCCCTACGAATCCCCCCAGGAACTTAAGATCGTCTGGAGAGGCCCTGCTCTCGATTCCGCCTGCCCTAAACAGTTCTGGCCCTACTTACCTCTCCGAACGCATCTCCTCCTATGAACCGACTAGGACACTAAGATCGTCTGGGGAGGCCCTGCTCTCTGTCCCGCCTGCATCACAGGCGCGCTTGGCAGAGACGAGAGACAGGGCCTTCTCTGTGGTGGCCCCCCGGCTGTGGAACTCCCTCCCTAGGGATATTAGATCAGCCCCCTCGCTCCTGACTTTCCGAAAAAGAGTAAAAACTTGGCTCTTCGAGCAAGCATTCGGAGTAAACAGACAAACTAGAGTTGGAAACTGACCCAGGAACGTCCAAGACAATGTAACGGATGAAGATTTGAACGAGAGGACATTGTTTCTTTTTAAATTGTTTATTATGCACTGTCGTTTATGTTTAATTGCGCTTGATGTTTTTGCTTTATCAATGTATGTAATTTGTTTCGGCATCGAATTGTGCTGACTGTGTATACCACTCTGAGTCGCCTTTGGGCTGAAATGGGCGGGATAGAAATAATGTAAATAAATAAATAAATAAATACATCCCACCTCGCAATTTAAGATCATCTGGGGAGGTCCTGCTCTCGCTCCCGTCAACAGCGCAAATGCGGCTGGCGGGGACGAGGAGCAGGGCCTTCTCGGCTGTGGCCCCCCGCCTATGGAACACACTCCCAAAGGAGGTACGATCTGCTCCCTCGCTCCTGACCTTTAGAAAAAAAATTAAATGGTTCTGGGATTAGGCCTTCGGACAATAGATGTATGCAGCTTTTAGTGGGACAAGGACTGGAATGGCGACTCGACTGATTTTTTTCTTTTTTTGGTCGTGTCAGGAGTGACTCCTGGTGTGAGAGAATTGGCCGTCTGCAAAGACGTTGCCCAGGGGACGCCTGGATGATTTGATGTTTTTATCATCCTTGTGGGAGGCTTCTCTCTTGTCCCCGCATGAGGAGCTGGAGCTGATAGAGGGAGCTCATCCGCCTCTCCCCGGATTCGAACCTGTGACCTGTCGGTCTTCAGTCCTGCCGGCACAGGACTGAGTCACCAGGGGCTCCGACTCGACTGATGAGATTGTTTTATAGTTTTAATAACTGTTTTGATATTTGGTAATGTACTATTTTTAATATGATTTATGAATTGTTGCCATTATCTATGTGTAAACCGCTTTGAGTCCCCCTAGGGGTGAGAAAAGTGGTATATAAATACAGTAACGTAAAGTAAAAAGTAAAGTAAAATAAAAGTAAAGTAAAAAGTAAAGTAAAGTAAAATAAAATAAATAATAGTCCAGAGTGATAGAAAGAACAAAAAACATACAGACTAATGTTATCTCTTCCTTAGGAGGCTTTTCTTTGTAGCAAAACAAAAAACACATCACAATGCATACACAAAACCACATATATACACACACAAACATATATACACAGACTGGGCCACAGCAACGTGTGGCAGGGGATGGCTAGTGTACAAATAAATCTATAATACTAATACTAATAGAGTTGGAAGAGAGCGTATGGGCCATCCAGTCCAACCCCTTTCTTTCTGCTATGCAGGAAAAGCACAATCAAAGTACAGGGAATGGAGGGTGCTAAGCGGTGACCTGCCCAGCTCCCAGGGATTCAAGATGCTCTTATAATCTAGGCTGGACCACTACTCATGCCAAAAGGGCTTTAGCGCTGGACGTCCGCACCTTGAAGCAGTTCTCGTCGGTCATGCAGTGCTCGGCCTTCCACTGGTATCCGGTCTCCTTGGCTGCCCGCACACTCTGGGAGGAGAGGTTCCCTCCGGCCGCACCAGCCTTGCGCTCGCCCAGGTGAAGCTCCACCACTTTCAGGCATACCTCGTCGCTCACCAAATGGTGCAGCTGAGCATCAGAAGAATAACAACAATTTCATTTCTTACTTAAAGAAGAAGAGGATTGAGTCCCCTTGGTTCCGTTGAGGTCCAGTGCCAAATACCTTTAGTCTTTTCTATTTCCCAATCAGAAACTAGAAATAAGAAGACTGAAAATGCAATAGCCCTATATGGTTCTGGCCCAGCTTACTTGTCCGAACATATCTCCCCCTACGTCCCATCTTGAAACTTACGATCTTCCGGGGAAGCCCTGCTCTCGATTCCACCTTTGTCGCAAACGCGCTTGGTGAGGACGAGAGACAGGGCCTTCTCGGCGGTGGCCCCCCCGCCTGTGGAATTCACTCCCCAGCAAAATTACTTCAGTGGCTTCCCTCGTTTCCTTCAGGAAAAAGTTGAAGATGTGGCTATGGGACCAGGCATTCAGATAGGCATTTGGATAGCAGGCTGACAATAAAATGACGACAATGCTATGGAAAATGGACTATGGACAGGCTTCGGATTAAGTTGTTGATCGTAGAACTCGGACTTAGACATGGCCAACTAATTCAATTTGCACTATTTGAAATGGTTGTTAATCTAATTCTAATGTTTTACTTATTATGTAACTGTTGTTTTACCTGTTGTATATTTATTTATACCCTTCTCACCTCGAAGGGGACTCAAAGCGGCTTACAGGTATATATTACATACAATATATTATATTATTGGCATAGTACAATATCAGCATTAAACATTGGTGTCATTGTTTTAGTGTTTTATTGTTTGCTTGATGTTTTATTATTTGCTTATGAGTTTTAATGTTGTATTTGTATGCTGTTGTTGTTGGTGGCCTTGGCCTTGTAAGCTGCATCGAGTCCTTTGGGAGATTTTGCGGGGTATAAATAAAGTTAATAGTAATAATAATATATTGCACCATACCACTATATTGTAATATTATTAGTAATATTACATTTTTTTTGGGTCGTGTCAGGAGCGACTTGAGAAACTGCAAGTCGCTTCTGGTGTGAGAGAATTGGCCGTCTGCAAGGACATTGCCCAGGGGACGCCCGGATGATTTGATGTTTTTATCATACTTGTGGGAGGCTTCTCTCGTGTCCCTGCTTGGGGAGCTGGAGCTGACAGAGGGAGCTCATCTGCCTCTCCGTGGATTCGAACCTGCGACCTGTCCGTCTTCAGTTCTGCCAGCACAGGGGTTTAACCCACTGCACCACCGGGGGCTCCAATATTACATGTAATATACATATATAATTATAATAATAATAATATATTATTATTATTATTATTATTATATTGCATTACATTATAATATTATAAATATTATATGTATATACAATAAAAGGTAAAGGTAGTCCCCTGACATTAAGTCCAGTCATATCTGACTCTGGGGTGTGGTGCTCATCTCCATTTCTAAGCCGAAGAGCCAGCGTTGTCCGTAGACACCTCCAAGGTCATGTGGCCGGCATGACTGCATGGAGCGCCGTTACCTTCCCGCCGGAGCGGTACCTATTGATCTACTCACATTTGCATGTTTTTGAACTGCTAGGTTGGCAGAAGCTAGGGCTGACAGCGGAAGCTCACGCCGCTCCTCGGAATCGAACCTGCGACCTTTCGATCAACAAGCTCAGTAGCTCAGTGCTTTAACCCACTGCGCCACCGGGGGCTCCGTATATACAATATATTATATTATATTATATTATATTATATTATATTATATTATATTATATTATATTATATTATATTATATTAGAATAGCATGGAGGGCATCGAATTGTTGCCGGCTATAAACCACCCTGAGTCCCTCTTCGGGGGTAGAGAAGGGCAGGGTACAAATATTTGAAATAAAAAATAAATAATAATAATAAATAGCTTAATCTGCAAAAAGTACTACGGGACGGTTACAAATTGCAAAACGGGGAGTGTCACACTTGACTCTCCTGCATAATGGGTTTTTATAGGGAACCAGAGTTTAAGGTAAACATGCCATCAAGCCACCTTTTCGCCTTCTCTCTCGCAGCACTATGCTTCAATTCAGGGGTCACTTGTTTCTCGTTGTTCCTAAACAATCCAGTTTTGAGAAACCTTTCCTGTGCCGTTTTCCCTCTTCTCATCTCTTTCCGGCCACGACCATTTCACCAACATCTCTCCCATGGTGCTTGGCAACGTTTATTATCTCTTTCCAAATTCCTTCATTCTCTTCTCACTCACTTCGCACCTCTCTTCAACCCATTCCCAATCTCTCTTCTTCTAAAATCCACTTCCAAAATTTTAGCTCCGTCTGGCGAGGAGCCACGCCAGGAGGAGGCTGCAGAGGCCTCCAAAGAGACACAGGGTTCAGTAACACATCTCATATTCCAGGCCTGGGCCTACTTAGGCCCTCCAGGACTCTGTACTTTTAGGGGAGAGTCTGGGATTCCCCAGGGTTGACCCTGTCCTCATTCATCACCTCAAGACTCACTTGAGGTTCACCTTGAAGGGTCACTTCAGGTTCTAGCCAACACAGTCCTCCCCCCTTTCCCTCCCAAACTTCTTACCTGCCGGACAATGTTCTGCACCAGCTTGTCCATGGTGAAGCCAATGTAGGCGTGGATGGTGAACATCTCCCGCAAGGTGTCCTCGTACTGTGTCGGGTCAATGTTGCCATCCAGGAGGTTCCTCACCAGGTCCAGGAAGGCTGGGTAGTACTCCTCCAGCTCCACTTCGCCTATGGACACAAAGCGGCACCGTAAACAAGCAGTAACACCTTCCGCATGGCGAGGGTGCAGCTGCTGTTTGTTAACAGGGGGAATTGTGTGCATAACCCTCTGGCTGTTTCCCGATCCCGATTAAGAGAACACCCGAAAGTCTTACCCAAATGCCACGGGAGATTCTCCCAAAGAGATGCTTCAAAACGCAACCCTGCTCACTGGCTTTGGGCCCCACAGACTGCCTGCTTTATGCCATGTCTAAACTAAACGATTGCAATGGAAAGCCAAACAGAGTAGAACCAGGGCTCGCAAAGCAGATGCCACCCAGGGATTGTTTTGGAAGGTTTCTCCGCCACCGCAAAAGACACTTTCCCCCCACTCAACTCTATCCTTCAATTCTCCATCTCTCACCCTTTCTACACTGTCCTTACATCCCAGGATCTGATCCCAGATTATCTTTTTATCCCAGATTAGATTTATTTATTTATTTATTTATTTATTATTCAAGCTTATATGCCGCCACTCCCCTGGGGCTCGGAGCGGCTTACAAGAACAGGCTAAAATCTAACACAATTTAAAACAATTTAAAAACAGCAATATAAACATTAAAAGCCTGTCGAAACAGGTATGTCTTACATGCCCTGCGGAAAGCTGATAAGTCCCGCAAGGCATGGACTTCAGGTGGCAGAGTGTTCCAGAGTGATGGTGCCACTGCTGTAAAGGCTCTGCGTCTGGTTGCTGTTAGACGCAAGGTCTTGACACTGGGAATTTCCAATAGATCTTGGTCCTCAGAACGGAGGGATCTCTGGGGTTGGTAGGGGGTGAGGCGGTCCCTCAGGTACATCGGCCCCAGACCATGCAAGGCCTTAAAGGTGAGTACCATCACTTTGAAAGTGATCCGGTGCTCAATTGGTAACCAATGCAGCTGTAGTAAGATTGGTGTTATGTGGCATCTCATCGGAATTCCCGCAAGAAGCCGAGCAGCTGCATTTTGTACCAACTTGAGCTTCTGGATCACTGACAGAGGAAGGCCAATGTAGAGGGCGTTACAGTAGTCCAGTCTTGAGATGACCGTAGCCTGGATCACCGTAGCTAGGTCGTCCCTGGACAGGGAGGGGGCCAGCCGTCTAGCCTACCGCAGATGAAAGAAGGCGGTTCTGCTAACGGCGGAGACCTGGGCCTCCATCATCAGCAGAGGGTCCAAAAGGACTCCCAGACTCTTTACCAATGATGACGGGCGTAGCGCCTCGCCATCCAGGGTAGGCAGCTGGATGTCCCCACTGCCCGGTCGACCCAGCCATAGGATCTCCGTCTTTGCTGGATTCACCCTCAACCTGCTGGCACGCAGCCATCCAGTAACGGCCTCAAGGTACTGATGGAAACAATCGGGTACAGAATCCGGTCGGCCTTCCATCTTCAGCACCAGCTGAGTGTCATCGGCGTACTGATAACAAGCCCAAAACCTCGAACCAGCTGAGCAAGTGGTCGCATATAGATGTTAAACAACAGAGGGGAGAGAATGGCCCCCTGAGGAAACCCACAAGATAGAGGGGACCTCTCAGAGACCAGGCCTCCCCTCTCCACTCGCTGTCCACGGTTGTGAAGAAAGGAGGACAGCCAGTTTAAAGCTGTCCCCCTGACTCCAGCAACAGCAAGGCGGTGGGTCAAAAGATTGTGGTTGACTGTGTCAAATGCTGCTGTGAGATCCAATAACACAAGCAGCACTGACCTGCCCTGGTCAAGCTGGCATCGAAGGTGATCCGTGATGGAGACCAGCACAGTCTCTGTCCCGTGCCCCGCACGGAAGCCGGACTGGAAGGGATCTAGTCCGGCTGTGTCGTCTAGGAATTGCTGCAACTGCTCCGCTGCTGCCCTCTCAATCACCTTGCCCAGGAACGAAGAGATTCGAAACTGGGCGGTAACTGGAGGGAACCGAACAATCTAAGTCTGGTTTCTTCAGCAGGGGAGAGACCACTGCCTCTTTTAAACCCTCTGGAAAAGCTCCTTGCTCAAGGGAGCTGTTTGTGATCTTCAACAGAGGGTCACGTAATCCCTCCAAGCAGGATTTCACCAACCAAGAGGGACACGGATCGAGGGAGTAAGTCGGTCTAGCTACAGCTATGAGCCTATTGACAGCCCCTGCGTCCAGCGAGGATGGGCCCAGCAAGTGGCCAAGGAGTCTCAAGTTCTCTCACTGTATCAATTGTGGCAGGGAGGTCCCGGCGAAGTAGCGAGATCTTGTCTGCAAAATAGCTCTGAAAAACCTCGGCTGAAGGGGCCTGATCACCACTTTTTGGGACAGTAGGAACCGCCATTAGAGATCGAATTATTTTGAACAATTTTGCCGGGCATGAGCTAGCAGACGCTATCAAAGAAGCATAATATACTCGCTTTGCCTCGGTGATAGCATGCTCATAGGACTCCCTAAATGCCTCATAAGCTGAACCAAGGAGACCGATTTCGGTGGGGTCGGAGAGGGTGTCTAGGGGCGATCTCGTCGAGTGCACTGGATAGCCTGATGTTCCATGTGTCCACCTGCACATCGATCGAGTCGCTGGCAGGCTCCAGATCCCTTAGAGCATTCCGGAACCTACTGGGTTCCATAAGTCTCCTTGGGCGAGCCCAAATTGGCTTGGTGCCCTTGCAGAGACTCATATAATCTGCTTCAGCAGAGATTTATATAATCTGGTTCAAAGCAGATAATCTGGGAGCAGGTCCTGGGATATTATTTCTTTACTTAGAATATTTTTATTCCACCCTTCTCACCTCGCAAGGGACTCAGGGCGGATTACAATGTACATATACATGGCAAACATTCAATGCCACACAACATATATAGACAGACACACAGAGGCCATTTAACGTTCCAGCTTCATGAGGGTATTCTGGCTACCAGGGGAGCTGTTGCTTCACTGTCCATTTGTTACATTGATGGAGTACTTCCTCATACTTTGCACACTTGCTGGAGATTTTATGGCAGGGGTCCTCAAACTAAGGCCCGAGGGCCAGATACTGCCCTCCAAGGTCATTTACCTTTACCTGTCAACCACGGTCCTCTCACTTTGGTTTCTTGGCTTCACCAGGGGCTCCCTCCCCTTCCGTATCTGTCATCTCTGGCCATTATAGCCTTTTGGTAGGCATGGGCAAACTTCGGTCCTCCAAGTGTTTTGGACTACAGCCAACTGTCTGTTAGGAATTGTCCAAAACACATGGAGGCCAAAGCTTGCTCACCCCTGCCTTTTGGGGTCCCCCTTTTTTCCTCTGAGTGAAGGCATGAAGCCGACTCTGGCCGCAGGGCAATGGAGACCACATGGCAAGTCTGGGTCCCGATGTTCCAACCTTGACCCATTCCTGCACTTGTCCCAAGAAATATAATGTGCAGATTTGATAAATGTGGATTTAATATGTGTGGGTGTGAATGAACTGAATGGAGATGAATGAATGAATGCTAATAATTTTGGAGACACCATTCTAAAAGATTAAGGCCTGCAATGACTAACTACCTGCTTTGCTGGATGGTAATTAAAACCTGCTAATGAGAACTGAAAAAGGAAACTGTGATAAGAACTGTGACAATGATAAGAGAAATGTCTACAATGTTAAGAAGGAAGTCAACACAAGGCTAACACCAATCAAGAAGAGTCAACATCTTCCCACGGTACACTATCTCCTTCCCAATGGAGCAGAGCATGGTGAGTGAACAGCGTCGCTGTCTGTCACAATTGAGAATTATTAAATTGAGTCTTTCACAGGAATATTCTGCTGATGTAGTCCCAAAGTTGTAAATTAATTCCATCCTGGCTCCTGCAATGACTAACTACCTGCTTGCTGGATGGTAATTAAAACCTGCTAATGAGAACTGAAAAAGGAAACTGTGATAAGAACTGTGACAATGATAAGAGAAATGTCTACAATGTTAAGAAGGAAGTCAACACAAGGCTAACACCAATCAAGAAGAATCTGTATGTTTGCATGTCCAATGTCATACAAGTTCTGATATACCCTTTCACACTGGAAATTGCAATAAAAAGAGCCTATGCTTTAAAGTCATTGAAAAGTTATTCATGACACACTTACTGGGCTGCTTGAGGCGCAGCTCCCGGGCAGGGTCGTTGCCCCGCTCCCTCCGCCCCTCGCAGAGCAGCCGCTCGCGCTCCTTCTCCTTCCGGTGCTCCAGCAGCTGCTTCTGGGCCTGGCGGTAGATCTTGAGCAGCCGGGCGCAGAGCGTCTGGTGCAGCCGCAGGAAGAAGTACCAGTTGTTGTTGGCAAAGAAGAGCGTGTAGACGTTGTCCGGTGAGCAGTGAGGGGTGCCTGCGGGAGGAGGAGGAGGGGGCGCTGCGGCACCCTCACGGGGGAGGCCCTTCTCCTTTGGGGGGCTGGATGGCGGGTGCCGTTTCCGGCGCTCGTGGCCCTCCGGCGGCGCTGGCTTCTCCTCCAAAGGGTTAGCGGACGGCAAGGGGCCCCTTTTCCGCAACTCGTGAGCCTCCTCCGGCTGCGGACCAGGAACGGTCCTCCGGCGCAAGTCGCGCACCTCAGTCACTTGGGATTCGGAACTCACTTTCTCCTCACTCGGCGTCTCCTCAGCCGCTGGCTGTTCGGACGGCTTAGAGAAGAATAGTTCAGGCACAAAGTGCTGAATGATGTGCCGAATGGTGGCCTGGTCCTCCTTCTGGATGGTGGGCTGCCGCTTCACATAGTAGCTTATCAAAGCAGCCACATCCTCCAGGATCTGCTTGTCCTCATAGACAAAGATCAGGTGTGGCTCGCTGGCGGCCCCGCGGCCCTCCGAATGCTGCTCCTGATGCTGGAAAGAGATAGTGCAAGAAAGACGGTGAAGCACTGGGAGATGTCAAACTCACACTGGGTTGCTGTGAGTTTTCCAGCTGCGTGGCCATGTTCCAGAAGCATTCTCTCCTGACATTTCGCCTGCATTTATAGTAGGCATCCTTGGAGGTTGTCAAGTCTGTTGGAAACTAGGCAAGTGGGGTTGATCTATATCTCTGTGAAAGAGTGTCCAGGGTGGGAGAAACCCCACTTGCCGAGTTTCCAACAGAGCTCACAACCTCTGGGGATGCCTGCCATAGATGTGGGCGGAACATCAGGACAGAATGCTTCTGGAACATGGCCAGACAGCTGGGAAAACTAACAGCAACCCACTGGAAGTCGTTTCGTTTACCGACTCACACGCAGCCTTCATTGGCATACAACAGGTATGGGCCGGTAGGCTGTTAGGAATTGTGTGAGTTGAAGTCCAAAACACCTGTAGAGAGGGTCAAAGTTGGCCCATGCCTGGCATACGACATACAAAAATCACAATACAGGCATATACAACAAGAGGAAGACACAGATAAGAAGGAAAGCATAACATACACTTTGTAAAACGTTATTACAGGCAGTCCCCAAGTGACAAACAAGATAGGTTCTGTAGGTTTGTTCATAAGTCGCGAAGTGTGACTCCAACAAAACATGTGTATTTTTTAGCTCTGGATAGCATAGAGAAGGGTGAACACCCCAGTGGTGTTTCCTTTGCTATCTGTGCCCCTGTTTGGAAGAGTTATTATTTCTTCCAAGGGATAAATTTCCAACATTTCCTGTTGTCTCACCCTCATTCTTAACTAAACCACCGCCTCCTCCTGAGAAAAATGTATAATATCACGAAGGACTACCACCTCACCCACTTCACAGGAAACCTGGTACAAAACAGGAGCTTTTTTGTTGAGTTCCAGGGCCAAAGAAGCAGATGGCGGAAACATGTTCCATCAATGTTCAACATTTACACAAATGACCAGCCATTGCCAGAAGGGACGGAGAGCTTCATCTATGCTGACGATCGTGCCATCACCACCCAAGCAGGGAGCTTTGAGATGGTTGAACAGAAGCTCTCCGAAGCTCTAGGTGCCCTTACTGCCTATTACAGGGAAAACCAGCTGATCCCTAATCCATCTAAAAAACAGACATGTGCTTCTCACCTTAAGAACAGACAAGCATCCTGAGCTCTGAAGATTAACTGGGAAGGAATCCCATTGGAGCATTGCAGCACACCCAAATACCTGGGAGTTATTCTGGACTGTGCTCTGACCTACAAGAAGCACTGCCTGAACATCAAGCAAAAAGTGGGCGCTAGAAACAATATCATACGAAAGCTGACTGGCACAACCTAGGGATCACAACCAGACACAGTGAAGGCATCTGCCCTTGTGCTATGCTACTCTACTGCTGAGTATGCATGCCCAGTGTGGAATGCATCCCACCATGCTAAAACAGTGGATGTGGCTCTTAATGAGACATGTCTGCGTCCTATATCACTGGAGAAATTAAACTGTTTAGCCGGTATTACACCACCTGACATCCGCAGGGAAGTAGCAGCAAATAGTGAAAGGACCAAGGCAGTGACACCTCCAGCTCATCCCCTGTTTGGGTATCAGCCAGCACATCAACGACTTAAATCAAGAAATAGATCTACAGAGACACTCACTGGAACACCTCAGCAAGCGAGAGTCCAAAAGTGTCAGGCTCTCCCACAGATAGGACTTGTATGTTTGTAACTTGGGGGAAAATAAAGAAGGATAGCCACTCTCCTGCAGCAGCAACTAGTTGCGTAACGCACCCACCTCGTCATAAATGCTCTCGATCTCATTGAGGAGGCTTTTGGAGCGCAGGGCCTTGGTGTCGTTCTGCTTGAAGTTGACAGCCTGGTGGTCCAGGGACTTGAGGTAGGCCTTCTCGTACTGCTCCCGCCAGATCTTGTTGAAGCCCTGCTGGGCCTCTCGCCACTCTTCCTCCTTGGCCTTCAGCCTGCGGGGGGCACACAGGGAGGCAGGACCCCTTTGCTTATTCCATTGAGAGCGTCTCCACCATCCCCATCCCGAAATGCATGCAGAAAAACACCCCAAAACCACACTGAGAGGCACATGCCGTCTCGGAAGGGGGTTGAGCATACCTCCACCTTCAAACAGTTTTAAAATGTGAAGTATACTCCCCACAGACCCCCAAACCTACCCCCTTCTTCACCCACCAGGCCGGTCTGTGAAGCAGATCATAGAGTTGGAAGAGACCACATAGGTCATGTAGGAAAACTCAACAATAATAATCTATATAAATAAAAATTGTAATGTTCGTTTGTGATATTCACAGAACTCAAAAACCACTGGGGCAATTGGCACCAAATTTGGACACGATACACCTAACAACCCAATTTATGTCCTTCACGCAAAATAATAATAATAATAATTAACCGGAAAGAACTTACCCCCCACAATGCTAAATGCCTATACAGAGCCAGTGTAAAAAGAACACCCTCCCCTGCCCCTTGCTCCTGGACGAGGGAAGAGGGGAAAGAAACCAACCGCTGAGAGAGAGAGAGAGAGAGAGAGAGAGAGAGGTGGCAGAAGAGAAGGTGGCTGGTCTATCCCTCTGGCTACCCCTGCCTCTCTTCCCAAAGGATTCAGAGAGAGAGAGATCTCCTTTCCTTTCCTTTCCTTCTTGCCTGTCGCTGGGCTGCTGGAAACTCACACGGGAGGGATTTCCCAGAATTCCTTCCCATACAAAAACCCACGCTCTGTGAGTTCAGAAAGGCTGTCCAGGAAGGCACAATCAAAACACTCCCAAAAGATGGCCATCCATTTTTACTTTATAACAACCCTGGGCTATATCTACAATAATAATATCTATATATCCATCATAATAATATCTATCAATCTATAATAATATATACGTCTATGATATCTATATGTCTTTAACAATAATATCTACATTTCTATCATAATATCTATATGTCTGTAATAATGTCTACATGCCTATAATAATATCTACAGGTCTATAATAATATCCATATGTCTATAATTATAATATCTGTCTGACAAAAATATCTGTACATTTATAACAAGAATACCTATATTCCTATAATATCTATGTCTATAATAATAAGAATATCTATATACAGTATAATAATATGTATACATCTATAATAATAATAGCTATATAATATCTATAAACATAACAATAAAATAATAACATCTATCTATATATATAAGAATCTGAAGGGCGTCCTTAGGCGGTCAAAAACAGAGAAACCACCAGATGAAATCTCACCAAATTTGGTCTGCTAATACCTCTTCCCCCAAGGTATGACCAACAACCCTCAAAACACCAATACGCAACAACACAAACACACAATACCCGCAAAACACAGAGCATGCGCAGAGGCCTCGGGAGGAATATGATGAGGAAGGACTCCATTTCCCAGCTTCCCCCGCGCCCAAGTCGCCCTCCGCATGCGCACTCCGCCTGCCTGCCTCCCTCTACCCCATCACTCCCGCCGATACACAGACGAGCCCAGCCTGAGAAAGCCCACCAGGCCGATGTAAGCACTAACGGCCGGGGAGGGCATGGAAGCTGCGGGGGGGCCCTGCGGGCAACAAAAACTACACGAGATGGGAGGCCCGCCGTCTTCTCCTAAGTCGGGGCCTCGATTTCTGCCGCAGCCCGGCGCCCCTCTTGCCTTCGGCGGCCTCCGAACCTGCCCGGTGGGAGGTGGGTCTCTCCCAACTGGTTCTCCTGCTCGCTGCTGTTTCACTTTTTTAACAATGTACTCCTCATTTCTGGGATTTACGGTTTTGAACCACACTTGGCACACTGAACTCCCATGACCAACAGATAATACTGCAACGGTTTGGTGCCCATTGACCTTTCCTTTCGGTATTTGGAAAGAAAAGGGTAATGAAGGAAGGAAGGAGAGAAGGAGGGAAAGAAGGAGGGAAGGAGAGAAGGAAGGAAAGAAAAGGGTAGAGAAGGAAGGAGGGAAAGAAGGAGGGAAGGAGATAAAGAAGGAAAGAAAGAAGGTTAAAAAAGGAATGAAGGAGAGTAGGGAGAGAAAGAGGGAAAGGAGGAGGGAAGGAGAGAAAGAAGGAAAGAAAGAAGGGCAGAGAAGGAAGGAAGGAGAGAAGGAGGGAGAGAATGAAATAAAAAGGTGAAAGAGGGAAGTAAGTAGAGAAGGAATGAAAGAGAGAAAGAGGGAAGGAAGGAAAGAGACAAGGAGGGATGGAACAAAGAGCAAAGGAAGCGAGAAAAGAAACAGGTAGAGAGAAGGAAGAAAGAAGAAGGGAAAGAAAAAGAGGGAAGGAAAGAAAGAGGGAGGGAGAGAAGGAAGAGAAAGAAAGGAGAAAGAGGGAGGAAAGTTGGCCACAGCAACGCGTGGCGGGTACAGCTAGTATGTCTATAATATCTATAGGTTTGTAATAATATCCATACATCTGTTGCCTGTTTTTGCTCGAAAGATATTGAGCCCTGTGCTCCTTCTATTTTATATCAGTTTTATACTAATTTATGCAATGCTTTTGATATGAAATTCATAAATAAATAACATCTATAATACTAATACCTATATAGCTTTAATAATAATATTTGTATCTATAATAATAATATCTATGCCTATAATAATATCTATATATCTATAATGACAACAATACCTATATAAAATCTTTGAACTGGGTTACATGGCAGTGTGGACTCAGGTAACCCAGGGCCCTTCCACACATCCATATAACCCTTTGGCCTCGAGGAGACTGAAATGGGCCTATATTAGGTTAACACTTTGCCACTTCCGTTGTGTATTGATCGCTTAGAAACCAGCTCTTCCTCTTTTCTTTCTTTCCCATTTCTCCACAATGGGCCACAGCAACGCGTGGCTGGGTGCAGTTAGTCTATATAAATAAAAATTGTAATGTTCGTTTGTGGGATTAGCAGAACTCAAAAACCACTGGACGAATCAACACCAATTTTGGACAGCATACACCTAACAACCCGATGTATGTCCTTCACTCAAATATTTTTGATTTTGTCATTTGGGAGTTGTAGTTGCTGGAATTTATAGTTCACCTGCCATCAAAGAGCATTCTGAACTCCACCAATGATGGAATTGAACCAAATGTGGCACACGGTTCCTATGACCAACATAAAACATTGGGAAGGGTTTGGTGGGCATTGACCTTAAGCTTTGGAGTTGTAGTTCACCTACATCCAGAGAGCACTGTGGACTCAAACAATGATGGATCTGGACCAAACTTGGCACGAAAACTCAATATGCCCAAATGTGAACACTGGTGGAGTTTGGGGAAAATATGATTTTGTCATTTGGGAGTTGTAGTTGCTGGGATTTATAGTTCAAAGAGTGTTCTGAACCCCACGAACGACAGAATTGGGCGAAACTTCCCACACAGAACCCCCATGACCAATAGAAAATACTTAAGGCCATCCAGTCCAACTCCCTTCACCAGGGCAAGAAAACGTAATCAAAGCCCTCCTGACAAAGAGCCATCCAGCCATAGATATAGATAGATATGATTCACACACACAGATATAGTATCATAGATTTGAAAGGGACCCCTGAAGAAGGACAATTATATGTTGCATGTTCCAGAGTGGGCAAACCAGACAATCTCCACATCAACACTGACAAAGAAACAGCAAGAAATACTGTTTACCCACAAGCATAAAGAAATTACATATATTAGAAACCAACACTTTCATATTACTTTATTTTCCAGATCACCAGACTGGGCCACAGCAACGCGTGGCAGGGGACAGCTAATAATAATAATAATAATAATAATAATAATAATAATAGTAGTAGTAGTAGTAGTAGAGTTGGACGAGACCACACGGGCCACCTAGTCCAACCCCCTTCTTTCTGTCATGCAGGAAGAGCACAACAAAAGCTCCCCCAACAGATGGCCATCCAGCCTCAATAGATGACCACATGGGCCATCCAGTCCAACCCCCTTCTGCCATGCGGGAAGAGCACAATCAAAGCACTCCTGACAGATGGCCATCCAGCCCGAAGAAGAAGAAGAAGAGGAGGAGGAGGAGGAGGAGAGTAGGAAGAGACCACATGGGCCTCACGGTATTCCAAGTCTTGAAGCAAGGTGGAGGAGAGCCCCCCCCCTCGCCTTTCCCGGCACAATCTGCCTCCAGCCTCACCTCTTTAGCACAACAGGGAGGGCCGTGAGGGGGTTCTTCTTGAGGCTTTCGATGATTTCGGGGGCCTTGTCACCGTAGATGCGGTAAATGGCCCGGCGCTGGATCACCTCCGAGGTGCCACCCAGGCAATCGTCCAGCCGGAACTTCTCCTGGTCCTCGGGCGCCATGCGGCCCAGCTTCTTCTGGACACTCTCCAAGACACGGATGGTGGCCAGGTTGGTCTCCAGGACCACGTCCAGCTGCAGGGAGAGAGGGAGAGCATGGATGGTGGCTGACAGCAGTGGCTTTCTAATGCTTTACGACAGTGACATATGACCAGTGACCCTCCAGGCATTTGGGCCTCCCATTCCCAAAAGGTCTAGCCAGCTTGTCTAATGGCAAGGCATTCCGGGAGCTGGAGGGTGGCAAGTGGTGCAGGCCTGCTTCACAGCCTCCTTTGACAGTCAGGGTGAGCTTTTGGAGTACTTACAGTAGAGTCTCGCTTATCTGACATAAACTGGCTGACAGAATGTCGGATAAACACAATTCAAAGTGCTGAATGGTTCTGGCCCAGTTCTCCCAATATCTCCCGGTATGATCCACCTAGGACCCTGCTCGTTTTCCCCTCATCATCGCAATCGCGTCTGGCGAGGGTCTTTTCTGTGGTGGCCCCTCAGCTGTGGAACTCCCTCCCAAGCGAAATTAGATCTGTTCCATCCCTCCTGACCTTTCGAAAACAAGTGAAATCCTGGCTATGGGATCAGGCCTTTGCAGACTAGGCTGACCTGCTGGCAAAGTGACGGCTTTAATGGACTTGACGGACCGCTTTTAGGATGATGACTTAAATCGGCGACTGTTTGACTGTTTGAATGCTTTTATATTGTTTTTATTTAAATTGTGCATTTATGCTTTTGGTTGTGGGCACCATGGTGTGCCGGTTGTTAGCCGCCCTGAGTCCCTCTGCAGAGGTTAAGATAGGACGGGATAAAAATGTCCAAAATAAATAAATAAATGAAAATGTCAGATAATATGGAATCTCCTACTGTTACTCATCCAACACGGCGCTAGACACCTAGAATACTAACAACAGGGACTCAAAGGGTTAAGGCAGTGGTTCTCAACCTTCCTAATGCCATGACCCCTTAATACACTTCCTCGTGTTATGGTGACCCCCCAACCATAAAATTATTTTTGTTGCTACTTCATAACTGTCATTTTGCTGCTGTTGTGAATCATAATGTAAATATCTGGTATGCAGGATGTACGTTCATTCACTGGACCAAAATTTGGCACAAATACCCAATATGTCCAAATTTGAATACTGGTGGGGTTGGGGGGGGGGGGGATTGATTTTATCCCATGGGATTTGTAGTTGCTGTTATTTATAGTTCACCTACAATCAAAGAGCATTCTGAACTCCACTAATGATGGAATTGAAGCAAACTTGGCACACAGAACTCCTATGATCAACAAAAAATACTGGAAGGGTTTGGTGGGCACTGACCTTGAGTTTTGGAGTTGTAGTTCACCTACATCCAGAGAGTACTGTGGACTCAAACAATGATAGATCTGGACCAAACTTGGCACAAATTCTCAGTATGCCCAAATGAGAACACTGGTGGAGTTTGGGGAAAACAGACCTTGGCATTTGGGAGTTGTAGTTGCTGGGATTTATAGTTCACCTACAATCAAAGAGCATTCTGAACCCTACCAATGATTGAATTGGGCCAAGCTTCCCACACAGAACCCCCATGACCAACAGAAAATACTGTTTTCTGATGGTCTTTGGCGACCCCTCTGACACCCCCTCCCAACCCCTCCAGGGGTCCCGACCCCCAGGTTGAGAAACGCTGGGTTAAGGCAAGGCAATGCCTTGGGGCTAAAGCGGCCCAGCAGGAAGTGCCCGGATGCAGAGGAGGATCATGGAAATCACAGAGGGAAGGAGGGAGGACGCTTCCGCTTTCGGTTCTGCCTCTTTTTCCCCTTTCCTCCCTCCTCCTCCTTCTTGTCTTGCCTTTTTTACTTATTGGAAATGGAAAGAGTGTTGGGGAGCACTCCTTTAATTGAAAGGGAAATGCTTTAGGAAAAGGGGGAGTCGGATAAGAGCGTCAGATAAGACGGAATGCCGGATAAGTAAAGGTCGGATAAGTGAGACTCTATTGTAATTGTCAGTTGTTCAGATTTTCAATATGATTCCAGGGTTCTTAGTAGGCGTCATCACCCCACATAAGAGAGAGAAACTAGGGAGTTTAATGTTTGCAAGATTCGGTGGATAGCAAACCCTCTTTTTCCATATTTTCCTCTAGGGAGTGTGTGTGTATGTATGTATGTATGTATGTATATGTGTGTGTGTGTGTGTGTGTGTGTGTGTGTGTGTGTGTGTGTATATATACATATATATATACATATATATAGGGTCGTGTCAGGAGCGACTTGAGAAACTGCAAGTCGCTTCTGGTGTGAGAAAATTGGCCATCTGGAAGGACATTGCCCAGAGGACGCCCAGATGTTGTGATGTTTTAACATCCTTGTGGGAGGCTTCTCTCATGTCCCCGCGTGAGGAGCTCTCCCCGGATTTGAACCTGCGACTGTATATACTAGAATATAAGCCGACCAGAATATAAGCAGAGGCACCTAATTTTATCACAAAAATCTGGGAAACTTATTGACTTGAGTACAAGCTGAGGATGGGAAATGCAGCAGGTACTGCTGAATTTCAAAAATAAAAATAGATACCGATAACATAACATTAATTGAGACATCAGGAGGTTAAATGTTTTTGAATATTTACCGTATTTCAAAGAAAAACAGTAAACTAGCTCTGTAAGTGTAAAAGGAGGGTCAACAAAAGCAATATCGTATCAACAATAACTTAATAGTAGTAGTAGTAGTAATAATAATAATAATAATAATAATAATAATAAAAACAACTTCATTTGTCTCCCGCCCTATCTCCCCATGAGAACTCAGGCTGGCTTCCAACATAGTTACAGGCAAACATTCAATGCCTTCTATAAACAATGCAGAGCTATATATAGATCTTTCACATATGCATTTCCCCCCTGAAACGTTTCTCTCTATGTGCATTTCCGTCCTGCAATATTTGCAAGCCCTATATATCTGTTTATATCTCTCTAAACATCGCTCTCTCTCTCTACATGTGTGTGTGTCTCCCTCTTTCAATATTTGCAAACCCTATATATTTATATTCATATCTATGTAGATATGAATATATATATTTGTGTGTGCATTTCCCCCCTGTAATATTTGCAAGCCCTATATACCTATATTCATATATATCTAGACATCTCTCTCTACATAGATAATTATATATTCATATATATCTAGACATCTCTCTCTATATAGATAATTATATCTATGATATATAGGATTTGCAAAGACTTGGAACATGTGAGGGGAAAATTCATATATAAAATTATTTTTATATACACATATACATACACACAGATATATAGGTACCTCTATAATATATTTATCGATATCTATATCTATATAGGATTTGCAGAGACTTGCAAACATGTGAGAGGAAAATTCATATATAAAATTATATATATATAATTACAGACAATAAAAGACATTACGGGCAGAATTAGAAGGAAGACCTTTCTTTTTCTTTTCTTTCTTTTCTTTATTTTTTTTTATTTTTAAGGTCATTTTTCCTTTTTGTGACCTGGATTTTTACTATTTTTTTCTTTTTTTGTACATACTTTCTATAATTTCCTACTTTTCTATCTTCTCAAAAATTATTCACCCACTTTCCATGTAATTCTTTGTGATTTCCTACTTTTCTATCTTCTTAAAAATATTCTCCCACTTTCCATGTAATCTTATATTACTTCAATAAAATATTATTATAAAAAAGTAAAATTATATATGCATATATATATATGCATATATATATATATATACACACACACACATACAGGTACTTCTATATATTTATCGATATCAATATCGATATCTATATAGGATTTGCAGAGACTTGTAAACATGTGAGGGGAAAATTTATACAAAAATAATGTATACATTTAGATACAGATATACAGGTACATGGAAAGCTCTAGAGTAGATATCTATATGTATATAGGATTTGCAAAGACCTGCAAACATATGAGGGGAAATATTTCAAGGGAACAAAAATGCACATATAAAGTTAACACATTAGATATTATTAACTTTATATTAAAAAGCCAGGAAATTGGGTGGTTTTGAAAGAGAGGCCTAGAAACAAGGAGGACATGAAATATATCTCCTTTCCCTCCTTCCCTCCCTTTTGACTGGAAAAGAAAACACACTGTCAAGGGAGATGAAGAGGAGAGAGAAATATATTGTGTAATTCAAGCAATGGCCTCCAGGCTTCGCTGCTCGGCTTGACCAAACTATAAGCCGAGGGAGGCTTTTTTAGCTCAAAAAGAGGTCTGAAAACTCGGCTTATCTTTGAGTATATACGGTAAATTCCCACTTTCTCCATCCAGCCCTGATCTGTTCCATCTGAGCGGACCCTTCACACCTCTGTCGGTGAAGTGATCGAACCTTTCCCAGCACCCCAAAGCACTGGGAGGAGGCCTACTTACCTCAAAGCGCTCGTCTTCACACCGGTGGAGCTGCTCCTCATAAGGCGTCTTCTTGGAGCTGACAAAGGTCGAGTCTTCCGACCAGGAGGGGAAGGACACCCAAGTATCGTTCAGGACCTGTATTTAGTAAAAACAGCTATTCAGTCCAAGGGAGGACTCTGTCGGCGAGGGGGCCTTCTGCATGGAACCTGCTATAATCCAGAACCCGCCACCCCTTCTGCCCACCTCCTTGCATATGGCGGTCCGGCCGCTGCACTTGGGCTGCTGGTAGGTCTTGGGCAAGGCCCGGTAGCTGGACCCGATGCGCTTGCACGAAGCGTAGTCAATCTCCCGGCAAACACCATCCCCGGCTCGGTCGCTGGCAGGCGAGATGAAAGACAGCTCCTTCACCCCCAGGAAGGACTTGAACTGGGCAAAGAGTTCGGGGAACTTCCTTCATAAAGAGGAAAGACACAGCGGTTATTCATTTATTTATTTCATATCAAAAGCATTGCATAAATTATATAAAAACAATAAAAATAGTAGGAATGCAAGTAGCTAAATATTTTTTGACCAAAAACGGGCAACAGCAATGGCATTGTGTGTAGTCTCCAACAATTCTTCCTCTGTACATGAGGCAGGGCATTGTGGACAAGCATGCAGCCGTGGAGTTGTCTGTTCTGCTCCACAGTCACATAAGGTGTGGGATTCTTTTAGGTAGTGCCATTTTGCCAAGTTGTCTTTTGATCTGCCCGCTCCACTTCTGAGTCTGTTCAGGGACCCATTCTTGGTTTGCCCCTGGAGGAAGACCCTCGTGGGGGGGGGGGGCATCCAGTTGGGGTTTCCTGGTTTAGCTGCCCAGAGGGATAACTTTGCTGTTGCTGGGGGGACACCAAGAGGAGTGGTAGTTCTCATTAAGCTTTTCCTTGATTTGAGTCTACTGGGAGGAGGCTGGTAGCCATGTATGGGTGGTCTTCAGTGTTCAGCCTTATTTCTCTCACATTTAGCAGCAACTTCCTGTCGCACATCAGAGGGGCAATGCGGGCTAGCTTGTAGAGTTTATCAACAGGTGTAGGTTTAAGACATCCTGTGATTATTCTGCATGTTTCATTCAATACTATGTTCACCTGCTTTGCATGGGCAGACCTATGCCAAACAGGGCAGGCATACTCGGCAGTTGAGTAAGACAAGGCTAGGGCTGATGTTCTTACTAATTTTGGGTCTGCACCCCATGTGCTGCCAGTAAGTTTCCACAGGATGTTATTGCGTGCAGCTACTTTGTGCTTGGTGTTCAAGCAGTGTTTCCTATATGCTAGTGTTCAATCTAAGGTGACACTGAAAAATATAGGATGGAAACAATGTTCAAGTTCTTGACCTTCCCAGGTGACTGGCGGTGAGGAACAATGACAAGGGACCAGCAGACTGTGCCTCTGGGGACACCTTCTGTTCTTGCTGGGGCAACATTCTCATTTCTAAATGCTTGAGACACTTAAAAGACTAGGTAACAAAATTGGAAAAAATTCTGTTCCTGGGTTGAAAGTGTTATTTCCTGTTTCATTATGTGGTACTTAATTCCCAACTCTACGGTTCTATGATTTCAACGCTGAATGTTTGCAGGACGGCAAACCAAAAAAAGTCTCTTACCCCAAAAAGGGGGTGACCAGCTGCAAAAGCTCAGAGCCCGAAACCAGCTCTTGGTTGAAGAGGGCGATGCAGCGGAGGAAGTTCTCATACACCTCTTGGCTCTTGAGGACACGCCGCACCTGCAGAGAGAAGAAGGGCTGCTGATATCATCAAAGTAGGGTGAGAGGCCATGCACTTGGGCCACCGGTTGGGGATGAGCCCTGTAACCATGCTTGTGATGCTTCCAAGAGGCACTGTTGGGGACCCTTCTGCTGAAACCGCCCCCAAAACCCAACCCTCCCTTCCTCCCTTCCTTTTCTTCCTTCCTTCACGTTTGGTGGCCCACCTTGTCAAAGAAAGAGAACTCCTGCAGGGTGCCGTACTTGCCCACCGGGGCCACCGAGGGGTCCTTGGTCCCGCGCAGCTTCATTTTCTTCTGTCGAGAGGCCAAAAACTTTATTTATTTTCAAAATATTTCATTTGTATTAAGTACAGTGATACATTGTGGTTAGAATTTAATTCATTCCATGTCTGAGCTCTTAACTGAGTGGACAAAAGCACGAGGTCCACGCGCTGCTCCATTCAATCCTAAAAGCCCTGGGCTCTCACGCTCACTCCTAGCTCATAACACTGCTCATATGGCAAAGTGAAACCTAGGCCGAGCAACGGCTCGTAACTTAAAATACTCTTATGTTGGGACGCTCTTAAGTAGAGGTTCCACTGTATACCCTCAATCTTAATTTCCTTGTCTATGTATTCTGAGGCAAAAAAGTTTATGAGAGACAAATTTACAGGCATATTGGACATCCTGGCTTGAACAATCAGCAAGTATATATTCTTCATCAAAGCTGGTGAAGAGGAAGCAGATTTGGGCCAGCTTCTGAATAGGGCTTCTGACAATGAGACCCCTGTTGTTGCAGAAATTGTGTGTTTTAATCAAGATCAAATACAAACCATTGGTAAGAGTGCTTCCCCTCCCTCCCAAAATCTACACACATCTATATAAATAAAAATGTAATGTTCGTTTGTGGGATTAACATAACTCAAAAACCACTGGACGAATCAACACCAAATTTGGACAGCATACATCTAACAACCCGGTGTATGTCCTTCACTCAATTTTTTTTGATTTTGTCATTTGGGAGTTGTAGTTGCTGGAATCTATAGTTCACCTGCCATCAAAGAGCATTCTGAACTCCACCAACGATGGAATTGAACCAAACGTGGCACACGGCTCCTATGACCAACATAAAACATTGGAAAGGTTTGGTGGGCACTGACTTTGAGTTTGGGAGATGTAGTTCACCTACATCCAGATAGCACTGTGGACTCAAACAATGATGGATCTGGACCAAACTTGGCACAAATATTCCATATGGCTAAATATGAACACAGATGGAGTTTGGGGAAAATAGACTTTGACATTTGGGAGTTGCAGTTTCTGGGATTTATAGTTCACCTACATTCAAAGAGCATTCTGAACCCCACCAACGACAGAAGTGGGGCAAACTTCCCACACAGGCCCCCCATGACCAATAGAAAATACTTAAGGCCATCCAGTCCAACTCCCTTCATTAGGGCAAGAAAAGGTCATCAAAGCTTTCCTGACAAAGAGCCATCCAGCCATATAGATATAGATAGATATATATGATTCACACACACAGATATAGTATCATCAATTTGAAAGGGACCCCTAAAGAAGGACAATGATATGTTGCATGTTCCAGGGTGGGCAAACCGAACAATCTCCACATCAACACTGACAAAGACACAGCAAGAAATACTGTTTACCCACAAGCATAAAGAAATTACATATCTTAGAAACCAACACCAGACTGGGCCACAGCAACACATGGCAGGGGACGGCTAGTATGTATACATAAAACACATACGCTTCAGAACAGTGACTATAATAACGGTTCCCCATTCCACTATCCCCCATTCCACCCCTCCTGTTGCAGTGACCTCCTGTCATTTCAGTTGGAGATACTCATATACACCCTTGCCCTTCCTTCCCAGTAAAGAATTCACTCATTCTTCCCTCTAGCACAAGAATCATCACCTAAAATATACAAGCAAAGAGCCTAACAAAAACCAAATTTTGAAGTCTATTCTAAAATGTTTTTCCCTTCTTCCCACAAAAATTCAGATAGTTCCCATTCCTTAACAAAGTTATTTCCTCCCTATTAATCATAGCCAATTTATCCACAGCCCTCATTCCAAAAACTTTCACTATCCATTTTAATTTTTTATGGAACTCCTTTTCCCAGCAACATAAATAGCTGGCGGCTCTTTGCTGGGAGCAACGTCTTGGATAGAGCTTAGCCGGCACCTTTGTTGATGGACTTCATGTCTGGATTTTTTGACTACATAGAATCACAGAATCCTAGAGTTGAAAGAGACCTCATGGGCCGTCCAGTCCAACCCCCTGCCAAGAAGCAGGAAAATCGAAATTCAAAGCACATGTTTGGATCCTGACTTGGACTATTATTGGTGAGGTCTCTCTAGTTGCCCCTTTGAAACAGGCTCTTGACTGTCCTCCTAACTGAACCGCTCTCTGGACTACCTGCTGTGTACAATCCTGTACTGTTTTTGAGTATATGAGCTTGGAGAGTGCGCTGGTGGGTTTGGACAGAAATCCCCTTCTCCAGCAGCATTCAACGGCCTCCCCTTCCTCACCTTGGAGGGTCCAGGTCCTGGACGCAGCAACATTGGCCGGGAGCGCTTTTTGCTGTGTTCCAGGTGTCTCTCACGCTCCAAGCGGGGGGCACTGCTCGCTTCACACGGCCCGTTCCCAGTGAACTATGGAAAGAGAATTTATTTATTTATTTATTTACTTTATTTATATACCGCTTTTCTCAGCCCTCAGGCGACTCAATGCGGTGAACAACATCAATACAAAACATCACGATAGGGCAATTAAAAACAACTGTAACATAAATCATTAAACATCCGTATAACAATCATTAGCGCCTCAACAGTAAAATCAGAATCCAGTCTCGTCATCCATTATTCCGTATTCCTATGTTCACTTACACTGTTTAATCAAATGCTTGTTCGAACAGCCAGGTCTTCACTTTCCTCCGAAATACCAGCAGGGAGGGGGCCAATCTGATATCTGCAGGCAGGGCATTCCACAGCCAAGGGGCCACCACAGAGAAGGCCCTGTCTCTCGTTCCCGCCAAGTGCGCTTGTGATGCAGGCGGGACCGAGAGCAGGGCCTCCTCAGATGATCTTAGTGTCCTAGTTGGTTCATAGGAGGAGATGCGTTTGGAGAGGTAAGCAGGGCCAGAACCGTTTAGGGCTTTATAAGCTAAAGCCAGCACTTTGAATTGTGCCCGGTAGCCAACTGGCAGCCAGTGGAGCTGGCGCAACAGAGGAGTAGTATGCTCCCTGAGTGCCGCTCCTGTTAGCAACCTGGCTGCCGAATGCTGGACGATTTGAAGCTTCCGAGCAGTCTTCAAAGGCAACCCCACGTAGAGAGCGTTGCAGTAGTCTATACAGGATGTAACCAGAGCGTGGACTACCGTGGCCAAGTCAGACTTCTCAAGGTATGGGCGCAGCTGGCGCACAAGTTTTAACTGTGCGAATGCTCCCCTGGTCACCGCTGAAACCTGGGGTTCCAGGCTCAGCGACAAGTCCAAGATCACTCCCAAGCTGCAAATCTGCGTCTTCAGGGGGAGTGTGACCCCATCCAACACAGGCTGTAACCCTATGCCCTGTTCAGCCTTACGACTGACCAGGAGTACCTCTGTCTTGTCTGGATTCAATTTCAATTTGTTCACCCTCATCCGGACAGTTACAGCGGCCAAGCACCGGTTCAGGACCTGGACAGCCTCCTTAGTAGCGGGTGGGAAGGAGTGACAGAGTTAGATATCATCCGCGTACAGATGACACCATACCCCGAAACTCCGGATGATCTCCCCCAGCGGCTTCATGTAGATGTTAAACAACATGGGAGACAATATTGATCCCTGTGGAACCCCACAAGACAATGGTTGTGGGGCAGAACAGGTGTCCCCCAGCAACACCTTCTGAGATCGACCCTCTAGGAAGGACCGGAGCTACTGTAGAACAGTACCTCCAAGGCCCATTCCCACGAGGCGTCCCAGAAGGATACCGTGGTCGACGGTATCGAAGGCCGCTGAGAGGTCCAGCAGAACTAGCAGGGACACACTCCCCCTGTCTAGGTCCCGGAGTAGATCATCCACTAAGGCGACCAAGACTGTTTCAGTTCCATGTTCCGGCCTAAAGCCAGACCGTGCCGAATCCAGATAATCCGTGTCTTTCAAGAATACCTGGAGTTGTGAGGCCACCACACGTTCCAAGACTTTGCCCAAAAAGGGGAGATTGGAAACTGGCCAATAGTTGACGAATTGAGTGGGGTCCAGTGATGGTTTTTTCAACAGCGGTTTTATTATAGCTTGTTTTAAGCTCACTGGAATGCTGCCTTCCCAAAGGGAGGCATTAACCACCACCTTTACCCACTCGGCCAATCCCTCTCTGGCTTCCTTTAAAAGCCAGGATGGGCAGGGGTCTAGGATGCATGTGGTAGGCCTCATTCCTCTAAGTATCTTGTCCACATCAAGAACAGTGGAGTCATCAGAGAGAGAGGCTTTTCCTCCTCTCCAGCAAGACCTTTCCAGGTCAGCCCCCAAAAACGGGAACCTCTGGCCTTGTGTGTAGCCTGCTCTCGTGCATGACAGAAGGGGCAGCCCTGTTACTACTGAAGAAAGGTGTATAGACACTCCCAAAGTCTTCTGGGAGACTCAAGGAAGTTTGGCTTATGCAGGAATGCAGAAGCACATGTGGTTTCTCCAAATATCAAGGATGTTTCCAGTATTTTATATAATGTTTGATGATGATGTGTCAAGTCAAAAGTTTATTGCACTCCAAAGACCTAATTGGCTCAGTGGTTAAAAGGTGAACAACTGCAAACACTAATAAACTGATAAAACTAATTAAATGCAGGATGACTTGCAATGCAAGATATCCAACAGTGGTTCCCAACCTGAGGTCTGTGAACCACTAGTAGTCCATAAGAACCACTTACTACACCATTGTAATGAGAGCGACTGGTCTCGTGAAACCCTCTTATAGTGCCAAGGCTTATTAAATATGGGTTTTCTATGGGTGAGCAGATGGTGACTACTGGATCAGCTAGCTGAAGGATTCATTTCAACATGACAGAGGTAGACACATGAATCTGTTCCAAAGCAATTTTTTATTAATAAGAAACACTCCCAAACTAAAAAAAAAACCAAACAAAAAAACAAACCAAATCTTAAAAAGTTGGAACCAAAAAAAACGAATTCATAAAAACCTTTATGGTAAATAAGGTTTAGGAGAGAGGGGGGGGTTTCCCTGTTTTTTTCAAAAAAAAAAAAAAAAAAAAAAGGGCTTTTGATTCTGGGGGGGCCGGGCGAGAGTTGGTCACATATGCCTTGGTCCACCTCTGAAGATTGGGATACTGTTAATTGCGCCTCTTTTACGTTGGGGCTGCCCTTTGGGGAAAAAACGGGCGCTCGGGGAAATTTCAGCTAAGTTCCCAAGGCCCAGGCGGGGGCAGCCAGGGATTGTTAAACTGGTGCTCCTTACAGAAGAGGAGGGGGGGTTCAACCCCCCTTTCCTGTTCAAGGGGGAGCTCCCTGGCGCCGGACATTTTATTTCCGATCCCAATTCTAAAGGTGGCAAGGCGCTTACCCTTACACAAAAAAAAAGCCCTAAAACGGTTTTGGGGGGTGGACCTCTGGACAACTACCCTAGCACGAGTGTGTTGGGGCCAAAACGCATTGAAATCAGCACGCTATTTTCTTACGAAAAAAATCAGGGACCCCGCCCCACCGGCACACGCCCGACGCTCCCTTCTTCTACACGAGCAACTTTCAACGCGTTCAAAACTGACTGGAAGGAGGGCCTGTTTCTTCCAACGAATGGAGCCACCCCCACAACCCCTGGTCGTGTACTTCTGGGGCAGGGCTGGCGTCATCTCGGTTGAGGAAGGAAGTGCCGACAAACGGGGGGGACCAGCGGGCCCTTTCTCTTTTGATGGTGGGCCACCAAAGGACTCTGGGACTTCTCTCCCCAATAGGTGGGGGGGGACCATTCCAGAAACAAAAAAACGCCCCAACCGTTGGCTGTCATTTAGGAAGAGGGGAAGTAGACCTTGAAGGAAACCTGGGGCTGTTCCCCCTCAGTATCGGTGTGGGCGATTTTCCAGAATAGGAAACTCCTGGTTTTAAGCCCAATTGCACTTTGCTAGAGACTCTGGATTATCTGCACATTGCACCTACCTCCATATACCTCTACATATTACCTGTCAAGTTCAGCATTTTAATTTTTGTCCATTACATTTGGCCCAGCCTTTGGTTTTAATTATGTCACGGTGTCATTGTTTTACTGTTTTATTGTTTTGCTTGATGTTTATTATTTGCTTTTGAATTTATTATGTATTATATGTTGTTGATTGTTGGTGGCCTTGAGGCCTTTGTATAAAAGCCGCATTTTGAGGGGGTCCTACGGGAGGATTTTTTTTGTCGGGGGTATAAATAAACAAAGGTTTCATTAATTATATACAATAAATAATAAAAAAAAACCCCCATCGCGGAGCTTTAAGATTCCTCCGGGGAGGGCCCCCTTTGCTTTTCCCGTCCCGCCAATTGTTTCCAGAGGGCACGGGATTGGTGGGTTACGAAGGGAGACAGGGGCCCCTTTCTCGGTGATTGTCGCACTCCCCAGCTTATGGACACAAAAAACCAAAAAAAACTTCCCGTCCTGGTTGAGAGTTTTTCCGGTTGGCCCCCCCCCTCCCTCCTGTCCCTTTAGGAAGGCATAGTTTCTTAAAAAAACTTGGCTTGGTTGGGGGACCAAGGCTTTTCGGGGGGGGGGCCAGGGGCAATAAAAGCCCCGGGGGGCAAAGCACCCTAGGGCCGAACAGGGATGACCAGGGGGCCCCAATTTTTAAATTTGGGGACCGTTTGGGTGGATTGAACTAGGGGTACGGGTTTGTTTTAAAAATTTGTGTTTATGTTTAATATTTTGGGATAATTGGTTTTGTTAATGTTTTTTATGTTTGTATGTTGAGAAATCTTGGGTGGGGTCACAGGCATTTGGAATGTTTGCCGTTTGTTATATGTCTGTTGTTTTGCTTTCCGCCCCCCTTGAGTTTCCCCTTCGTGGTGAGGAAGGGGGTGGAAAAAACATTATTAAAATGTTTTAAACTTCTAAAATTAGAAGTGCCAAAGTTCAACCTGAAAAAAATTGATTGTCCAAACTTTGGTCTTTCTTTTGTGTTTAAAAAAGGACACTCTCACCTTTGACTGTGGCTACACATAACGTGCAAGGTTGGGAAGGAGGGGGGGGTTGGTGGGGGACATACTACCAAGGTGACCTCTTGGCCTCGGGTAGGAACTGCCCAAACTCAGAGAGAAGGTCCTCCTGGCCCCGGAAAAGGCTGGCCACCTCGGTGAAGACCTCCTCTTCCGACATTCCTCGACACGGGCGCCCTTTGCTGCTCAGCTGCTCCTTCTGGGGAAAGGAAAGAAGAGGGAGAAGTGGGAGAGGAGGCCCAGCTCAGGGGGAAGTCAGAGGCAGAGCCCTGGCCCAGTCTTCCCATTTGCCACCCATTTGTTTACCTGATAGGTGTGAAGGATCTCCAAGAAGGAACGGTAGATCTCAGGGTGGTCGAGGAAGCGAGTCTTGATCTTGTTCACATAGCTGATGCCATTGTTGTTTTTTAGAAGACATTTTTAAATTGTGTAAAGAATGCAAAAGAAAGAAGGGGAAAAGAATCAAATACACATAATACAGATGTGTCAACAACAACAATAACAACAACTTAATTTTTATACCCCACCTCCATCTCCCCAAAGGGACTTAAGAATTAAGGAAACACAACAGAAAATTTGTCAAAACGATATCGAACCCCACATCAACTAGCCCATATGACAAAAAGTACATTAAAGCTATTTTGGCATCGATGTGGGAAAATGGCTTTCCTCTCCAGTCCTTTGTGAGTAACTCTTTCCCCCACTTCCATGATTTCGCTAGTGTTAGTCTCGCAGCCACAAAAGTGTATTGGCAAATGTCTATGTCATCTTAACTCGTTCTTCCACAAAATGAACCAACCTGATGGCATTGTTGAACTCCACCGAGTCCGACTCCAGTGGGACCTGCAGCCGATCCTCCTTGTACTGTGGGGGTGGGGGGAGTGGTGGGTGCGCATGGTGGTGGTGGTGGTGTTGGTGGCGCAGGTCCTCCGGCCCATCCCCGTGGTTGTGGGCATTCTCTGGGCAGTAATGGAGCACCAGGCCACTGCCAGAGAGCGGACTGTGGACTGGGTCGAGGGACACCTACAAGGAAGAAGCAAAGGAGCCCAGTTTGGGTTATCCTTCTCCAAACCCCTGGCCAAAGCAGCTAGCTGATCCCCACAGGAAACAAACATTCCTCTTCCATTACAGGTTCCACCATTCTCCAGTCAAAACAGCTTCCGGGTTGCTGTGAGTTTTCCGGACTGTCTGGCCATGTTCCAGAAGCATTCCCTCATGATGTTTCACCTGCATCTATGACAGGCAGAGGTTGTGAGGTCTGTTGGAAACTAGGCAAGTGGGGTTTATAATAATAATAACAACAACAACCATAGGTTGCTTACCTGTAACCGTAGTTTCCCAAGTGGTCACCAGTGAATTTGCACATATGGTAGTTTCTACGCTTGAGCAGACAGTTTCAGAAACTTCTAGACGGGGAGGCTCAACCCATTACGCAAAGTAAGCATTTGCAGTATAGTTGATTTTGCCCAGGGGCGCTCTTGAGGCGCTCTGGGGGGAAAATAGACCTTGACATATGCGAGTTGTAGTTACTGGGATGTATAGTTCACCTACAATCAAAGAGCATTCTGAACTCCACCAATGATGGAATTGAACCAAATATGGCACACAGAACTCCCACGACGAACAGAAAATATATATCAATGATTGGTTGGGGGGGGGGGGCCAAAATACTGTTTGCTTACTGTTGAAAATTACCTAGGGCCGCCTCTGCTTCTAGATCAGTGGTTCTCAACCTGGGGTACCCAGATGTCTTTAGCCTTCAACTCCCAGAATTCCTAACAGTTGTTAAACTGGCTGGGATTTCTGGGAGTTGTAGGCCAAAAACATCTGGGACCCCAGGTTGAGAACCACTGTTCTAGATAAGATTTGAAAACTTTTCTGGTGGTTAGCCCCACCCACTCTCCCCTTATGAGTATAAGTAGCTGGGTGGGGTTGTTTTAGTGGGCGTCTCGGGCGAGAGTATTGGATTGTCAGGGGTGGAGTGGCGGCGAAGTCGTAGCCTTAGTTAGGGGGGGGGCGGGGGGGGGGGGGGGGGGGGCGTGCGCGCGCGTGTGTGCCGCGCGGATATACGCAGGCGGGGGGGGGAGCTGTGCTCTGACGGACGGTTAGAGGTGGAGTGTGGCGGGCATTAGGTGTTAGAGTTGTGAGAGAGGAGTGTGGGAGTGGAGGAGGAAGGGAGAGTAGAGTTAAGTACTTGTTAAACTGAACAGTTGTTAAACTGGCTAGGATTTCTGGGAGTTGTAGGCCAAAAACATCTGGAGACCCCAGGTTGAGAACCACTGTTCTAGATAAGATTTGAAAACTTTTCTGGTGGTTAGCCCCACCCACTCTCCCCTTATGAGTATAAGTAGCTGGTGGGCGGGGCCAGCACCTCAGTTCTTTTCATCCGCCGCTAATGGCAGCAGCTTGAGAACCTCCTCGTTTCTGACTAGCAATGGACTGCCGTTTTTCGTTTTTTTGACTTGGATTGCTCTGACCTATTGCCTCTTGATCTCCTTTGTCCCCAGCAGACATAGAATGCCGTGTGTTGTAATCATTAGTTGATGCCTAGCTAAACAGCCACCAGACAGGCAATAGCTATTCAGAGTGTAAGTATACGGTTTTAATTTGTATTTATTAATGTTCATGTTTAACTGTTATATTTGTTATTCTGTATTTTATGATGCAGCATTGAATTATTGCCAACTGTAAGCTGCCCTGAGTCCCTCCAGGGGTTGAGAAGGGCGGGGTAAAAATGTTTTAAATAAATAAATAAATAAATAAATAAATAAAACGAGGAGGAAAATATTGCAAAAATGGTATCGCACACCCTGCCAATTAGCATACTACTATAAAGAGGGGAGTAGTCAGTGCTGGCATGGATGCCACCAGAAAGGGCACTTTATGCACATGATGTGGGAATGTGAATATGTACAAGATTTTTGGCAGACTATACAAAATGTGTCAAATCAAATACTAGGAAATGAGTGGGTCATAACAAAGGAATTAGCGGTATTAGGGAAAAGAGAGGAAATGGGAAATAAAAGAAGCAATAATTGAATGTGCACAAGCAGTAATAGTATTAGGGTGGAAAGATAAATAAAAATGGACAATAAATAAATGGTACCATTATATGGTGGAGCAAATGGAATTTGAAATTATGAATGTGAAATTAAATGATTTAAAAATCAATGAAAATCGAATGAAAGAAATGGAAGATAGATGGACAAGGGTAATGAACTATATTATGAATCATTCTGGAGATCAGGTCATAAGAAATAAGATACAAATGCTATATAGCATACAGGATGGAAATGTATAAAGATAAAGAAATAATGATTGTCTCAAAAAGAAATGAATATGTGAAAGATAATAATCCTCATGTTGGTGGTGGGAATTGTAAATGTTTTGTGTGTGCAAGGTATGTATTTTCTGTATTGTAAAAATAAAAAGTCGGGGGGAAAAATAAATAAAAAATAAATAAATAGAACCCCCAGCCTGACAAGTCGAGGCCACAGCACCACTCCTTATTCTTCCTCATCTGAGGGGTAAAGGACCGGCAAATAGAGCAGGGCTGGGATAAATGACTCTCCCTCAGTCACAAAGGGCATAGGGTATGGCCATCATTGTCTGGGAAATTATTAGGACAAGCGGTACAGCGTTTAATCCTGTAGTGGCCGACAGAGAATATTCAAACTGATAGCAGAGTCAAGCAGTTCAGGTCAAATCAGCAAACAGTCCAACGAAGGAGATCAAGAGGCAATAGGTATTGCCCATCTGGTGGCTGTTTAGCTTGCCATCTACTAATGATTACTACACATGGCATTCTATGTCTGCTGGAGACAAAGGAGATCAAGAGGCAAGAGGTCAGAGTAATCAGAGTCAAAAAAAGGGCAGTCCATACCTAGTCAGAAACGAGGAGGTTCTCAAGCTGCTGCAATTAGCGGCGGATGAAGAGAACTGAGGTGTTAGCCCCGCCCACCAGCTACTTATACTCACAAGGGAAGAGTGTGCGGGGCTAACCACTAGAAAAGTTTTCAAATCTATCTAGAAGGTTCCGAAGCTGTCTGCTCAGGCGCAGAAACTACCATATGTGCGATTCACAGTTGACCACGATGGGAAACACTTTATTTTTATTCCGCCCTATCTCCCCAAGGGGACTCAGGGCAGATCGCAGTACACATACAAAGAAAACATTCAGTGCCGTTTTGGAGAGACAGGGCAGAGACAGAACAGAAAGGAGGTATGCTGTGTTGACATTCAGCTTTTTGGCGCCTTGAAGGTTGTGCTCAAATCCAGCCACAGGGGGTGCTGTCACTCCATCCTCTATGACGAAGAGCCATCAGGACTTCCTCTTTCATTTTGGTTGCCAGACATTTTCTGAACTTTTTCTTTATGGTGTCATAAAATACCTCCCCCGCTTGTTTTAGCGATATCTACCAATTGCTCTACTTACAGCGCAAGCTTTTTTCGAACTGCTTAGGTCAACAGTGAGCTGGGCTGACAGTCGGGAATTCACGCCTACCCAGGGCTTCAAACTGGCTACCTTTCAGTTGGTAGATCTCATCATTCCTGGTGATTTGCCAGCTGTGTTAAAGCCTGAATGATGCCCAGGGTGGGAGAAAGTACTCTTGTCTGTTTGAGGAAAGTATGAATGTTGTAATTGGTCATCTTGGTCATGCTGTGTCCAGGTTGGACACAAATCAAGGAATATGAAAGGCACTGCAGACTAATCCAACCAGAGAAGTCAGCCATAGAAGAGCACCTGATGAACCAACTTAGACACGGCATATTATTGGAGAACACAGAAAATGCTGGGCCACTCTGACAACCACCATGTCAGACTACACAGAGAAGCCACTGAAATCCACAAGCAGGTGGACAATTTCAACAGAAAGGAGGAAACCATGAAAATGGACAAAATCTGGCTACCAGTATTAACAAAAACTCGAAAATCAGGACAGTAAATAAAGAACAACACCAAAAAGCAGGGGAATTCCAGACAAGAATCAATCAGGGCCAGCTAACACCCCCCAACAAAGGATTCCCCCAGGTAGGAAGCAGCCAGGCTTTGAGGCTGCAAGGGCATTAAATGCTAATCAAGGTGGCCAATTGCAGCATTCACACTGGCCTCAAGCAGACAAGAGTTGTTTCTCCTACTCTGGACATCATTCCACAGATATATAAACACCACTTGCCTCGTTTCCAACATTTGAGGATGCCAGCCATTTGATGTGGACAAAACATCAGGAGAGAATGCTTCTGGAACATGGCCAGACAGCCCAGAAAACTCACATAAGCCCAGTGATTCTGGCCATGAAAACCTTTGATAATACACAGAACAACTGGGAGAATCTAACCCAAAAAGTAAAACATTTCCACCTTCTGTCCTGCAAAAACCAGATATAATATGTGCTGAACCCTTGGCAAGGCTTCCTGTGCTTAATACCTGAGCACCCAGAGGCGCCTGAATGTTCAGCTTCCCATTCTTTGGGATCTCGATGCGGTAACCCAGCGGCAGGAAAGCGTTGAAGCCGATGATGAGGTCGGGGTGTTCATGGAAAAGCTGGGAGACACGGCGGATGACGCCCGGGGTGTCAATGCTGTGGACGAGAGAGAACCAAAGGGAGATGAGAGCACAGTGGGAGAGGCTCTCAAAAAGCTGGAACCTCCCCCCCCCCGAAGGGAATAATTGTATTGTCATTGTACAGCGTACACAATGCCATCCCTAATGCACATTATATATACAAATTACAGAACAAAGCACACATACCCCTTCCATAAACTGATCGCATGTCCTCTTACAAACCAGACTGGGCACTGAGGTCATCGGAGGAGGCCCTGCTCTTGGTCCCACTCCGATCCCAAGCACGGCTGGTGGGAACGAGAGAGAGGGCCTTCTCCTTGGCCCCCTCCCTCCTCTCCTTTAAAAAACAACTGAAGATATACTTTTGCTCACTAGCATATGGAGAGGAGGACGAATAGATGGTTGAGAGATCACTACCAGGCCTGTGGTTGAGAACTATTAGTATTTGGGCTTTCCTGATTCACACCAGCCCAATTACCTCATTTGACTACATAATAATAATAATAATAATAATAATAATAATATTATTATTATTATTATTGTTATTATTATTATTTACTATACTTGTATACCGCCTTTCTCAGCCTTATCGGCAACTCAAGGCAGTTTACAAGTCAGTACACATAACAACAAAATACAAATTAAACATTAAAACAGCACAAAATCACAATAAAACAATAAAAACCAACATCATTATCATCAGCGTCTCCTAGTTAAATAACATTGTCCAAGTTCCACTGTCGAGTGATTCCATTTCCTATGTCAGTTACTCTGCATTTGTAAACGCTTGCTCATATAACCATGTCTTAACTTGTCTCCGAAATGAGTGAGGGAGCCGATCTAATCTCCTTAGGGAGGGCGTTCCATAGCTGAGGGGCCACCAGAGAAGGCCCTGTCTCTCGTCCCCGCCAAACGTACTTGTGATTAGGGTGGGATCGAGAGCAGGGCCTCCCTGGATGATCTTAAAGTCCTAGATGGTTCATAAGGGGAGATGCATTCGGACAGATAAATTGGGCCAGAACCGTTTAGGGCAGGGATCCTCAAACTACGGCCCGGGGGCCGAATACGGCCCTCCAAGGTCATTTACCTGGCCCTTGCTCAAGGTCAACCTAAGTCTGAAACAACTTGAAAGCACACAACAACAACAACAACAACAACAACAACAACAATCTTATCTCATCAGCCAAAAGCAGGCCCACACTTCCCAATGAAATACTAATAAGTTTATATTTGTTAAAATTGTTCTTCATTTTAATTATTGTATTGTTCTAAAGTGGTTTTTGCACTACAAATAAGATACATGCACTGTGCATAGGAATTAACAATCTGGCTGCCGTCCGTTGGACCATTTGAAGCTTATGGACAGTCTTCAAAGGCAACCCCATGTAAAGCGCATTGCAGTAGTCTATACAGGATGTAAACAGAGCATGGACTACCATGGCCAAATTAGGCTTCCCGAAGTACATAACCATCCCACACCATTTTGTGAACCCTTACTGGATGTTGTACACTAATGTGAATGTTTGGTTTAGATTTATGTTGTTATAGAATTTTGTCTGATTACGTGTAGTGTAATCTATTGATGTCAGGTTTAATTTACTGATGTTAGGTCTTAATTTGATGTTAGACTTTAATGGTACTTTATATGTGGGGGTTTTCTGGGATTTTATGTTAGTATCATGTGTTTTATGTAGACATTGAATGTTTGCCATTGTTATGCTGGAATCCGCTGAGTCCCCTCAGGAAGAGAGGGTGGAATACAAATAAAGTTTTATTACTTACTAGCCATCCCCTGCCACATGTTGCTGTGGCCCAGTCTGTGTATATGTGTTTTGTGTGTGCATATATGTGTATATATTTTTGTATATGTGAGTTTGTATATATATACTAGCCATCCCCTGCCATGTGTTGCTGTGGCCCAGTCTGTGTATATGTGTTTTGTGTGTGTATATATTCGTGTATATGTGTGTGTGCATATATAAATGTGGTTTTGTGCATGTGTTGTAATGTAATTTTTGTTTTTTGGCTTTTCAAGTCTGTTCTGCTGTGTTTTTCAGTGTTTTTATGAGTGATGGTCACTCGTTGGCCTGATAGGTGCATTGTGTCCAAATTTGGTGTCAAGTCGTCCAGTGGTTTTTGAGTTATGTTAATCCCACAAACGAACATTACATTTTTATTTATATAGATATATGGGTTTGCACATGCATTGTGGGGGCTGAGAGGAGAAGCAGGGGCTCTTGTTCAAGCCAACAGCAAGAGCCTGGAGAAAGTGGGGCTCTTGGTAAATCCATGGAAGATACTCCCAATGAAAACAGAAGAAAGGAGAAAAATACTAAAGATGGAAATGGAAGAGACTGAAGGCAAAGAGGAAGACTGGAAGACATCAACAACCCCCCCCCCACCTCTTTTCTTCTTCCCTCTTTCCATCCCCAGGATTCCCGGAAACCCTAGTAGCACCCCCCTCCCAGTAGTAACCCCTGCGATTTGCCTTCACTCCTTCCCCTATTTCTTCCGATTGTTACCTATATGTATATGTATATGTATTGAAAAGCCTTAATAAAAAATTAAAAAACAACAACAATGGGTGCTGACAAAATCACCACCTGTCAGCTGCAGAAGGCCACCCTACTTGGATCTACACGCATTATTTGCCCATACATCACACAGTCCTAGACGTATGGGAAGGGTCCGACATGTGATCCAATACAAAAGCCAGCAGAGTGATCTTGTTTGCTGTGTGCTCATCTTGTGGTGTATCAATGCAATTAAGGCCAGGATCGAAAAATCAGCTGATGACCCAAAATGCAGACTGTGCAAGGAAGCTGATCATATCCTCAGCTGCTGCAAGAAAATCGCACAGACAGAATACAAACAAAGGCACGACTCTGGCCCAAAGGATTCACTGGAACTTATGTCAAAAGTACCACCTACCACCAGTAAAGAATTGGTGGGATCATCATGAACACGCAAAATGAACACGCAAAAATACTGTGGGACTTTCAAATCCAGACTGACAAAAGTTTTGCAACACAATACACCAGACATCACAACTGTGGAAAAGAAAAAAGTTCAGATTATTGATGTCGCCATACCGGGTGACAGCCGAATTGAAGAAAAACGACAGGAAAAACTCAGCCGTTATCAGGACCTCAAAATCAAACTGCAAAGGCTCTGGCATAAACTAGTACAGGGGGTCCCAGTAGTCATCGGCACACTGGGTGCCGTGCCAAAAGATCTCAGCCGGCATTTGAAACAATAAACATTGACAAAATTACAATCTGTCAACTGCAAAAGGCCACCTTACTTGGATCTGCACGTATCATTCGAAAAAACATTACACAATCCTAGACGCTTGGGAAGTGTTCGACTTGTGATTTTGTGATACGAAATCCAGCCTATAGATCTTGTCTGCTGTGACATTTTGCTGCTGTGATTTTGTGTCCGTAAAATAATAATAATAATAATAATAATAATAATAATAATAATAATAATAATGGACAGTTTCTGGCAAAAATTGAGAGCCAAATTGACAAAGAAAAAACATGGCTGTGGCTCACAAATGGGACTGAAAAAGGAGACGGAGGGCCCAAGAACAAGCCATTTGAACCAATGCCATCAAAGGAAGCAGATGAAACAATAGATCACATCCTGAGCTGCTGCAAGAAGATCGCGCAGACAGACTACAAGCAGAGGCATAACACCGTTGCTCAGATGATTCACTGGAACTTGTGCCACAAATATCATCTGCCTGCGACAAAGAACTGGTGGGATCACAAGCCGGAAAGAGTTACAGAGAATGAACACGCCAAACTCCTCTGCGACTTCCGGATTCAGACAGACAGAGTTTTGGAGCATAATACTCCTGACCTCACAACCGTGTTAAAAAACAAAGTATGGATCGTCGATATTGCAAACCCAGGAGACAGCAGGATTGCAGAGAAACAACTAGAAAAGCTGACACAATATGAGGATTTAAAGATCGAACTGCAAAGACTCTGGCACAAGCCAGTCAAGGTGGTCCCAATGGTGACCGGTACACTGGGTGCAGTGCCTAAAGACCTTGGCCAGCACTTAAACACAATCGGCACTGACAAAATTACCATCTGCCATCTGCAGAAGGCCACCTTACTGGGATTTGCACACATCATTTGCCGATACATCACACAGTCCTAGACACTGTGTGATCCAATTCAACAGCCAGCAGAGTGTCTGCTGTGGACTCATCTTGTTGTGTTTCAAATATTAATAATAATAATAATAATAATAATAATAATAATAATAATAATAATAATATCTCATTGAGTCTACCTCTGGCTCTTGAACTCCTTCATGATCTCCAAGAAGCCGTTGTAGGTGGCCGGGTCGCTCCCAAAGCGGATCTTCACCTGGTCCAGGTAGGAGAGGGCATCTTCCACCTAGAGGAGAGAGCAGAGAGGGTTTTGATTGTGGAGGAACGACACAGAGAAAGAAGCACAAACACAGGGTGAGGGGAGATCTAGGAGGGCAAGGGGCTTTAAATGGCTCCCCCATTTCCTAGCCTCAGCTCAGAGCTGGATACTGCTTTTCCCGCATGAAGGCCGATTGGGGTTGGACTAGACGGCCAATGTGGTCTCTTCCAACTCTATGATTCTAAGCCAGTGACTGTGACAGCCTACTAAATCCCACTGAACCATGGGGCTGGAGAGCACGCAATCAGCCAAAAGCGAGCAACGTAGGCCCTTTCTACACTGCTATGTAAAATCCAGATGATCTCTTTTGAACTGCATTGTATGGCAGTGTAGACTCAAATAATCCAGTTCAGATAATAATGTGGATTATCTGCTTTGAATCATCTGGATTTTATGGCAGTGTCAATCAAGCTGTAAGGTGCCCTAGAAAGACTGGAATGTTGTTGTGTGGTTCCCGGGATGTACGGCCAATGTGTTCTAGCAGCATTTGCTCCTTTATATATGATATATATATGATATACCTCTGGAATAATGTCCAGGGTGAGAGAAAAGAATCAATGCCTGTTGAACAAGTGTAAAGGGTGCAATGAGCAAGCTTGGAAGTAGCCTGACTTTTGTTCCCTTATTATTATTATTATTATTATTATTATTATTATTATTATTAGTTCCCTTCGCATTGTTTACTGCCTGGAGGCCTCCTTGGCCTGGCTGGCATTCATTAATTCAGTGTTTCTCAACCTTCCTAATGTCGCGACCACTGAGTACAGTTCCTCATGTCATGTTGAATCCCAACCATAACATAATTTTCGTTGCTAATTCATAACTATCATTTTGCTACTGTTATGAATCGTAATGTAAATATCTGCTATGAAGGACGTATTTGGATTCCAAGGACCAAATTTGGCACAAATACCAGATACGCCTATATATGAATAATGGTGGGGTGGGGAGGTTGAGTTTGTCATTTGGGAGTTGTCGTTGCTGGGATTTATAGTTCACCTACAATCAAAGAGCATTCTGGACTCCACCAATGATGGAATGGAACCAAACCTGGCACCCAGAATGCCCATGACGAACAGAAAATACTGAAAGGGTTTGGTGGGCATTGACCTTGAGTTTTGGAGTTGTAGTTCACCTACATCCAGAGAGCACTGTGGACTCAAACAATGCTGGATCTGGACCAAACTTGGCACGAATACTCAATATGCCCAAATGTGAACACAGATGGAGTTTGTGGAAAAAGACCTTGACACTGGGGAGTTGTAGTTGCTGGGATTTATAGTTAACCTACAATCAAAGAGCATTCTGAACTCCACAAACAATGGAATTGAACCAAACTTGGCACACAGAACTCCCATGACCAACAGAAAATACTGGAAGGGTGTGGTGGGTATTGACCTTGAATTTTGGAGTTGTAGTTTACCTACATCCAGAGAGCACTGTGGACTCAAACAATGATGGATCTGGTCCAAACTTGGCATGAATACTCAATATGTCCAAATGTGAACACTGGTGGAGTTTGGGTCATGAGGGAGTGTCAGAGGGATCGCCAAAGACCATCAGTAAACATATATTTCTGATGGTCTTAGGAACCACTTGGGCAGAGAAGGCTGAAGATCTCTCCACCTGTCGTAGTCTTCCTTTTTGATGGTGAATCCTCCCATCAAAAGTACTCCTCTGCTGTGATTTGCTGGCCTCTTAGCCAAGGGGAGGGCTGTTTCTGATACTTCAAGTGGGGCAAGGAGAGCAGGCGTGCTCGGCTCATGGTGGTGTGGTGCACATATGTGGGCGAAGGAGAGTGTGTATGGTTGGAGGGAGGCATGCGCCAGCGAGTCCCTTCAAGGCATGGGGGTTCTGTGTGGGAGGTTTGGCTCAATTCTATTATTGGTGGGGTTCAGAATGCTTCTTGGTTGTAGGTGAACTATAAATCCCAGCAACTACAACTCCCAAACGCCAAGGTCTGTTTTCCCCAAACTCCACCAGTGTTCTCATTTGGGCATACTGAGAATTTGTGCCAAGTTTGGTCCAGATCTATCATTGTTTGAGTCCACAGTACTCTCTGGATGTAGGTGAACTACAACTCCAAAACTCAAGGTCAGTGCCCACCAAACCCTTCCAGTATTTTTTGTTGATCATAGGAGTTCTGTCTGCCAAGTTTGGTTCAATTCCATCGTTGGTGGAGTTCAGAATGCTCTTTAATTGCAGGTGAACTATAAATCCCAGCAACGACAACTCCCAAATGACAAACTCAACCTCCCCCCCCCCCCCATACCCACCAGTATTCAAATTTGGGCGTATTGGGTATTTGTGCCAGGGAATGAAAACACATCCTGCATATCAGATACTTACATGACAATTCATAACTGGCAAAATTCCAGTTATTAAGTAGCAACAAAAATAATGTTATGGTTGGGGGGTCACCACGACATGAGGAGCTGTATTAAGGGGTCACAGCATTAGGAAGGTTGAGAAACACTGTTGTAAGGCTTTAAAGGTAAAAACCAACACCTTGCCCTTTGCCCGGAAACTACCCGTATATACTCGAGTATAAGCCGACCCGAATATAAGCAGAGGGACCTAATTTTACCACAAAAAAACCCTGGAAAAACGCTTTGACTCGAGTATAAGCCGAGGGTGAGAAATGTAGCTGCTACTGGTAATCATCAGGAGGTTAAATGTTTTTGAGTATTTACACAAAACTGTAATTTAAGATAAGACAGCCCAACTCGGATTCAACCAGTATTCTAACCTCTTTCAATGTGTAAATATGCTTACCTATTTCCTATAATCTATATAAATAAAAATGTAATGTTCGTTTGTGATACCATCAGAACTCAAAAACCACTGGGGTAATTGACACCAAATTTGGACACAAGACACCTAACAACCCAATGTATGTCTTCCACTCAAAAAAATTGATTTTGTCATTTGGGAATTGTCGTTGCTGGGATTTATAGTTTACCTACAATCAAAGAGCATTCTGAACTACACCAATGATGGAATTGGGCCAATGACGGATCTGGACCAAATTTGGCACGAATATTCCATATGCCCAAATGTGAACACAGATGGAAGGAAGGAGAAAAGGAAGGAAGGAGAGAAGGAAAGAAAAAAGTGAAAGAGGGAAGGAAGGAAGAAAGAAGAGAAGGAAAGAAAAAAGTGAAAGAGGGAAGGAAGAAGGAACAAGGAGAGAAAGAGGGAGGGAAGGAAGGGAGGAAGGGAGGAAAGAGACAAGGAAGGATGGAACCAAAGAGCAAAGGAAAGAGAAAAGAAACAGGTAGAGAAGGAAGAAAGAAGAAGGGAAAGGAAAAGAGGGAAGGAAGGAGAGAAAGAAAGAAGGAGAGAAAGAGGGAGAGAAGGTTGGCCACAGCATCGCGTGGCGGGTACAGCTAGTGATAGAATAAAATAATAAATGTAATAGCATGTAATGAAAAAAATAATAGAGTAAATAATGGATATTTAATAATAATAGTAATAATAAAGTAATAAATGTAATAATAACAATATTAGAGTAAAATAATAAACGTAATAAATATAATAATGCAGTAAAATAATGTAAATGTAATAATAATAGAGTAAAATAATAAATGTAATAAAAGTAATAATAGAGTAAAATAATGTAAATGTAATAATAATAGAGTAAAATAATAAATGCAATAAAAATAATAATAGAGTAAAATAATGTAAATGTAATAATAATAGAGTACAATAATAAAAGTAATAAAAATAATACTAACAGCAGAGTAAAATAATGAATAACCTTGACTAGAGTATAAGCCGACGGGAACTTTTTCAGCCTAAAAAAGGGTCTGAAAAACTAGGCTTATACTCGAGTATATACAGTAATTGGCAGATGGTGGAGTGAATTTAGAATTGGTGTGATATGCTCACACCTGGATATTGTCATAGCTAGTCTGGCTGCCGTATTTGCAGTGAGTCAACTATAGTATCTGGAGCCAGGTTGTTGAATGCAGTCTGCTCACTTCTCCACGTATTCGCATTTGTTTGCTCTTCTATTGCTTACATTACTATTGGCCTTTCTTCCAAAGAGCTGAAGAAGGCCCATATAACTCTATTTTCCTATTTTATTCTTGCAATATCGCTAGGATAATGGCTATAGATTAGGGGTGTGCAAAGGTTTGCTTTTAATTCATTTTTTGGATCAAATTTATTAGAATCGTGCAGATGAATTGATATTAGAAACATGCAGGAAAGGCTGGGAAGGGGATTTAAGAATTGAAGCATTCACTCGTTCTTTTTTGTTAAGACTCTGTAACATTCGGATGCCTCCTGAGGTCAGCTTAATTTTCAGTATAAGCATTAAGCAATTTTGTCAAAGCCAAGAGAATATAAAATGCTTTAAAAACCAATCCTTTTTCTCTGGCCTGATCGCCATAAGCAAAGGCACTGCGGGTGGGACTAGCAAAGTTAATGGGCGGGAGACGGAGAGCACGGCATTCCGGGAAATGTTGTTCCGGAAGGCGAGGCCCCTGTGGCAGAGAATGGAAAAGGCCCTGCCCTAAACTACATTTCCCAGAATGCAGTGCTCAGCATCAGAAAGACTCAGTGAGAGCTACAGAAGCCAGCTGTTTAGAGTCAGTCTAATAATCTATATAAATAAAAATGTAATGTTCGTTTGTGGTATTCACAGAACTCAAAAACCACTGGACGAATTGACACCAAATTTAGACACAAGACACCTAACAACCCAATGTATGTCCTTCACTCAAAAAAATTGGATTTTGTCATTTGGGAGTTGAAGTTGCTGGGATTTATAGTTCACCTACACTCAAAGAGCATTCTGAACTCCACCAACAATGGAATTGAACCACACGTAGCATAACAGGACTCCCATGACCAACGGAAAACACTAGAAGGGTTTGGTGGACATTGACCTTGAGTTTGGGAGTTGTAGTTCACCTACATCCAGAGAGCACTGTGGACTCAAACAATGATGGATCTGGATCAAACTTGGCACAAATATTCCATATGCCGAAATATAAACACAGATATTGGGGGAAATAGACCTTGACATTTTGGAGTTGTAGTTACTGGGATTGATAGTTCATCTACAATCAAAGACCAGTCTGAACCCCACAAATGACAGAATTGGGGCAAATTTCCCACACAGAACCACCATGACCAAGAGAAAATACTTAAGGCCATCCAGTCCAACTCTCTTCACCAGGGCAAGAAAAAGTAATCAAAGCCCTCTTGACAAAGAGTCATCCAGCCATAGATATAAATAGATAGATATGATTCACACACACACACACACAAATATAGTATTATAGATTTGAAAGGGACCCCTAAAGAAGGACAATTATATGTTCCATATTCCAGAGTAGGCAAACCAGACAATCTACACATCAACACTGACAAAGAAACAACAAGAATACCCACAAGCATAAAGAAATTGCATATATTAGAAACCCACACTTTCACATTACTTTATTTTCCAGATCACCACACTGGGCCACAGCAACGCGTGGCAGGGGACGGCTAGTAAACATAAAATGAGTGAATCTGCTAAGACAGTGGTTCTCAACCTGGGGTCTCCAGATGTTTTTGGCCTACAACTCCCAGAAATCCCAGCCAGTTTACCAGCTGTTAGGATATCTGGGAGTTGAAGGCCAAAAACATCTGGGGAACCCAGGTTGAGAACCACTGTGCTAAGAGGACTAAAGTGAGTAAGTAATATATAAATCTGTGCTAAGTTGAAGTTCTGTGGGTTGCGTGTCATAAAGACAGGCAGGTATCCAATGGGGTTGCTGGGGTTGCTTTTTGGGGGGCAAATTGTTTCTGTATGAACTTTTAAAATCCCCAAAAGTCCATATATGTGTGAATTTTTCTGAAAGTTCTGGGGATCTTTTTCCAATGTCAGGAACGACTTGAGAAACTGCAAGTCACCTCTGGTGTGAGAGAATTGGCTATCTGCAAGGATGTTGTCCAGGGGACACCCGGATGTTTTGATGTTTTACCATCCTTGTTAGAGGCTTCTCTCATGTCCCCACACGGAGAGCTAGAGCTGACAGAGGGAGCTCATCTGCACTCTCCCCGGATTTGAACCTCCGAGTTCTGTGGGTTGTGTGTCATAAAGACAGGCAGGTATCCGATGGGGTTGCTGTGGTCGCTTTGGGGGAGGGGGGGGCAAATTGTTTTTGGCTGAACATCTAAAAATCCCAAAAGTCTGTAGATGTGTGAATCTTTCTGAAATTTCTGAGGATTTTTTTCCATGTCAGGAGTGACTTGAGAAACTGCAAGTCGCTTCTGTTGTGAGAGAATTGACTGTCTGCAAGGACGTTGTCCAGGGTTACGCTTGGATGTTTTGATGTTTTACCATCCTTGTGGGAGGCTTATCTTATGTCCCCGCATGGGGAGCTGGAGCTGACAGAGGGAGCTCATCTGCACTCTCCTCAGATTTGAACCTCCAACCTGTCGGTCTTCAGTTCTGTCGGCACAAGGGTTAAACCCATTGCACCACCGGGGGCTCCTGTTCTAGGGATTGATGCCCTGGTTATCTTGTGCATTGTATAAAAAATCCAAGTAGATAGCTCTTGTTTTTTTTTAAAGTGTTGTTTATAAAATCTTTGAAAATTCCCCAAAAATCTGTGGATTAGTGAAGCATTCTGAAATTTGGTGGGCTAACAGTGGTAAGCAGGTTCTACCATTGTAGCAAGTTTCACTCCAATAGCTTTAAAAATGAGGAAGAAAGGAGCTCCTGGAGTTTCCCCAATTATAGTATTTATACCATTTTTAATAGATCGCACCTCCCTACTATAGATATAGACTAGGCCTGGGCAAACTTGGGCCCTTCCTCCCTCCAGGTGTTTTGTACTTCAACTTCCACAATTCCTGACAGCCTCAGGCCCTTTCCTTTCTTTCTTTTCCGCTTAAGCGGCTGAGGGGGGAAAAGAAGGGGCCTGAGGCTTTGAGGAATGGTGGGAGTTGGAGCCCAAAACACCTGGAGAGAAGGAGGGAGGGCCCAAGTTTGCCCAGGCCTGATATAAATGGACATGATATAGGTGCTAGATCAGCATTACTCAACCTGGGGGTCGGGACCCCTACGGGGGGTCGCGAGGGGGGGTTCAGAGGGGTTGCCAAAGACAACCAGAAAACATATATTTCCAATGGTCTTAGGATCCCCTTTGGCAGAGAAAGCAGATCTCTGTCCTTCTCTTCCTTTTTAGAAACAGACAGCGAATCTTCAGCCTTCTCTGCCAAATTGGTTCCTAAGACCATCAGAAATATATGTTTACTGATGGTCTTTGGCGATCCCTCTGACACTCCCTCATGACCCAAACTCCACCAGTGTTCGCATTTGGGCATATTGAGGATTCATGCCAAGTTTGGTTCAGATCCATCACTGTTTGAGTCCACAATGCTCTCTGGATGTAGGTGAACTACAACTCCAAAATTCAAGGTCAATGCCCATCAAACCCTTCCAGTATTTTCTGTTGGTCAGGGGAGTTCTGTGTGCCAAGTTTGGTTCAATTCCATCGTTGGTGGAGTTCAGAATGCTCTTTGACTGTAGGTGAACTATAAATCCCAGCAATGCCAACTCCCAAATGAAAAAACAAAACAAAAACAATCCTCTCCAACCCCACCAGTATTCAAATTTGGGTATATTGGATATTTGTGCCAAATTTGGTCCAGTAAATGAAAATACATCCTGCATATCAGATATTTACATGACGATTCATAACAATAGCAAAATGACAGTTATGAAGTAGCAACAAAAAGAAGGTTATGGTTGGGGTTCACCACAACATGAGGAACCGCATTCAGGGGTCGTGGCATTAGAAAGGCCGAGAAACACTGTGATAGATAGATAGATAGATAGATAGATAGATAGATAGATAGATAGATGGATAGAGAGAGATAGATAGATAGATAGATAGATAGATAGATGGTCTAATAGATAGATAGATAGTCAGATATATATAGATAGTCAGATAGACGGATATAGATAAATTGATGGTCTGATAGATAGATTGTCAGATAGATAGATAGATAGATAGATAGATAGATAGATAGATAGAGATAGTCAGATAGACGATATAGATAAATTGATGGTCTGATAGATAGATAGATAGATAGATAGATAGATAGATAGATAGATAGATAGATGGTCTGATAGATAGATATAGATAGACGGATAGATATAGATAAATTGATAGTCTGATAGACAGATTGTCAGATAGATAGATAGATAGATAGATAGATAGAGATTGATTGATGGTCTGATAGATAGATACTCAGATAGATAGATGGTCTGATAGATATAGATTGATTGATGGTCTGATAGTCAGGTAGATAGATAGAGATAGATACTCAGATAGACGGATATAGATAGATTGATGGTCTGCTAGTCAGATACAATGAAACAAGCATCATATACAATTAACCTACATTAAAAACAATTATTTATTTATTTGACTTGTATACCGCCACTCCCAATTTGGCTCGGAGCGGTTTACAGCAGTAGATTAAAACAATACAACCAACTTTAAAATACAATAAAAACGAGAACAGACATAGTCCCGAGTTATTCACCCATCGAAAGCTTGTCGGAAAAGAAAGGTTTTACAGGCTTTCCGAAAAGCAAGTAGCTCTCGGATGGTTCGGGTTTCAACTGGCAAGGCATTCCATAAATAAGGGGCCACAATCGAGAAGGCTCTCTGCCTAGTAGAGGACAGATGATAAGTCTGGATGTTGGGGACGTCAAGCAAATTTTGGTCTTCGTACTGATGATGGTCTGATAGATAGATTGTCAGATAGATAGATAGATAGATAGATAGATAGATAGATAGATAGAGATAGATAAGTCTGATAGATAGTATCTATGTATCTGATAGTATCTATGGTCTGATAGTCAGATAGATTTTTTTTGTCAGATAGATAGATTGATAGAGATAGATAGATCGATATAGATAGAGATAGATATAGTCTGATAGATAGTATCTATGTATCTGATAGTATCTATGGTCTGATAGTCAGATAGATTTTTTTTGTCAGATAGATCGATAGAGATAGATAGATCGATATAGAGATAAATATAGTCTGATAGATAGTATCTATGTATCTGATAGTATCTATGGTCTGATAGATAGTCAGATAGATTTTTTTTTGTCAGATAGATAGATCGATAGAGATAGATAGATCGATAGAGATAGATAGATAGAGATAGAGATAGATATAGTATGATAGATAGTATCTATGTATCTGATAGTATCTATGGTCTGATAGTCAGATAGATTTTTTTTTGTCAGATAGATCAATATAGATAGATAGATAGTCTGATAGATAGTATCTGTGTATCTGATAGTATCTATGGTCTGATAGATAGTCAGATAGATTTTTTTTGTCGTGTCAGGAGCGACTTGAGAAACTGCAAGTCGCTTCTGGCGTGAGAGAATTGACCGTCTGCAAGGACGTTGCCCAGGGGATGGTTTTGATGTTTTTATCATGCTTGTGGGAGGCTTCTCTCCTGTCCCCGCACGGGGAGCTGGAGCTGACAGAGGGAGCTCATCCGCCTCTCCCCGGATTCGAACCTGCGACCTGTCGGTCTTCAGTCAAATAGATAGATAGATAGAGATAGATAGATGGTCTGAAAGATGGATTGATAGATATAGATAGATATAGAGATATATGTTCCATACATTCATTCTACCCAGTTTATTGGGCGTTTTGCAACCCCCCCCAAAAGGGGGGCAAAAGGGGGAGAGGGGGTTAAAGGACCCCCTCCCCAATATTCGAGGATTGGGAGGGGCTTTTCTTCCCAACCCCCAACTTCTCCTCTCCCTCTCCTCCCCCCCCTTCCCCCCCTCATCTTACTTACGTGGACAGGAAGCTTCTCCCCGGTGGGCCCCCCGTTTGCTGCTGTGGCTGCCCGGCCCCCCAAGCGCGGACCCGCTCGGCCGCCGCCCCCCGCCGCCATGTCCCTCGCTCCCTCCCTCCTTCCCTCCCTCCTTCCTTCCTTCTTTCCTTCCTCCGCCTTTTGCGTCACCGCGCTCGGGGAGGTGGGGCCAAAGCGGAACCTTCGCGCTTCGGGAAGAAGCACCCGCCCGGAAGAGAGAAAGGAACCGGACCGGAAGAGGGTACAGCGCAGAAAGAGCGGCCAAACAAATAGGCGCGCGGCTGAGGGGGGGGGGGGGGGCATAGAGTTGCGGCGCAGAGCGGCCAAAGGGAGGGACCAGGAAGTGAAGGACACCGCTCTTCTCTCGAGCGAGGGAAAGACTTGATGTTTGTGATGGAATGCAGGATCAGGAGACCCAACCCTACTTTACTTGCTCCATCCATGTTCAACATCTACACAAATGGCCAGCCACTGCCAGAAGGGACAGAGAGTTTCATCTATGCTGATGATCATGCCATCACCGCTCAAGCAGGGAGCTTTTGAGATGGCAGAACAGAAGCTTTCCGAAGCTCTAGGTGCTCTTACTGCCTATTATAGGGAAAACCAGCTGGACTACTGCAATGCGCTCTACGTGGGGCTGCCCTTGAAGACAGCTCAGAAGTTGCAACTGGTCCAACGATCAGCAGCCAGGATGTTAACGGGGGCCCCTTACAGAGAGAGGTCAACCCTCCTGTTCAATTTATTTATTTATTTACTTTGCTTGTATACCGCAGTTTCTCAGCCCGTAGGCGACTCAACGCGGTTCACAACAAGAGCAAAAGACAATCCAACAACATACAGTATTAAAACCATTAACAGTATAAAATACAAACTAATGACATCTCAATAACAACACATTAACGTCTCGTAACTAAAATCGTGATCCAATTCGTCATCCATAATTCCGTTTCCTATATTCATCGTGTTCATTGCACTATTTATCCGAACGCCTGTTCAAACAGCCAGGTTTTTAGTTTTCTTCGAAACACCATTAGCGAAGGGGCTGATCTAATGTCCATGGGAAGGGCGTTCCACAGCCGAGGGGCCACCACAGAGAAGGCCCTGTCCCTCGTCCCCGCCAGCCGTGCTTGTGATGCAGGCGGGATCGAGAGCAGGGCCTCCCCAGAAGATCTTAGAGTCCTGGTGGGTTCATAGGCAGAGATACGTTCGGATAGGTAACTTGGGCCAGAACTGTTTAGGGCTTTATAGACCAACGCCAGCACTTTGAATTGAGCCCGGTTCAAGGAGCTCCACTGGCTGCCGTTTATATTCTGAGCCCAATTTAAGGTGCAGGTGCTTACCTACAAAGCCCTGAACGGTTTGGGACCAGCTTACCTGCGTGACCGCATTTCCATCTACGAACCCACACGCTCACTTCGGTCATCTGGAGAGGCCCTGCTCGTGATCCCACCTGCGTCGCAAGCGTGCTTGGTGGGGACACGGGACAGGGCCTTTTCCGTGGTGGCCCCCAGACTCTGGAACACCCTCCTCAAAGACCTTAGACAGGCCCCCACACTGGCAGTCTTCAGAAAGAACTTGAAGACTTGGCTTTTCCGATGCGCCTCCCCAGATTAGGAAATCTCCACTACCAAGTCCCATAAGCTCCTTATCAGAACCAATGACTGCTGCACATCGCACTTGCCCTAGAAGCCTCATATACACCTCCTGTCACATCAGCACTTTTAATTCTTGTACCCATTACTTTGGCCTGGCCCAGTTTTTATTGTGTTTTAGTGTATTGCTTTTGCCTGTTGTTTATCTGCTTTATCCTGTTTTTAATTGTTTGATTTGCCTAGTTTGTATTGCTATGTTGTGTGTTGAGGCCTCGGCCTGTGTAAGCCGCATCGAATCCTTCGGGAGATGCTAGCGAGGTACAAATAAATTTTAATAATAATAATAATAATAATCCCCAACCCATCTAAAACACAGACATGTGCCTTTCACCTTAAAAACAGACAAGCATCCCGAGCTCTGAGGATTACCTGGGAATCCCACTGGAGCATTGCAACGCACCCAAATACCTGGGGGTCACTCTGGACCGTGCTCTTACCTACAAGAATCACTGCCTGAACATCAAGCAAAAAGTGGGTGCTAGAAACAATATCATACGAAAGCTGACTAGCACAACCTGGGGATCACAACCAGATACAGTGAAGACATCTGCCCTTGCGTTGTGCTACTCTGCTGCTGAGTACGCATGCCCAGTGTGGAACACATCTCACCACACTAAAACAGTGGATATGGCTCTTAATGAGACATGCCACATTATCACAGGGTGCCTGCGCCCTACACCACTGGAGAAATTACACTGCTTAGCTGGTATTGCGCCACCTGACATTTGCCGGGAAGTAGCAGCCAATAGTGAAAGGACCAAGGTAGTGACATCTCCAGCTCATCCCTGTTTGGGTATCAGCCAGCACGTCAATGACTTAAATCTAGAAATAGTTTTCTAAGATCTACAGAGACACTCGCTGGAACACCTCAGCAAGCGGGAGTCCAAAAGTGGCAGGCTCAAACCCAGAACCTCAACCAATGGCTGATACCAAATGAGAGACTCCCCCCTGGGCACACAGAAGACTGGGCGACTTGGAAGGCACTGAACAGACTGCGCTCTGGCACCACAAGATGCAGAGCCAACCTTCAGAAATGGGGCTACAAAGTGGAATCCTCGACATGCAAGTGTGGAGAAGAGCAAACTACAGACCACTTGCTGCAATGGAACCTGAGCCCTGCCACATGCACAATGGAGGACCTTCTTGCGGCAACACCAGAAGCACTCCAAGTGGCCAGATACTGGTCAAAGGACATTTAATCAACTACCAAACTCACATATTTTGTATTTTGTCTGTTTGTTTGCTTTGTTCTGTTAGAAATGTAATATAATCGACTGGTTGCCCTGACACTACAAATAAATACTGAGAAAGGCCGACACAAGCCGTATACAAGGCCGCCATCTAGTGTCTCATTGCAGAAAAGCAGGCCCTTTATTCACTCCCATTAAAAGACGCCCTCTAATGGCTATATGGCGGCTATTTCACCTCTGCCCACTGAAAGCCAACACCAAGGTCACAACATCTGTTATAGAACTCCAATATGCCGATGATAACGTAATCTGTGCGCATTCAGAAGAAGACCTACACCCCACTCTAAACACCTTTGCAGAAGCATACGAGAAGCTCAGCCTCTCACTGAACACTGAGAAAACCAAAGTGATCTTCCAGCAAAAGGCACCGACCAATCCCTCTACAATGCCAGAAATACAGCTTAATGGTGCAACATTCTTCAACTTGGTGAGATTTATTTAGGAATATTGGGCTTCTTCGTCTTGCCAGATTTCTTCAGCCTTCTTTGTCCACCAGATGTTCTTGACTTCTCTTGTCCTTCTTTGGACCTCAGCTTTTGCACTGGCATAGATCTTTTTCTTAGCAACAGAGTTGACATCTCTCTGCCATATTATTAGCATAGTACAATATCAGTATTATATATTACTATACCATTATATTATACCTGAGGTCGTCACACAGATGAAAGAGGAGCCAAGGTTCGGATCACGAGAAATGAAATTTATTCAGAAGTGACACCGACACAACGAGCTACAAGGGTTATGGTCAATTATGAGATTGTTTGTGAACCGTCGCCAAACCTGACCTGACCCATAGACTTATAATGGGACAGAAGCAACATTGGGGTTGGGCTAAACCTGCCTTCAAAGAAACCAGCATTAAGGCAGTTGTTTGCAAAACATGGCATGGACTTCACAAAGAGAGAAAGCCATTGCTCTGGGGGAAAACGAAACACAATAACACGCAAACCTGGGATGAAATGGCAACCTGGGATTGGCTCGAACAAAGAAGAGGCACCAACATGGATCTCTCTCTCTCTCCCTCCCCATCTATAGAGGAGAAGGAGCTAATACTCAGGCTAATACTTGCAAGGCTCCGGCCTCCTTCCCGGGCAACAGCTACTCCTAAGACGGACAACACTGAATGGGGCTTTTCCCCAGACCTCCAAGCACCAAACACACTCCGGAATGGGACTTATTTTTGGCCACATGCTACTGCGTCCGTAGCTGGTAATCTAGACAAAAAAAACAAAACGGATGAGTGAGCAAAGCTGGACCCTCCTGCAGGAAACGTGAAAATATAATAATAGTAATAATAATAATAATAATAATAATAATAAATCAATATAATTATATTATATTATTATATAATAAAATTACAATATATGTTCCACTGTGCTTTTGATTAGACGATTTCCCCAGAAAAATGTTGGCTCCCAGTTATGACCCCAATTTACAGTCCCTGCACTTTACTACTGCCCCCCGCTTAAAGATTGTGTTCCACCTTATATTACCCGTTACCACCATTTTTGGTTATCTGAGATAAAACACATAAAGCTGTTCAACAGTGGAACTCTCTGCCTCAGAATCCAGTGGAAGCTCCTTCCCTGGAGGCTTTGAAACAGAGGCTGGATGGCCATCTGTCGTGAGGGATTTGATTGTGCTTTTCCTTTTTTCTGTTGTCAACGCACCTCCGTTCTGCGTGATGTATCGCACCCACGGCAAGGCCTGGTAGCCGCTCTTCTCGATGATCTTCAAGTAGCGGACCTAAGGAGAGGAGGAGATATATTGCAACCCTAAGTGCTTCAGAAAAGAATAGAATAATAACAGTATATAATAACTTATTATTATTATTATTAACCTTATTTGTACCCCGCTAGCATCTCCCAAAGGACTTGATGCATCTTACAAAGTCCTCAATAAAACAACAATATTACAAATACACATAAATCATAAAGCAAATCAAAACATTAAAGCAGTAACAGTACAATAATAAAACAATACACAGTAACACAATAAAACTAGGGCCGGGGCCAAATGTAATGGGTACAGATTAAAAAGTGCTGTGTATGACAGGTGGAATATAGGGATTTAGGGTAAGTGCAATGTGCAGACAATCTTAAATATCTATTAAAGTGCTTCTGGGACATGATTGCTGGGGTTCCTATTCTGGAAAGGCACACCGGAATAGCCAAGTCTTCAAGCTCTTCCTGAGGACTGCCAACGTAGGGGCTTGTCTGATGTCCTTGGGAAGGGTATTCCAGAGTCGGGGGGCTACCACAGAGAAGGCCCTGTCCCTCGTCACCACCAACTGCGCTTGTGACGCAGGTGGGATCGTGAGCAGGGCCTCTCCAGATGAACGAAGGGACTGTGTGGGTTCGTAGACGGAGATGTGGTCGGAGAACTTTACTGTCATTGTACGTCATGCAATTGCATGTAGAACTGCAAAAACAAAGCACCCATCCTTCCACGTTCTCATCACTATTTCACAACCCTGTAAAGTCATACCAGCATTAAAGCCTTAGAGTTCAATATAGAATCAAAGCTCTCTCTCGGCCAATCTGTCCTTGTTTTTAATCACCCTATCTTATCTGCCAGATGCTAATAATTCAAAAAAAGAAGAATATCCAGGGTGAAATGGATCCTTAAGGATATTCTGAGCTTTCTCAAAGCAGCAGGGATTATTATACGAGGGGTATTTTTTAAGTAAGGTCCGTTTTGTTGTAGACACTAGTAGTTTGCACGCATACCGCAACGAGCGTGTGTGTCGTGTACCGCATGCCTCGGGAACAACTGTGCTCAGTTTCCGCTCTGTAGCTAACCTGTACAGTTCTGTTCTGTGCTTTAAACATGTTTAAGACTATCAACTCACCCTCCGCATGTGAGGTTTGCTCAGTGATACAGTTTTTGTCAGCAAGGAACCTGCCTGCTGCAGAAATTCATCGACAGATTTGTGAAGTGTACAGTGATGATACTGTTATGAGTGAAAGCAAAGTGCGCAAGTGGGTACGACAATTCAAAGATGGCCGTGACAACGTCCATGATGAGGACCGCTCTGGTCGCCCTTCTTTGATTACAGTGAACTCTTGGTTATCGGAGCAGGCGGCAAGTTTTTATGAAGAGGGTATTTTAAAATTGGTTCAGAGGTATGATAAGTGTTTGAACAAACTTGGCAACTATGTCGAAAAATAGAGTGAAGTATGTACTTTCTGAAAATAAATTTACTTTTTTGAAATAAACTTTTGTTGTGTACTTATGTTCAAACAGACCTTACTTAAAAAATACCCCTCGTAGATAGTCAAAATCTGGCTCTGGAAGCAGGCTTTTGAAAACGAGGGCAATGCAGTATGCCGAATATAGAATTGTGTGCAATTTGATCTTGGAATGACCTTAGACCTTGAACTCTGGATGGTGTGTTCTTAACTTTGAATGTATTTTAACCATTTTAAATATGGTGCAATTTTAAACTATTTTAAGGTGAATTTGTTGTTTTGAGGCACTGTGTATGTATTATTGTAAGCCGCCTTGAGTCCCCCTGCTGGGGTAGAGGAAGGTGGGGTATAAACATGGCAAATAAATAAATAGAGCAGCGGTGCTCAACCTGGGGGTTGCAACCCCCGGCGGGGTCATTTGGCAATTCTGGAGGGGTCGCGGCATGGTCTCATTAGGCCACGCCTCCTCCTGCAGGACCCATATATGACATTAAATGCCATGCCCAATGCGCATTATATATATGCCCAATGTGCATTATATATATAATTGACACTGTACATCATACAATAACATTAAATAGTATAATGCACTATATATATATATATATATATATATATATATATATATATATAGAGAGAGAGAGAGAGAGAGAGAGAGAGAGAGATAGAGAGAGAGAGAGAGAGCGCATTGGGCATGGCATTTAATGTCATTGTATGATGTACAGTGTCAATTACGTTACCGGATGTACTCGAGTATAAGCCGAGTCACCTAATTTTACCACAAAAAAAGGAAAACAATGGCATTAAATTTATATATACACACACACACACACACACACAATTACACAACAAAGTGCCCCTCCTTCCACATTCTACATTAGAAACCATTCACAATAGAGGCAATAGGTTAGAAAGTCACCTGCAGTTTCTCATTCAGTGGTTGGTCCCTTAAAAGTCTCAGATCATGATGCAATCTCTGCTGAGCCCTCTTACCCAACACACACTCCACTCGATCTCCATTTATAAAACCAAAGGCAGAATTCGTGATCTATTCTGTCATCAACTATAAGCTCCTTGGTCTTATCAATAAGATAAGAAATGTTTCCAGTATCCAGGATACTTTCTATGATATCTATACTTTCACCCCCTCTCTTACCCCTCTTTTTTCCCCTCTGCTTTTCCCCCCAGCATAGTGAGAAACTTTTACAAGTTTTAAAAGTTTCCAACACTATCTCTATCAATCTTTGTTTTTGTTTTAAGAAAATTAATAAAGATTATTTTTTAAAAATAAGATAAGAAATGTTAAGAAGCCAAATGAAGCTTCAGGGCAACTGGATGCCAGAAGAGGGCCTCTTTATTACCTGGATCCCCGAAGTGGTGAAATACGGGATTTCAAACTTGACGCTGATGGGGGGCTTCCCCTCCTTGTCCTCTGCCTCCACGCTTGGGAGCCCAAAGTGGGCCCGCATCAGGTATTCCTTCCCACCCTGCAGGCAAGAGAGAGGAAGGAGCCATTGTTTCACAACCAGCGAGGCCAACAATTAAATAATAATAATAATAATAATAATAATAATAATAATAAACCTTTATTTATACCCTGCTATTATCTCCCGAAGGACTCGGTGCGGCTTACAAGAGGCCGAGCCCAAATAAATCAGTAAACAACAATAACAACAATACAACAATAAATGAACTCAAAAACAAAGCAATAAAAGCAAAGCAATAAACATTAACAAAACACCACGACGCGTTAAAACCTATGGCAGGGCCAAATGTAATAATTATTTTTTTTAAATATGCTGGGCATGACCAGGTGAAAAGGATAGGTATTTGGAGGGGGATGGGGCGTGCAGACATCCTGGATCCCGTCACCCCACAAAAAGAGCAACCCACCCCCTGGTGAACAGGATAAACTAATTAAAATGTATGAGGGAAGAAAAAAATAAGTGTTGGAAACATAAGGGAATAAGAACAAGGGGACAAGGGCACAAAATACATCGCTTAAATCAGCGTTTCTCAACCTGGGTTCGGGAGCCCGAAGGGGGGAGGTGGGCGAGCGGGATTTCAGATGGGGTCACCAAAGACTATCAGAAAACACGTATTTCTGCTGGTCTAAGAAGCCCTTTTGCAGAGAAGGCTGAAGATCTCTCCTTCTCTTCCTTTTTGGAAACAGATGGCGAATCCTCCCACCAAAAGGCCTCCTTCTGCTGTGATTGGCTGCCCCCTCTGCTGGCCTCCAAGTCAAAGGGAGGGCTGTTTCTGGGACTCTAAACAAGGAGGGGAGAACAGGCGTGCTCGGAGCATGGTCGCCTAGTGCGCGGGCAAGGGAATGCACCCAAGGCTGGAGCGAGTCCCTTCAAGGCATAGGGGTTTTGCATGGGAAGTTTGGCCCAATTCTATCATTGGTGGGGTTCAGAATGCTCTTTGATTGTAGATGAACTATAAATCCCAGCAACTACAACTCCCAAACATCAAGGTCTATTTCCCCCAAACTCCACCAGTGTTCACATTTGGGCATATTGAGGATTTGTGCCAAGTTTGGTCTAGATCCATCATTGTTTGAGTCCGCAGTGAACTACAACTCAAGGTCAATGCCCATCAAACCCTTCCAATATTTTCTGTTGGTCGTGAGAGTTCTGTGTGCTAAGTTTGGTTCAATTCCATCGTTTGTGGAGTTCAGAATGCTCTTTGATTGTAGGTATAAATCCCAGCAACTACAACTCCCAAATGACAAAATTAATTCCCCTCAGCCCCACCAGTATTCAAATTCGGGTGTATCGGGTATTTGTGCCAAATTTGGTCTAGTGAATGAGAATACATCCTGCATATCTGATATTTACGTGACAATTCATAACAGTAGTAAAATGACAGTTATGAAGTAGCAAAAAAAATTATTGTATTGTCGAAGGCTTTCATGGCTGGAATCACTCGGTTCTTGTGGGTTTTTTCGGGCTTTATTGCCATGTTCTAGAGGCATTTCTCCTGACGTTTCGCCTGCATCTATGGCAAGCATCCTCAGAGGTAGTGAGGTCTGTTGGAATTAGGAAAATGGGTTTATATATCTGTGGAATGACTGGGGTGGGGCAAAGAGCTCTTCTCTGCTGGAGCTAGGTGTGAATGTTTCAACTGACCACCTTCATTAGCATTTGAGGCCTGGCTGAGCCTGGGGGAATCTTTTGTTGAGAGGTGTTAAGATGTGCCTGGTTGTTTCCTCTCTGCTGTTTTGCTGTTGTAATTTTAGAGTTTTTTACACAACACAACATACAAACAATCTACAAACCCACCAAGAAAATCCAACAAATGCTACGTTCAGCAAAGGACAAGAGGGATCCTCTCACCTCTGCAGGAGTCTACCGTATACCATGCAGCTGTGGACAAGTCTCCATAGGGACCACCAAACGCAGCATTGCCCAGACACGCATCAAGGAACATGAAAGGCACTGCAGACTAGCCAGATTTTCTTCATTTTCATGGTCTCTTCCTTTCTGTGAAATTGTCCACATGCTTGTGGATTTCAATGGCTTCTCTGTGTAGTCTGACATGGTGGTTGTGAGAGTGGTCCAGCATTTCTGTGTTCTCAAATAATATGCTGTGTCCAGGTTGGTTCATCAGGTGCTCTGCTATGGATGACCTTCTGCAGACTACTTCAACCAAAGAAGTCAGCCATAGCAGAGCACCTGATGAACCAGCCTGGACACAGCATATTATTTGAGAACACAGAAATGCTGGACCACTCCAACAACCACATGTCAGACTACACAGAGAAGCCATTGAAATCCACAAGCATGTGGACAATTTCAACAGAAAGGAGGAACCATGAAAATGAACAAAATCTGGCTACCAGTATTAAAAAACTCTAAAATTACAACAGCAAAACAGCAGAGAGGAAACAACCAGGCACATCTTAACACCTCTCAACAAAAGATTCCCCCAGGCTCAGCCAGGCATTCAAATGCTAATGAAGGTGGTCAGTTGAAACATTCACACCTAGCTCCAGCAGAGAAGAGCTCTTTGCCCCACCCCAGTCATTCCACAGATATATAAACCCATTGTCCTAATTCCAACAGACCTCACTACCTCTGAGGATGCTTGCCATAGATGCAGGCGAAACGTCAGGAAAAATGCCTCTAGAACATGGCCCTATAGCCCGAAAAAACCCAAAAGAATCGGGGGTCACCACAACATGAGGAACTGTATTAATGCATCGCCACATTAGAAAGGTTGAGAAACACTGGCTTAAATCAAAGCAACAACCAGGGCCCAAATTATTTCTCTACTGGGAATGCCAAACAAACAAACATGACTAAGCTCCAAAGTACTGCATTACATGATCATTGCAGCACGGATGTGATGTGCACAACAGGGGAAGGAAGCCAGACCGCCCAACAAGAGAAGAATAGACTGAAAAGGTTTTTTAGAAGAGCAGAAAGGGGTGAATTGGCAAGGAGGAACAAGGGAGCAACACCAAGACGTTTTATCAAAGAACCATTTCAAGGTTTGTAGAAAGAAAAAAAAGACGGAAGGAAGACAGAAATGTCAGAAATATTAAAAATAAACGGAGTATTTTTGATTACAGTGTTGTGAGTCAAGCACTGAAAGAGTTAGTAGGTCGAAGCCTCGAGTCAGTGGGCCAAACCTAGTGTCGTCCTAAGGAGAGTGAGTAGGCCAAAGCCTGTTAAGTGTTAGTGCGCCAAAGCTGGTGTCATCCCGAGGAGTGTGAGGTAAACCTCTGTGTGAGAGAAGCCTCGTACGAGAAAGCTCCAGTATGAAGGCTGTTGTATGTAAAGCTACTGTGTATTTGTTTATTTGTGTTTTCTTAACTCAAAATGCTCTTAACTTGGGATGCTCGTAAGTCGAGGCTCCACAGTACTGTATTTGAAATCTCCTCATCTCACTGGAAAACAGGGATAGTAGAGATGTTTGGGGCCCTGAGCCTCAAACAAAGGAAACCCTGCCCAACCAGCTTCTCCTCCCCTCCCCTCCTCACCGGGAATGACTTGACGGACCAGACGATGGCGCTGTTCTCCGGCACCCACTTGACGCTCCCCACTGTTGTCTTGAACTTGGGCGAGTCGGCGTCATTCGGGACCGGGATATGGATCTCCACGTTGTTGGCGGTGGAGCGGCGCTTGAACTGGCTCTTGGCCTGTAAAAAAGATGCCATGATCACTTTTGGAACCTAACAAACGTCCTCCTTTGATTCCGTTTACAGGAGACAGAGTATATCAGGCACTTCACAGAGAAAGGAGGTAAACACTCAGACTATATAGCTATATGGGTGACACAAAGGAGATATTACATTTCACACATACATATATACATTCACTCTACATACATACATTACCATTCCTTCTTCCTGCTCTTGGAGAAGAGACCACAACATGGGACAGATGCAAACCTGCCATTCTGCTTTTATTTATTTTGTGTCAAAAGTATTGCATAAATAAGTACCGTATATACTCGAGTATAAGCCGACCCGGATATAAGCCGAGGGACCTAATTTTACAACCAAAAACTGGAAAAACGTATTGACTCGAGTATAAGCCGAGGGTGAGAAATGTAGCTGCTACTGGTAATCGTCACTAGATTAAATGTTTTTGAGTATTTACACAAAACTGTAATTTAAGATAAGACTGCCCAATTCTGATTCAACCATTATTCTAACCTCCTTCAATGTAAATGTGCTTGTTTACCTATTACCTATAATCATAGAATAAAATCATAAATGTAATAACATGTAATAAAAATAAGAATAGAGTAAATAATGGAAATTTAATAATAATAGTAATAATAATAATAATAATAATAAAGTAATACGTGTAATAATAACAATAATAGAGTAAAATAATAAATGCAATAAATATAATAATACAGTAAAATAATGTAAATGTAATAATAATAGAGGTTTTTTTTCATGTCAGGAGCAACCTGAGAAACTGCAAGTTGCTTCTGGTGTGAGAGAATTGGCCATCTGCAAGGATGTTGCCCAGGGGACACCTGAATGATTTGATGTTTTATCATCCTTGTGGGAGGCTTCTCTGTCCCCGCATAAGGAGCTGATAGAGGGAGCTCATCCGCCTCTCCCTGGATTCGAACCTGTGACCTGTCGGTCTTCAGTCCTGCCGGCACAGGGGTTTAACCCACTGCGCCACCGGGGGCTCCATAATAATACAATAAAATAATGTAAATGTAATAATAATAATAATAGAGTAAAATAATAAATGTAATAAAATAATACTAATAGGAGAGTAAAATAATAAATAACCTTGACTCGAGTATAAGCCGATGGGATTTTTTTCAGCCTAAAAAAGGGGCTGAAAAACTAGGCTTATACTCGAGTATATACAGTAAGTCTAAAACTGATAAAATAAAGGGATCACAAGCTGCTAGTTTTAGACCAAAAACGGGCAACAGCGACTGCATTGTCTGTAGCTTGAAACAGTTCTTTCTCTGTGCATGAGGCAGGGCACGGTGGGCAGGCATACAGATGCCGAGTTGTTTGTTCTGCTCCATAGTCGCACAAGATGGAGGATTCTTCTAGGTCATGTCATTTAGCCAGGTTGTCTTTTGATCTGCCCACTCCACTTCTGACTCTGTTCAGGGACTTCCAAGTTGCCCATTCTTGGCTTACCCCTGGAGGAAGACCCATTCTGCTGATACTGATACTTTTCTCCGTCCCTTGGAGAAAGAGGCGGGTGACCAGACCCTGCATTCCCGTGCAATCTGCCACACTTTTGGAAAACAAGGAAGTCTATTATATAGCATTTCTGATGTTGTTGATGTTGTAAATGACTGACAACTTGTTTTCCAGCTAAAATTTGCTGACTCCATCAGTTCCGGACAGATGTTGGTTTTCCTCCTTAATGTAAGAAACCATTGTGTTTGACTTCCTTAACTTACGAGAATCATGTCTTTCACGATGTAAACATGTTGTTTTCAACCACAGTTCAACAGATCAGCACTTCTCATCAGCAATCTTTTATCACAGCTTAGCAGTTCATGGATTCTTCGCCTCCTTTTGCAATTTTCCAGGCTTAGGATGGTGTTTTCAGTCTTGGCCAGCCCTGGGTTAACTTATTTACTTAGGTGATCCCTCATTGGCCGAGTAGGATACTCTTCCAGGATCAGAATTCTTGTGAGTCTGTAGGTGGCTGTGGAGCCCTATTCTTGATCTGCATCTTCTCCCGCAGTGAGGGCATTGGTTTCCAGGTGGAAGGCGGTCCCGGTTGGCTTGACGCGCCTTCCTCTTGGCACGTTTCTCTCTTTCACCCTCCATTCGTGCCTCTTCAAATTCTGCAGCACTGCTGGTCACAGCTGACCTCCAGCTGGAGCGCTCAAGGGGCAGGGCTTCCCAGTTCTCAGTGTCTATGCCAGAGTTTTTAAGGTTGGCTTTGAGCCCATCTTTAAATCTCTTTTCCTGTCCACCAACATTCTTTTCCGTTCTTGAGTTCAGAGTAGAGCAACTGCTTTGGGAGACGGTGGTCAGGCATCCGGACAACGTGACCGGTCCAGCGGAGTTGATGGCGGTGGACCATCGCTTCAATGCTGGTGGTCTTTGCTTCTTCCAGCACACTGACGTTTGTCCGCTTGTCTTCCCAAGAGATTTGCAGGATTTTCCAGAAGCAGCGCTGATGGAATCGTTCCAGGAGTTGCATGTGACATCTGTAGACAGTCCACGTCTCACAGGCATATAGCAGGGTTGGGAGGACAATAGCTTTATAAACAAGCACCTTGGTATCCCTACGGATACCAATCATACTATTTCATTCAATCCACATTACACAAAGGAGACGGCCCTCCATTAGCTTCCCTGTTCCTGTCCCCTCTGCATGAAGAAATCCAGAAGCGCCACCGCCCCTTTCCCTGTCAAGCCCCAGTGGCAGCCCCTGTTTAAGAGGCACGATACAGGGACCCCTGGGTCACACTGACCTTTATCATGTACTCAATGCGGCTGTGGGAATGCTTCTCGATGACCGACTCAATCCAGATCAGAGGCTTCACCTGCAGCATTTGGATAGACAGATAGATCTGTTTATTGATTAGTCCTCTGACCATATTGACAACAAAAGGCAAAAACAAAAATACACAGACAAATGGACACTATTCACTATCCTAAAACTCCTCTAATAGTTAACTAAAACAAAATAAAACTTGATTAAATAATGAGTCTGGTAAAATGAGATTAAATTGCAAGAGAGTAAAAGAAGTGGTTGAGGTTAGAGAGATGGACCAAAACTAACAAAATGAAGTTCAACAGTGACAAATACAAGATACTCCACTTAGGCTGAAAAAATGAAATGCAAAGGGGGACGCCTCGCTCGAGAGCAGTACGTGTGAAAAAGATCTTGGCGTCCTCGTGGACAAGATAAACATGAGCCAACAATGTGATGCGGCGGCAGAAAAAGCCAATGGGATTTTGGCCTGCATCAATAGAAGTCTAGCGTCTAGGTCCAGGGAAGTCATGCTCCCCCTCTATTCTGCCTTGGTCAGACCACACCTGGAATATTGTGTCCAATTCTGGGCACCACAATTGAGGAGAGACATTGACAAGCTGGAATGTGTCCAGAGGAGGGCGACTAAAATGATCAAGGGTCTGGAGAACAAGCCCTATGAGGAGCGGCTAAAGGAGCTGGGCATGTTTAGCCTGAAGAAGAGAAGGCTGAGAGGAGACATGATAGCCATGTATAAATACGTGAGAGGACGTCATAGGGAGGAGGGAGCAAGTTTGTTTTCTGCTGCCCTGGAGACTAGGACGTGGACCAATGATTTTCAAACTACAAGAAAGGAGGTTCCTTCTGAACATGAAGAAGAACTTCCTGACTGTGAGAGCTGTTCAGCAGTGGAACTCTCTGCCCCAGAGTGTGATAGAGGCTCCTTCTTTGGAAGCTTGTAAACAGAGGCTGGGTGGCTATCTGTTGGGGGTGCTCTGAATGCAATTTTCCTGCTTCTTGGCAGGGGGTTGGAGTGAATGGCCCACGAGATCTCTTCCAACTCTATGATTCTATGATTCTAGGTGGGCGGCTTTCATAATATAAATTTGGCCCTGCAGTGGACTCAGTGTCAATGCTCCCAGAGAAAAAATAGGTCAGTTTGGCAATTGAGTCCCAGTTGGTTGGGATCTCACCATGGCATATTTCTTTTCCGACAAGCTTTCGATGGGCGAATAACTCGGGACTATGTCGGTTCTCGTTTTTATTGTATTTTAAAGTTGGTTGTATTGTTTTAATCTACTGCTGTAAACCGCTCCGAGCCAAATAAATAAAATAAATAAATAAATAAATAACAATGTATTAGTCTGAGCTGATTGTCTAAACAATCTAAACAATCAAGTACAACAAAAGGTTCTACACACAAGGAGACCCTATTCCTCTTCCAAAGTGTACCAGACCTGCGAGGAATTCAGAATCTGAACACCCACCTCCTTTTAAGAAGCCTGAATAAAGAAGCATGGTGAGTATGACTGGATATGTGATGATGAACTGAATGAAGAAGGATGGTGAGTATGAATGATGAATGAACAGATTATGAGTGAATGTTAGTGTAGATGTGGTGTTTCCCCTCTTTGTCTGTGTAACTATTAGAAAAGCCATTACCGGAGTCTGTGTGTCCACATCTTTCTCCGAAAGCACCTGATACTCCGAAAATGGATTTAAGAACATTTTTTAAAGGATCACAAAAGTATTCATGGCATAGGATCCAGGGAAACGTACGTGGGTATTAAGGCGGTAGGACATCAGCTCAAACTCCCCATCTGGCGGGATAAACGAAATGGTCCGGTCATTTTCAAAACGGGAGAGGCGGACACACTGGTGGAACTTCACGTCCTCCAACTCCACTGACTTGCTTTTGCCGCCTGTCGGGAAGGGAAAAGAAATAGTTCGGAGGCAGCAGAGCTTCTTGCAGAAACTGGGGTCATGTGCCACGTGGCTCCACCATGTCCCCCTCCTTCTTGAAACAATCTGAGTTTGAAAAAGCGTCTCCCCACCCACTCCCCCCCAATATCCAGGGACATCCCAGTTTCCTTCTCTCTCCTCCAAGGCAAGTGGAGAGGACAGACTTACGGCCAGTGTTGTCGAAGAGGACTTTGTCATTCAAGCCGAGGCGCAGCTCCGGCATCCCCGACAGGAAGACCCGCATCTTGATGGAGCCCACGATCTCGCTGCGCAGGACGTTCCCGTTGGCACTCACCTGGGAGGAGAAAGGGGTCAATCGGTCCTGCCTTTGAGGGTGGACCCTCCCTCCCTCTGCGTATCTCAGGCCTCAAGGCCCAGTCCAGCCTTCCTCAAAATAACAGCAACAATAAAATAACAACAAGCATGTGGATAATTTCAACAGAAAGGAGGAAACCATGAAAATGAACAAAATCTGGCTACCAGTATAAAAAGACTCTAAAATTACAACAGCAAAACAACAGAGAGGAAACAATCTGGGACATCTAATTACCTCTCAACAAAAGATTGCCTCAGGCACTGCCAGGCCATCAAATGCTAATAAAGGTGGTCAGTTGAAACATTCACACCTAGCTCCAGCAGACAAGAGTCCTTTGTCCCACCCTGGTCATTCCACAGATATATAAACCCTTTTTCATAGTTCCAACAGTCCTCACTACCTCTGAGGATGCTTGCCATAGATGCAGGCGAAACATCAGGAGAGAATGCCTCTAGGACATGGCCATATAGCCCGAAATAATGTGTGTGCTGTTAAATCTCCCATATCTGACCATTGTATCAAGCTGATCAAATCTAGCTCGAGTGAACACCTTGAGTAAATACAATAATAATAATAATAATAATAATAATAATAATAATAATACTCCTCTGGGATTTTCGGATTTGGACTGACAGAATTTTGAAGTGCAATACTCCTGACTTCACAAAGTTTGGATCGTAGATGTTGCAATCCCAAGTGACAGCAGGACTGACGAGAAGTAACTGGAAAAGCTGACACGAAATGAGGATTTAAAGATCGAACTGAAAAGACTGGCACAAGCCAGTCAAGTTGGTCCCAGTGGTGTTCAGCACACTGGTGCAGTGCCTAAAGACCTCGGCCTGAACTTAAAAATAATCGGCCCTGACAAAATCACCACCGGTCAGTTGCTAAAGCCCACCCTTGCTCAGCTCTTCATGCAATTATTCACCGATACATCACACAGCCCTAGACACTTGGGAAATGTCCGACATGTGATCCAATACAACAGCTAGCATAATTATCTTGTTTGCTGTGTACTCATGTTGTTGTGTATCAAATAACAACAACAACAATGGATCCAGCCTTAGCTTCGCTTGTTCCTCCTCAGAGCAGCTCAAAAGACAAAAAGACTTCATTCCCAGAAGGAGGCTTTGAGTTCTCAACCATTGTTTTGGCAATTTCAGATTTGCCACTCTGGCTTATGGTGACAAGAAACAGGCTTTTGCGTGGGGCTCACATGGCTGAGAGAAGCCTTTTTCAAAACATCTGCACTTGTGTTTCAATTCAAAAGCAAAATGTGCACGTACCAAGAGGTTGACCGACTCGATGACGTCCAAGAACACCTCATTTTTCCGGTACTTGATCCCTTCGGACCGCCAAGAGACCGCATTGGTGACTGTGGCAGGAGGACGGGGCGCCCCTGTTTCCAGCTTGTGGCCTTCTTGCGTGATGTACCTTCCCAAGCACAGGCAACAGATTTGCAAAGGGCAAAAAACTACAGGGATTCAAGCCATGTATTGGTAAAAGACAACTCATAGTTTCCAAAACAGGCAACTGGCTTCATGTCATGCTGCCCAATGAATACTGCAATGGCCAATGCCAATATTCTTACAATTCCCAGAAACAGAGGCCGGGATAGCCTTTTGTTGAGACCCAGTGCCCCCAATATCTCTAGACTCTTTTATATCCCAACTAAGAGCCCCCAGTGGCACAGTGGGTTAAACCCTTGTGCCGGCAGGACTGAAGACCGACAGGTTGGAGGTTCGAATCTGGGGAGATTATGGATGAGCTCCCTCTGTCAGCTCCAGCTCCCCATGTAGGGGCATGAGATGAGCCTCCCACAAGGATGATAAAACATCAAAACATCTGGGCTTCCCCTGGGCAACGTCCTTGCAGACGGCCAATTCTCTCACACCAGAAGGGACTTGGAAATTCTTAAGTCGCTCCTGACACGACAAAATAAATAAATAAATATCCCAACTGAAAACTAGAAACGAGGAGAGGAAGGGAACTGTTGAGGGGGATGCCTGTTCAGTGGCACCCGCATTTCGAGCCCTCCGCAAACACACACACATATTGGGGCTCAGTGTTCAAATATCTCTAGCACAGTGTTTCTCAACCTGGGGGTTGGGACCCCGGGGGGGGGGGTCACGAGGCAGTGTCAGAGGGGTCACCAAAGACCATCAGAAAACACAGTATCTTCTATTGGTCATGGAGGTTCTGTGTGGGAAGTTTGGCCCAATTCTATCACTGATGTGGTTCAGAATGCTGTTTGATTGTAGGTGAACTATAAATCCCAGTAACAACTACTCTCAAATGTCAAGGTCTTTTTCCCCTAAACTCCACCAGTGTTCACATTTTGGCATATTGAGGATTCGTGCCAAGTTTGGTCCAGATCCATCATTGTTTGAGTCCACAGTGCTCTCTGGATGTAGGTGAACTACAACTCCCAAACTCAAGGTCAATGCCCACCAAACCCTCCCAGTATTTTCTGTTGGTCATGGGAGTTCTGTGTGTCAAGTTTGGTTCAACTCCATCATTGGTGGAGTTCAGAATGCTCTTTGATTGTAGGTGAATCCCAGCAACTACAATTCCCAAATGACAAAAATCAATCCCCCGCCCCACAAGTATTCAAATTTGGCCGTATTGGGTATTTGTGCCAAATTTGGTACAGTGAAACTACACCCTACATATCAGATATTTACATTACAATTCATAATAGTAGCAAAATTGCAGTTCTCAAGTAGCAACGAAAATAATGTTATGGTTGGGGGTCACTACAACATGAGGAAGTAGATTACGGGGTCGCGGCATTATGAAAGTTGAGAAACACTGATCTGGCATATATTTCCAATCAAATACTAGAAATGAGAGGACTGAAAAATACAACAGTTTAATTCTACAGAACTAAGGGGTGGCTGCCAAATTAGCAAAAGCGGAGTACCACCCTTGACTGTTGTGCACCATGGGTTTTATAGTCTCAGATCTGATGCACACACGCAATCAAACTTCCTTTTCCCCTTTTCTCTCTACTTTATCCTTCAATTCAGCATCTCTGTGTCTCTCTCTGTTCAAAAACATTCTGTATTTCTCTTTGTTTCAAAACCACCCCGCACCCCACCTCCTTAACCTATTCTTAAACTGCATCTTCTTCCTTATAACATTTACTTTACATTTCCAACAATTTTTTCCCAGGGAGAGCAACAATAAGACCATCTGATCGACAGCGGCCTCACTCCCAACGACCCCCAACCCATCTGCACCAAAGGCCCTCATATTTCCCTCTCTGTGGCTCCCATTGGGTTCCTCCTCTAACATTGGGCCTCCCTCCCATTTGCCTGCCTCACCGCAACACTTACTCTTGTAAAATCTTGCTGTCGGTGGTCTGGGGATAGCCGAAATCCATGAGCTCATCGAGGAGTTCGTAAATGATCACAAAATTGTCCCGAATGCTTTCCTCTTCCAGCTCTTTGAAATATTCAGAAAACACCTGGGAGGGGGAGAGAAAGTTAGAAAAGAGGAGCACACATGACAGAAAGAAATGGGGTTGGACTGGATGGCCCCTGGGATTGCTCCTATTATTATTACTACTACTACTACTACTACTACTACTACAAAGGCCTGTGTGGCCATCTGTTGGGGTGCTTTGATTGTATTTTTCCTTTATGGCAGAAGTGGGTTGACCTGGATGGTCACTGGGTTGCTCCTATTATTATTATTATTATTATTATTATTACTACTACTACTACTACTACTACTACTACAAAGGCTTGTGTGGCCATCTGTTGGGGTGCTTTGATTGTATTTTTCCTTTATGGCAGAAGCGGGTTGACCTGGATGGTCACTGGGGTTGCTCCTATTATTATTATTATTATTATTATTATTATTATTACTACTACTACTACTACTACTACTACTACAAAGCCTTGTGTGGCCATCTGTTGGGGTGCTTTGATTGTTTTTTTCCTTTATGGAAGAAGTGGGTTGACCTGGATGGTCACTGGGGTTGCTCCTATTATTATTATTATTACTACTACTACTACTACTACTACTACTACAAAGGCTTGTGTGGCCATCTGTTGGGGTGCTTTGATTGTATTTTTCCTTTATGGCAGAAGCGGGTTGACCTGGATGGTCACTGGGGTTGAGCCTATTATTATTATTATTATTATTATTATTATTATTATTACTACTACTACTACTACTACTACTACTACTACTAAATGCTTGTGTGGCCATCTGTTGGGGTGCTTTGATTGTATTTTTCCTTTATGACAGAAGTGAGTTGACTTGGATGGTTACTGGGGTTGATCCTATTATTACGAGGGTTCTCATGAAAGTAAGGTTCTATTTTTTTTTAAATACAAAGAATGTTTGTTTTAATAAACCTTACATGGATTGTAGAATATGTATTACACTATTTTTCCACATAATCACCATTCAGTTCAAGACATTTTGTCATCCGTGGGATGAGTTTTTGATGCCTGTGTCATAGAAGTTTCCCTCCGCCTTTTTCAGCCAGTTCATCACTTTGATTTTCACCTCGTCGTCATCAGAAAAGTATTTTCCACCCAGGTGTTCCTTCAATTTAGTCACTGGGTGTGAGATCGGGGTTGAGAGGGGTGGCTGAAAACACCCCAACCAAAGGAAGTCAACCACTCTTGTGTTGCACGAGGGGTGTGCTAACACGCATTGTCATGAAGGAGACAGACTCCCGCCGTCAGCATCCCACCATGTTTGTTTTGGATGGCTCTGCGAAGTTTCTTCATGGTCTCCCAATATATTCCGCGCCCATTTTGTCACATGCTGTCTTGACATTATGTCCTCTTCATAAACTGAAACGATTTCGTCATGAATCACAGTGGCATTCATGCCCTTACGTAGCGTATTAAAGCACTAAGAACTTCGCACTTGGAGGGAAACAGAAGGAGGAAGCTCATTTCTAATCTTCACCACAACACCAGTCGATGAACTACTGATGACTGGTACGGCTCGTTCGCTTCTGCTGGCTTTCTGCTACACAGCAGTGAGACTAACTTCCCATGAGAAAATTCCCTGCGAGATCTACATGCCTTGGAACTTTACTTTCCGGGTAACCCTCGTAGTATTATTATTATTATTATTATTATTATTATTATTATTATTATTATTATGGCTGGGTGGCCATCTGTTGGGGGGTGCTAGATTGAGCTTTTGCTGCATGTCAGAAGAGGGCTGGATTGGATGGTCCCTGGGGTTTCTCCTACTATTACTACTACTACTACTACTATTTACTTATTTATTTAGTATATTTATATCCCGCCCTTCTCCCCACAAGGGGGACTCAAAGCGGCCTCACATAAGCATCAGAAGATGCTGGCAACATAAATACCATAAAAATTACATTTAACAATAAAATCATATTAAAACATTATACAACATCATCAGTAAATTTAACAATAAATTAACTTGCCAGTAAAACCAAAAACCAAGCCGGGATAATCCATGTTGCAAAACCCCAAATTCCTTTTCCTATTGCCACTGGACTCTAATCAAATGCCTACTACTACTACTACTCCAATGGCTGGGTGGCCATCTGTTGGGGGTGCTTTGATTTGTGCTTTTCCTTCATGAAGGCAGAATAAAGGGGGTGAGACTGGATGGCCCATGGGGTCTTCCACTAAAATACTGTTAGGTTTATGTTGGTTAAAAGGTTTGTCTGTGCCTAGTATAGATACTGCATATTATATATAATATACTATATAAGCATTTCTTGAGGCTCCACAAGAAATATTTTGATTCAAAACGGGCTCTGTGGCTGAAAAAGGTTTTAGAACCCCTGCCATAGAGGAAGGTGGCAGAGTCCCAAAAGAAAGCTTCCCCCAAAGCTTACCTGTCCAGGTCAGGTCACCTAATAGCCTGCCGCACTCACCTGAACCACTTTGTACAGAAAGGAGAACACCAATGAGACGCAGGCATTCTTTTTCGAGGTGGCTACCACTGGAGAAAAGGTTCAGGAGCCAGTCCAACACTTGGGATGTATTCAAGTTTACCTAAAGTTTACACTTTACCCCCTTGTTCTAAAGCAGGGGTCCTCAAACTTTTTAAATAAAGGGCCAGGTCACAGTTCCTCAAACTGTTGGAGGGCTGGATTATAATTTGAAAAAAACATGAATGAATTCCTATGCACACTGCACATACCTTATTTGTAGTGCAAAAAACACTTTAAAACAATACAATAATTAAAATGAAGAACAATTTCAACAAATATAAAATTATTAGTATTTCAATGGGAAGCGTTGTTGTGTGCTTTCAAGTCGTTTCAGACTTAGGTTGACCCTGAGTGAGGGCCGGGTAAATGACCTTGGAGGGCCGCATCCGGCCCCCGGGCCATAGTTTGAGGACCCCTGTTCCAAAGCAAGAGCATATTTCATTTCCTGAAAACTATTTCAACTGTTTTAATGGTTTCAACCACAAACATTCCCGTTTCACATGCTGCTCCTGGGCAATCCCAAGCTAAATGAAGCAGCCAGGCCCTGGTGCAGCTAATGGAGCAAATACCACTCACAAGTTCAATCGGTACAATAATACGAGGGGTATTTTTTAAGTAAGGTCCGTTTTGTTGTAGACACTAGTAGTTCGAGCGCGTGCATAGTGTACTGGCATGCCTCGGGAACAACTGTGCTCAGTTTCCGCTCTATAGCTAACCTGTACGGTTCTGTTCTGTGCTTTAAAAATGTTTAAGACTATCAACTCACCCGCCGCATGTGAGGTTCGCTCAGTGATTCGGTTTTTGTCAGCAAGGAACCTGCCTGCTGCAGAAATTCATCGACAGATTTGTGAAGTGTACGGTGATACTGTTATGAGTGAAAGCAAAGTGCGTAAGTGGGTACGACAATTCAAAGATGGCCGTGACAACGTCCATGATGAGGACCGCTCTGGTCGCCCTTCTTTGATTACAGACAATTTGGTGGCTTTTGGTGGCGGCAAGTTTTTATGAAGAGGGTATTTTAAAATTGGTTCAGAGGTATGATAAGTGTTTGAACAAACTTGGCAACTATGTCGAAAAATAGAGTGAAGTATGTACTTTCTGAAAATAAATTTACTACTTTTTTGAAATAAATTTTCGTTGTGTAATTATATTCAAATGGACCTTACTTAAAAAAAATAAGTAAGTAAATGAACTGCTGGGACAAACATGCCTGAGAGTATTGCATCCAGTTCTTTTTGTATCAGTATTAACATATACTGAGCACACAATCACAAAAACTCTCCTACAAACCCCATGCCATTGAATTTGTCTCCTTATTGTCCTGCTCGCCACACTTCTGCTTTTAGTAAATAAATGTAATACCAGCAACAGCAACAACAAATTCTAATACTAATAATAGACACATAGATGCTTTGAGTCTCCTTATGGAGAGAAAAAGCGGGATATAAATAAACCTCCTCATCATCATATTTATGCCCTGCTTTTTTTTCTCTACAAAAGAGACTCCAAGCTCCTGACAATAAAAATCAATGCAATATGATTTAAAACCTGAAAAATATGCAAACATTAAAAAGAAAACTGAACATTCATGGTACTAAAAACAAACAATTAAAATCCTGAAAGCTGATTTGACAAGGACTTGGAAGTTCCCTGGTTTGAATGGTTACATTTTGAAAATGTTTTATGGATTTAACTTTTTTATAATACTAGTGATGTTTAATTCTGTTTTCATATTTGTACATTTTAAATTGTATTGTAATGCCTTTAATGTTTACTTATGCCCCGCCTTTTCTCTCTACAAAGAGACTCAAAGCAGCCCAAAGATAGATACTATCATCATCATTATTTATTTGCACCCCTCTTTTCTCTCCACAAGGAGACTCAAAGCTGATCAAAGATCGATATTATTATTATTGCTGCTATTATTATTATTATTATTGTTGTTGTTGTTGTTTATTCCTCACTTTCCTCTCCACAGGGAGACTCAAAGCTGATCAATTATTATTATTATTATTATTATTATTATGTTTTAATACCGGTAATACTTTAAAAAGAACAAATTGGGATCTCTTCAATAGCTATCTGGAGAACTTGGAAAAACAGAAGCTATAATAGACATTTTTATTCATTGATTTTGATAAAAGAGAAACATTAACCAAGAAGATGGAATGGAAGTCAATTTTTATTTTTGTAGTATTTTTTATTATCTTTTTTTTTAGATTTTTAGGTTGCATTTTTTCTAATTATTATCTTTCTCCTTTTTTCCTTCTCTTTCCTATACTTTTATTGTTCTCACTCTTTCGTTGGACTGTTATAAAACTTAATAAAAATCTTTTCCAAAAAAATTATTATTACTATGTTTGCTTATACCTCACTTTTCTCTCCACAAGGAAACTCAAAGCTGATCAAAGATAGATATTATTATTATTGCTGCTATTATTATTATTATTATTATTATTATTATTATTATTATTATTATGTTTGTTTATACCTCACTTTCCTCTCCACAGGGAGACTCAAAGCTGATCTATTATTATTATTGTTGTTGTTGTTGTTATTATTATTATTGTTTGTTTATACGTCACTTTTCTCTCCACAAGGAGACTCAAAGCGGCTTTTTTTTCATGTCAGGAGTGACTTGAGAAACTGCAAGTTGCTTCTGGTGTGAGAGTTGGCTGTCTGCAAGGACGTTGCCCAGGGAATGCCAGGATGTTTGATATTTTACCTTCCTTGTGGGAGGCTTCTCTTATGTCCCCACATGGGGAGCTGGAGTTGACAGAGGGAACTCAACCCGCTCTCCCCAGATTCGAACCACTGACCTATTGGTCAGCAATCCTGCATCAGTGGGGGCTCCTCTCAAAGCAGCTCAAAGATAGATATTATTATCATCATTATGCTTATTTACACCCCACTTTTTTCCACAAGGAGACTCAAAGCAGATCAGGTAGATATTATTATTCAGTTAAAATCCATAAAACGTATTCAAAACTAGACGCCACGGCACTTGATCTCAAAAAACCTTCTTCTTTAAAAGCCAGCCCGAATAAAAAAGGTCTTAGCCGTAAGCCACACAATCAAAATATCTCAAGAAAGAGGCACACAATGCTAAAAAGCCACATCAGAAGTGTTGTTTTAATTTTCAAATAAAATTATTTTAATTTAAAACTTAACAAGCAAAAGGTCTGGCTCATTTTTGGTCTCATTATTAGGGAAGCCTGCACAGACACATCTTGCTGCAAAATTCCACAAAACAGGAGCCCCTTCCAAGCAAGACCCAATTCCTAGCCCCCTTCTACACTGCCATATAATCCACATTATCAAAGCTGATCATTCACATTATCTCCGTCTAGCTGGATTATACAGACAAACTGAAATTTGGCCCAGAGACCAAAGACCAAACCCTCCAAGGAAAGGTCGAAGGAGCTGGTGATGGCAGGCACACGCCTTTGGCAAAGGATACAATACAGGTTGTTGTGCTTGATCCACATGAAGCGGACGCCTCCATGTGCCAAGATGGGCGAGAGCGTCCCTTCCTCCTCCTTCTCCATCAGGATGGGCATGAAATGCTCAACTTCTGACATGTCCACATCCCCACGGTAATTCCTACAGATGAGAACCTGGAAAGCAAGGTGACATATTGAATAGGAATAGCATAATCAGGGTAAGGCTCACCTGGAGGTTCCTCTTGGCACCAAAAAAGAGATTATTAGAATTATTAACTAATATATAAATATTCTGCCTTACTCTCCTCTGTTGGGACTGAAGGCGGCCCACAATCTAATATCAATAAAAAACAAAGCTACTACAACAATTTAAAAAAATTAAATATTATTTATTTATTTATTTCCCAACCTTTCTCACCCGAGGGGACTCAAGGCAGCTTACAGCTCCGGCAAGAATTCAGTGCCGGTAAAACCCCACAATAAACAGTAGAAACTTACCCCACAGTCAAAACAATTAACAGTTAATCAATAAAACAGTATACAAATTAAAAACATATAAGGTGGATAGTTCCATTCATCCGATAACCTTGCTCAAATCCTTAAATCAGACCGTGTCGAAACCTGTAATAACTTATTCTTCGAAAGCTTGTGTGCAAAGCCAAGAATTTAGCTTTTTCTGAAAGTCAGAAGGAATGGAGGCTGCCTGATGTTGCTGGGAAGGGAGCTCAACAGCTGAGGAACCACCACTGAGAAGGCCCTGTCTCTCGTCTCTACCAATTACAACAGCAAAACAACAGAGAGGAAACAACTAGGGACAGCTAATCACCTCTCAACAAAACCTTCAGGCACTTCCAAGCCATTAAATGCTAATCAAGGTGGTCAGTTGAAACATTCACACCTAGCTCCAGCAGACAGAAGTCCTTTGTCCCACCCTGGTCATTCCACAGATATATAAACCCATTTTCCTAGTTCCAACAGACCTCACTACCTCTGAGGATGCTTGCCATAGATGCAGGCGAAACGTCAGGAGAGAATGCCTCTAGACCATGGCCATATAGCCCGAAAAAACCTACAGCAACCCAGTGATTCCGGCCATGAAAGCCTTCGACAATACATATTATTATTATTATTATTATTATTATTATTATTATTATTATTATATTTAATATAAACCAATAGATCAGGGGTCCTCAAACTGTTTGAGGGCTAGATTATCATTTGAAAAAAAGCATGAATGAATTCCTATGCACACTGCATATATCTTATTTGTAGTGCACACATCCCGTTTTAACGTTGTGAGATTACAACAGCAAAACATTAAAACAAAGCATTACAACAGCAAAACAACAGAGGGGAAACAAACAGGCACATAAAATCACTCTCAACAAAAGATTCCCCCCAGGCACTTCCAAGCCATTGAATGCTAATCAAGGTGATCAGCTGAAACATTCACACCTAGCCCCAGCAGACAAAAGTCCTTTGTCTCACCCTGGTCATTCCACAGATATATAAACCCATTTTTCCTACTTCCAACAGACCTCACTACCTCTGAGGATGCTTGCCATAGATCAGTGTTTCTCAACCTGGGGGTCGGGACCCCTGAGGGGGTCATGAAGGGGTGTCAAAGGGGTCGCCAAAGACCATCAGAAAACATAGTGTTTTCTGTTGGTCATTGGCATTCTGTGTGGGAAGTTTGACCCAATTCTATTGTTGGTTGAGTACAGAATGCTCTTTGATTGTAGGTGAACTGTAAATCCCAACAACTACAACTCCCAAATGTGAAGGTCTATTTCCCCAGACTCCACCGGTGTTCACATTTGGGCATATTGAGTATTCATGCCAAGTTTGTCCAGATCCATCATTGTTTGAATCCACAGCACTCTTCTGGATGTAGGTGAACTGCAACTCCCAAACTCAAGGTCAATGGCCACCAAACCCTTCCAGGGTTTTCTGTTGGTCACGGGAGTTCTGTGTGCCAGGTTCGGTTTAAACCCATCGCTGGTGGAGTTCAGAATGCTCTTTGAATGCAGGTGAACTATAAATCCCAGCAACTACAACTCCCAAATTACAAAATCAATCCCCCCCCAACCCCACTAGCATTCACATTTGGGCATATTGGGTATTTGTGCTCAATTTACTCCAGTTAATGAAAATCCATCCTGCATATCGGATATTTACATTATGATTTATGATAGTAGTAAAATGACAAGTATCAAGTAGCAACGAAAAGTAAGGTTGCTTACCTGTAACCATGTTTCTTCTAGTGGTAACTGTGAAATTCACACCTGTGGTATTTCCCTGCGTCCACGCAGCTGACTCGGATCTTTCTTGAAAGCTTTTCCTAATTAGGGACTCCAGCCCCGCCCATCTACTCCTAATAAAGCCAGGCAGCGGGGCTTGGAGCCTTAATTCCGTACCGCGAAAGACAGTCGGAGATAAAAGGCATGACAGAATGTGGGGAGGATGGGCGGGTTGTGTGAATTTCACAGTTACCACTAGAAGAAACATGGTTACAGGTAAGCAACCTTACTTCTGCGTGGTACTGTGAAATCCACACCTGTGGTAGACTAGCGAGCAGTCCCACGGATGGTGGGTGTCATGCTAGTGCAGAAAAAAGTACTGCTCTCCCAAAAGCCGTCTCCTTCTTGGCAGCTAAATCCAATTTATAATGGGAGACAAAAGTATGCGGTGTTGACCATATGGCCACCCGACAGATATCATGCAGAGGCACACTGTGCAAAAAGCCATGGAGGCTGCCAATGCTCTAGTGGAATGAGCATGGATCTGAACAGGTAAGTCCAGTCCTGCCATTTCACAAGCTAGCCGGATAGCTGCAACTATCCAGGCCGCCACCTCTGGGTAGAAACAGGAAGGCCCACAGTATCCCTACGGTACTTAACAAAAAGTCGTAGTGACTTCCGTAATGGAGCTGTGTGGTGGACATAAAAAGCAAGAGCCCTCCGCACATCAAGAAGGTGCAAAGACTGCTCCAGGGGAGTAGAAGGATTTGGAAATAAGGTTGGAAGGACAATGTCCTGAGACATATGAAACTATGATGCTGCCTTAGGTAAGAAGGAAATGTCTGTGCCCAGCATGACATCCTTATGAAATTTCAGGTAAGGACTATCGACTCAAGAGCCATAAGCTCGCTAGCGCGACAAGCAAAAGTAATAGGCACTAAAAATGCCGTTTTCCATGATAGATGGAACATGTCAGAAGTGGCCATTGGCTCAAATGGTGGTTTCGTAAGGGCGAAAAGAACAACCTCCAACCTCCAAGAGGGGGGACAGGCCTACTTGGGGCCAGAAATTTCTAAAGCCTTGCAGAAATCTCTTTACAAGAGGATCGGATAAAGGAGAGGGAAGAGAATGCTCGCTTCTAAACGAATCTATATTTGCCAGATTGACCTTCAAGAATAATAATGAGAGTCTTGAATCTGACAGAGAAATCAAAAAAAAAATAAATAAAATAAATCCAGGAGGAGGGAAGTGGAAGCAGACAGAGGCTGAACCCCTTGCTTTTGTGAAAAAATGCAAAAATGACACCACTTACAAATGTAACAATGTTTAGTGGCAGGTCTCAGGGCAAGGTCCAAAATGCCCTTTACTGGTTGAGAGAGGGCTGAGGCTGGAGCTGCCACGCCGTCAACCGGAACTGAGTGACCTGGGAGTACGGGACTGGGCTGTTGCCCATAGCCAGCAAGTCTGGTCTGAGTGGCAACTGAATGTAACAGCTGCCTGCAAGTTGGAGCAGAGTGACAAACCATGGCTGGCGGGGCCACCATGGTGTGATGAGAATGCAATCTACCTGCTTTGCTTGAAGACGAGAGACCACTCTGGACAGCAGTGGCAGTAGTGGAAAGATGTACAGGAGGGTGGATGTCCAATCCAGGAGGAAGGTATCTCCCAACAGCCTGTCTGGTGGAGGTAAGACGTGCTCCAAAGAATTGGCACTTCATGTTGGCGGGAGAGGCAAACAAGTCCAGAAGGGGAGTTTGCCATCTGACAAAGAGTTCCCATGCCTAGGAAGGATGAAGGGACCATTAGTGGTCAGTATAAACTGTCTGACTGAGGGAGCCAGCAAGAGAGTTCTTGATGAATGGCACTGATGGTTATGGTATACCAGTCCCAGATTCTGATGATGAGGGCAAGCAAATCACAATCGTGGTGGTGGTGGTAAGCTGGACAATACTGTCCATGAGCAAATGACAGATAAGGTGCAGTGCCATTTCTACTGCGAGTAACTCCAAATAGTTGATGTGCTCCATGCCCTCTATGGCCGCCTAAGGATCATGGATGGTGTGACCCTTGAGGTGAGCTCACCACACTGAGAGGGAAGTGTCGGTTGCTAACATCGCCCACACAGAGATTGGAGCGATGAGTCCACTAGTTGAGAGACCTGTGGATGGCTAAAGGGACAATGAGACATTCATTGGGCTCATCCTGCATGGGATGAAGTGCCCGAAGAAACCAATTCTGGAGAGGCCGAAGGTGCAAACAGGAGAAAGGAGTGGCAGCTGTGGTGAATGCCATGTGTCCCAAAAAGCACTGGACATCCCTGGCATGGAGGTATGGCGTCTGCCAGACTCAAAGAGCTAATGAATGCAGATTCAGAAACCTGTCTGCTAGCAAGTAGGCCCTTGCATGCCAAGAGTCCAATACAGGCCCAATGAATTGGTTGTTTGGATAGGCTGAAGAAGAGATTTTACCTTGTTGATAAAAAGACCAAGCGTCTGCTATAAAGACAGAGTAAAGTGAATGTTCCTCTGTAGATACTCACAGGACTGTGCACCAACAACCAGCCATCAATATAGGGGTAAACTACTACCCCGTGCACCCAGGGATGAGCCGGCATACAGCCATCTCCTTAGTAACACCTGTGGAGCTGTGGAGATACCATAATGAAGAACTTGAAATGAAAAGGCCTGACTGCTAGTAAAAAGTGACAAAAATCTACCGTCTTGTGGTCTAATCACCACATGAAAATAGGCATCCTTCAAATCAATGCTACTGAACCATGTCTTGCTGGATAACAGAGGGAGGATGGTTGGTAATGACAACACCTGAAATTTGCAATATGCAATATATGCATAAAATCCTGGAAGGTCCAAAATTGGCCAAAGCCCACTGCCTTTATTGGAAACCAAAAGAAGGGACTCCAAATCCTTGAAAAGGAAAGGAGGGTGCAGTTTGTGGCTATGCAAAATAGTAGCAACCTAACTGTTGAGGCATGGGCCAAGTGGAGATGGGGCCCAAAAGACACAGTACTTACATTCTGAGCCGTCACTGAAGCTCCCAGGCGGCATGATGCAGAGGGAGGATAGTAGCCCGAAGGCCCCTCCAAGGAGTTATATTCCATGGGCTTAGACCCAAAGCCTTGGCAGGCATCACTCACACAGGTGGCGTGGCTGCCTTGAGCCTCCCCTCCCCTGAGGGGGGCAAAAGCATGGCAGGAATTCTTGCAACCCGAAGGCCCCTCCAAGGCGTTATATGCCATGGGCGTGGAGGCAAAGCCTTGGCTAGCCATCACTCACACAGGTGGCGTGGCTGCCTTGAGCCTCCCCTCCCCTGAGGGGGGCAAAAGCATGGCAGGGATCGTTGCAGCGTCCACTGCCTGCTGGGGTAAATGGGGCAGGGAAAGCACGGGCAGTGAGAGCAAGCTGTCCTTAAAAAACAGACAGCTGAGAGGCGTGGCTGCAACCCAAAACAAAGTTATTGGCACAAAGCCACAGTGACAGTTTGTTGCCACAAGCTCTACCAGTTCCTGGGTCTGTAAGGGGTGGTAGGCTGGTAAAAGTCTTCTTCCCTCCTGGTTTCTGAGCGAGGGGAACAGAAGAAAAAGAAGGTAAGTTACTGCCCATTGCCAAAGGCAAAAAAGCCTGCGCCTCAGAGGACACGGCATTTTTTTTTTTTTTTTAGAGGGAGGGAGTGGGTTTGTCCTCCCACTAGCAAGAAACACAAAGGGGGTGGGAGTCACCCTGGAGCAACTTCCCCCCATAAGCCATACATTTCAAAGAAAATGCCATACTGGCCTGAATAGGATAAACAAAGGTCCCAGAACACAAGTTGGAATTGCTGTCTGTTAGAGTAGTCAAACTGGAGTCCTTGAGTCAAACCAATAGTTGTTTTAGGAGAGAACACCGAGTTGTTGCTGCTTTCGCGGACAAAAGGAATTAAGGCTCCAAGCCCCGCTGCCTGGCTTTATTAGGAGTAGATGGGCGGGGCTGGAGTCCCTAATTAGGAAAAGCTTTCAAGAAAGATCCGAGTCAGCTGCGTGGACGCAGGGAAATACCACAGGTGTGGATTTCACAGTACCACGCAGAAGAAACAATATTATGGTTGGGGGTCACCACAACATAAGGAACTGCATTAAGGGGTCACGGCATTAGCAAGGTTGAGAACCACTGCCATCGATGCAATGCGCTCTACGTGGGGCTGCCCTTGAAAACGGCTCGGAAATTCCAGCTGGTCCAACGGGCAGCAGCCAGGATGTTAACCGGGGCTCATTACAGAGAGAGGTCAACCCTCCTGTTTAAGGAGCCCCACTGGCTGCTGTTTATTTTCCGAGCCCAATTTAAGGTGCAGGTGCTCACCTACAAAGCCCTGAACGGTTTGGGACCATCCTACCTGCGTGACCGCATCTCCGTCTACGAACCCACACGCTCACTCCGGTCATCTGGAGAGGCCCTGCTCGTGATCCCGCCCGTGTCGCAAGCGCGCTTGGTGGGGACGCGAGACAGGGCCTTTTCTGTGGTGGCCCCCCGACTCTGGAACGCCCTCCCGAAAGATCTTAGACAAGCCCCTACGCTGGCAGTCTTCAGGAAGGAATTAAAAACCTGGCTGTTCCGATGTGCCTTTTCAGATTAGGAACCTTCAGTACCAAATCCTAGAAGCACCTTAGTAGAACCAAGATCACTGCACACTGCACACCGCACTTATATTTAACCCCACATCCCTCCTGCCACATCAGCACTTTTAACCCTGTACCCCTATTCGGCCGGCCCAGTTTTAATAGTGTTTTGTTGTATTGTCACTGTTATTGTTTTCCTGCTTAACTGTTTTTAATTTGCTTGGGTATTGTATTGTTGTATTGTGTTTTTTGAGGCTTCGGCCTGTGTAAGCCGCACCGAATCCCTCGGGAGATGCTAGCGGGGTACAAATAAAGTTATAATAATAATAATAGATGCAGGCGAAACGTCAGGAGAAAAATTGCCTGCAGAACATGGCCATACAGCCCCCAAAAACCTACAACAACCCAGTTGTGAGATGTGTTCCACACTGGGAATGCATAATCAGCAGCTGTGTAGCAAAGCGCAAGGGCAGATGCCTTCACTGTATCTGGTTGTGATTCCCAGGTTGTGCCAGTCAGCTTTCGTAGAGCGAATTAAGGCAACGGACGGGGGAAAGGCCCCAATTCAAGCCCGTTTCTCCTCATCTGCCATAACAGTACAGCCAGCCTTGAAGAGCAGGTTACAAGGCAGGTCCAAAGCCAAGTACACCTAACAACAATTACAAAAGAAGAAGAGGAATGGTGAAGAGAGGAAACCTCACCTTTCCCTTCAGGTCCAGCACGTAGACGGCGCTGGCGGACATCTTGGATCCGCGGCAGGCGCCGGAGCTCCTTTTCCGCTTCCGGCCAGACAAGCAACGGGCGGACCACCCCGTGACGTCAGCCAGCGCATGCACCAATCGCAAGTTTCCCCACTCTAGAGCGGACAAGCCTCATTCCTTATTGACATCATCCAGCGCACGGGCCAATGGCAAGTTTCTCTAGCCAATGGGCGGGACGTCAGCGCAGATGCAGCCAATCACAAGTTTCCCCACTCTTCCTGCTCGAGGAGGAGTGCGCAGGCCAATGGGAGCCCGGCCCGTGCTGACGGACAGCGACGTGGGCCTATCGCGAGCCGCGGCGGCTCCTCGCAGGCCTAGGAAGACATGGCGAAGACTTACGACTACCTCTTCAAGCTGCTGCTGATCGGCGACTCCGGCGTGGGCAAGACGTGCGCGCTCTTCCGCTTCAGCGAGGACGCCTTCAACGCCACGTTCATTTCCACCATCGGTGCGTCGTTGCCAGGCAACCGGTGGGATTGAGGGAGGGGAGGGAGGGGTTGTTATGGCGACGCCCCGGACCCACCTCCCGGTCGCCATGGCAACGAACGCCCACCTTCTAACTGGAGAGCAGCAGGGCTCCTCTTCCGGTTGAGGGGAGAATGGGCTCCAAGTAGGCCTCATGCTGTACCCTCTCCCAGGGCATCCACTCTGCGCTTGATTAGGGCAAACTGGATGCAACATGCTTCTTACTGGTTTAGTGTATTCTGAAAGTGATGCATTGGAAGCATTCTGTCTTTGAGGCTTTCCCTGGATAACTGAGTATTTAGTCAGATACCAATTGTACAAGTTCCCACAATTCAAGAGAGATATTGACAAGCTGGAATGTGTCCAGAGGAGGGCGACTAAATTGATAAAAGGTCTGGAGAACAAGCCCTATGAGGAGCGGCTAAAGGAGCTGGGCATGTTTAGCCTTAAGAAGAGAAGGCTGAGAGGGGATATGATAGCCATGTATAAATATGTGAGAGGAGCCACAGGGAGGAGGGAGCAAGCTTGTTTTCTGCTTCCTTGGAGACTAGGATGTGGAACAATGGCTTCAAACTACAAGAAAGGAGATTCCATCTGAACATGAGGAAGAACTTCCTGACTGTGAGAGCCGTTCAGCAGTGGAACTCTCTGCCCCGGAGTGTGGTGGAGGCTCCTTCTTTGGAAGCTTTTAAACAGAGGCTGGATGGCCATCTGTCAGGGGTGATTTGAATGCAATATTCCTGCTTCCTGGCAGGGGGTTGGACTGGATGGCCCATGAGGTCTCTTCCAACTCTATGATTCTATGATTCTCCCACTTAAAAAGATGAGAGAGGCCTGTAATTGACATCATAGGTAGACCTATGAGATACAACTTGAGAAAACACATCCAGAAAATCACATTGTCTGTGGGAGAACATGTACAATTGGTGTATTGTCGAAGGCTTTCATGGCTGGAATCACTAGGTTCTTGTAGGTTTTTTTGGGCTATAGAGCCATGTTCTAGAGGCATTTCTCCTGACATTTCGCCTGCATCTATGGCAAGCATCCTCAGAGGCAAGCATCCTCACTACCTCTGAGGATGCTTGCCATAGATGCAGGCGAAACGTCAGGAGAAATGCCTCTAGAACATGGCTCTATAGCCCGAAAAAACCCACAAGAACCTTGTACAATTGGTATCTGACTAAATACTCCCCCTCCCCCACTGCATGTATATATTTTCCCCACTGTATATATATGAAATTGGGGTGTTTATTAAAGATTTCCCCTGACCCTTTCTGTGGACTGAGAGCAATGAAACTTGGCCCAGTGAAGAGTCCTCTCCATCAGTGCCACCTAGGGACACACACTTCTCCCATCTTTTTAAGCAACTGTAAACAACACCTCGCTTGTAGAAGTTGACGGGTGGCTCCAAAAACCATGTTGTGACTTCAGAACTCAGAGTCTTGTCACCTGAACAATGCTTGCCCTTCAAAAATAACACCATTATTGGAAAGAGGTGGAAGACATAGAATCATAGAGTTGGAAGAGACCTCATGGGCCATCCAGAAGCAGGAATATTGCATTCAAAGTTCAATGGTGCAAAGTTGGTGAAGAAGGAGGGTGCGGCGGAAAGCCACAGGAGCATGCTTCTTCCATTTGGACCACATGGGAGTTGTGAACTGGTGCATTGTCTTGTAGAAGGCGGACACTTTTTGTGAGCATGCCACGTCTGTCTCTTGGTTTTGATGGCCTCCTGCAATGTCTGCAGCAGTTAAACCTAGTCTGCCCCAGTGATCATGGGACCCTTTGCTAGGAAATCCATCAATGCTACTCTGTGCTGGTCCCAAATTCCTGTGAGTCTGACCTCGCCTGCCAAGAGTTGCCTGTCAGTATGCTTCCATTGCATCGACTGGTCGAGTCTCAGAGTTATGGACCCAGCTTTCCTCCTGTGTGGTGTTTTTTTTTTTTTTGCCGTGTCAGGAGCGACCTGAGAAATTGCAAGTTGCTTCTGGTGTGAGAGAATTGGCCGTCTGCAAGGACATTGCCCAGGGGACACCCGAATGATTTTTGATGTTTTATCATCCTTGTGGGAGGCTTCTCTCATGTCCCCGCATGAGGAGCTGGAGCTGATAGAGGGAGCTAATCCGCCTCTCCCCGGATTTGAACCTGCGACCTGTCGGTCTTCAGTCCTGCTGACACAGGGGTTTAACCCACTGCGCCACCGGGGGCTCCTGTGTGATCAGTCTATTGAAAAGGTCCTCCTGGTTTCCATGGCACATCATTGTCAAGAGAACCCGAGAGCATTCAACTTGTCCCTGCTTCTGGAAAGATGTAAGCAGCCAGGGGACCCAGCAAGCAGATACCTTATGCAGGTGAAAATGGTCTTGGGTGATTTTTTCCACAGACCCCACACTCATCGTGACATTTTGGGCTAGGTGGAGAATGGTTACACGGCAATTTTCCAAAATGGCAACTTCCACTTGCTGAGTGGTGTGTTCCTCATTAGCCGAGTGAGGTTGCCCTGGAATTGGAGCTGTTTCCACCGAAGTCCGACCACATAGAGAGACATATGTGCAGTTTCAGCGTCCTGTGATAAATAGAAGTGGGTCATGGGAAATCTTTAATGAACACCCCTCGTACATTGGCATTGGTGCATTTCCATGTAAATGAAGACCATTAATAATAATGATGAAGTTATAATGTTGCTTTGAGTCTCCTTGTGGGTATGAATAATGGGTTGTTGTGGCTTTTTTCGGGCTATATGGCCATGTTCTAGAGGCATTTCTTCTGACGTTTTGCCTGCATCTATGGCAAGCATCCTCAGAGGTTCTGAGGATGCTTACCATAGATGCAGGTGAAACATCTCTAGAACATGGCCATATAGCCCGAAAAAGCCTACAACAACCCAGTGATTCCGGCCATGAAAGCCTTCGATAATACATTAAACACCATAATAATAATCAAGAGGAAGGAAGCCCCCCCCCCCCCCCCCCCGATGGTAAACCCGCTTCTCTTTTGCAGGCATTGACTTCAAGATCAGGACAATTGACCTCGATGGGAAAAAGATCAAACTCCAGATCTGGTACACATCCGATTTCATACGATTCTAAGGTTGGGTGGGGACCCCCAAAGGCCACCTAGTCCAACCTCTTCTTTCCACCCGGCAGGGAAAACACAACCCGATCCCTCCTGGCAGCTGGCCACCCAGCCTCTGATTCAAAGCCTATAGCGAAAGAGGCTCACACAGGCTCCCAGGCAGAATAGGTGACTGTCCAGCTTCCTGCAGCTTAGGATCACATTGGCCTTTTTTGCTGCTTCAGCACACTCTTGGCTCATGTTCAGTTGCGTTTATTACTATTGTCAAGCCATTGCTTTATTACTTTCCTTTGTCTGGATACTTGACTCTTATTTGTCTATCTGTCTATCTCCCCATCCATCCAGCAATACATGTCTCTCTATAAACCTCATCACACTAGATAATGAATTCACTTTAAATCCGGTTTCTGCCTCCTGCAGAACTCTGGGGTTTGTGGTTTAGTGAGGCTGTTAAATGGTCCTCCCAGAACTGCAAATCCCAGAATTCTGCAGGAGGCAGAAACCAGGTTTAAAGTGGATTCATTCTCTAGTGCAGGGGTAGGGAACCTTTGGCCCTCCAGCTGTGGTGGACTTCTTCAACTCCCACAATTCCTTGAGGCTCGGCATTCGCCCCAAAGGCTTACCTTGGCCCAATGCCGAGCCTCAAGGAATTGTGGGAGTTGAAGTCCACCACAGCTGGAGGGCCAAAGGTTCCCTACCCCTGCTCTAGTGTGATAAAGTAGTATCTCTTCACCTGTGTCTTTATCTAGCTATCTCTATCTCCCTGTCCATCCACCCACCAATACAAGTTTCTGTCTATATCTATATAAATAAAAATGTAATGTTTGTTTGTGGGATTAACATAACTCAAAAACCACTGGACGAATTGACACCAAATTTGGACACAAGATACCTATCAGGCCAACGAGTGACCATCACTCATAAAACACTAAAAAACACAGCAGAAGAGACTTAAAAAGCCAAAAAAGCAAAAAGACGCTATGGCGCATGTGCAAAAATGACTCCCCCGGCAAACAAAACACACAATAGCATATTCACACTTTCTTCTGGACTACAGCTCCCAGCATCCCCTAGACCAGGCCCTTTAGGAGAGGAGGATGATCCAAATGCACTGCTTCCAAGCTGCAAGCTTTCTTCTCCTTGGATTTCTTTGAGAGCATCCCAATCCATACATATTTCCAATTTCCTATTCCTGGACTGCAACATCCAGCAATCCTCCAGTTAGATAGAGTATATGGAGATAGGTAAGTAGGTAGATCAATCAGGAGGACTGCTGGGAGTTGCAGTCCAAGAATAGGTAGAGAAGGAAGAAAGGGGAGAAAGAGGAAGGGAAAGAAAAGGGGGGGGAGGGTAGAAAGGGAAGAGGAATAGAAGGAAGGAAGGAAAGAGAAGGAAAGAAAAAAGGGAAGGAAGGAAAGAGAGCAAAGGAACGAGAGAAAGAAAGAAAAAGGAAGGTTGGCCACAGCAACCAGGTACAGCTAGTGTGTGTATGTATGTGTGTGTGTGTGTGCGCGTGTGTATGTATACACACACACACACACACACACACATATATATACACACACACACACACACATACTAGCTGTCCCCTGCCACACGTTGCTGTGGCCCAGTCTGGTGATCTTGAAAATAAAGTATTGAGAAAGTGTTGGTTTCTAATATATGTAATGTCTTTATACTTGAGGGTAAACAGTACTTCTTTCTTTGTCAGTGTTGATGTAGAGATTGTTTGGTTTGTCTACTTTGCAACATGGAACATGTTATTGTCCTTCTTTAGGGGTCCCTTTCAAATCTATATCTATCATATACATATGTGTGTGAATCATACATATCAATCTATATCTATGGCTGGATGGCTCTCTGTCAGGAGGGCTTTGATTGTATTTTCTTGCCCTGGTGAAGGGAGGTGGACTGGATGGCCTTTAGGCAGCATTTCTCAACCTGGGGGTCGGGACCCCTGGGAGGGTTGGGGGGGGGGCAGAAGGGTTGCCAAAGACCAACAGAAAATACTGCATTTTATGTTGGTTTTGGGGGTCCTGTGTGCCAAGTTTGGTTCAATTCCATCGTTGGTGCAGTTCAAAATGCTCTTTGATTATAGGTGAACTATAAATCCCAGCAACTACAACTCCAAAATGACAGAATCGTAATGACAGAAAGGCCACTCCTTGTGTTGTGAGACGTTTTGTTAGCGGTGGTTTACAGTATCATAAGCCACTGATAGGTCTATGAAGACAGCTCCTGTGATCTGCTGCCTTTCAAAGCCATCTTCTATGTGCTGAGTCAGGTTCAGCACTTACGATGTGCAGCTTTTGCCTTTCCTGAAGCCAGCTTGCTGTGGAATCAGACATGGGTCTGATTTGTCAAGTGATTTTTGAGTTATGTTAATCTCACAAATGAACATTACATTTTCATTTATATAGATGTATATCTTCACCTGAGTCTTTCTCTATCTATCTATCTCCCCATCATCCATCCATCCACCAATATATTTCTCTTTCTATCTCTCCAATTCTTTGCCTGTGTCTATCTCCCCATCCATTCATTTATCAATGCATTTCTCTCTATCTGTCTCTTCACCTGTGTCTTTATCTGTCTATCTGTCTCCCCATCCATCCATCCATTTCTCTTTCTCTACATCTGCGTTTCTATCTATCTATCCATCTCCTCATCCATCCAATAGATGAAACTCTCATTTCTCTCTTTTTATCTCCAATTCTTCGCATGTGTCTTTATCTATCTACCTCCCCATCCATCCACCAATACATTTCTCTTCTCCCTCTCTCTGTCTCTTCACCTATATCTCTATCTCTCTATCTCTCTATTTATCTCTCTATCTCCCCACCCATCTATCCCTCAATGCGCCAACACATTGGCATTACAGGGCTGTGCAAGACCAATCAGAATAGGGAAGCATGGGTGTTCTATTTATGTAATCCTAAATACATAATAATTATTTTATTTATTTATCTAAAACATTTATATTCTGCCCTTCTCACCCCAAAGGGGGCTCAGGGTGGGGCACAACATATATACGGCAAACATTCAATGCCGGGACAAGAATTCATATGAATATGCATAAACATTAAAAACATTCATCAAAATATTAAAATGCACTGTTTAAAACTATCTTGGTCATCTGCATCAAATCTAAATTGGCCTGGGAAAATTTCCTATTGCTGCCTTATTGCCCTGTCCCGAAAGCTTGGTCCCACCGTCAAGTTTTTACCCTCTTTTTGAAGGGCAGGAAGGAGGGATCTGATCTCACCAGGAAGGGAGTTCCATAGGCGGGGGGGGGGGGGGGGGGCAATCACCGAGAAGGCCCTGTCTCTCATCCCCACCAATCGCGCCTGTGACAATGGCGGGACGGAGAGCAGGGCCTCCCCGGAGGATCTTAATCTCCACGATGGTTCATAGGGGGAGATGCATTTGGACTTTATAGGCCAAAGCCAGCACTTTGAATTGTGCCCAGTAGCAAACTGGCAGCCAGTGGAGCTGGCGTAACATGGGAGTTGTGTGCTCCCTATATGCCACCCCAGTTATTAACCTGGCTGCCTCTCGTTGGACTATTTGAAGCTTCTGAGCAGTCTTCAAAGGCAACCCCACATAGAGTGCGTTGCAGTAGTCTTATCCTGGATGCGTGTTGGGCATGGCATTGGGTTCCATTGCATGGCGTACAATGGCAATAACACCACCACTCTCTTCTCTTCCATGCTGTTCTGCCCTTGCAGGGACACGGCTGGGCAGGAGCGCTTCCGGACCATCACCACGGCATATTACCGAGGAGCCATGGTGGGTGCAGTGCTTCCTATGGGATCCCCTTCTGCTCCGCGTTGACTTGTTTTTCTCCCCATATTCCCCACATCCCTCACATTCCCCTCCTGCAAGGGCAACTTTTTAAAAGTCAGCTTCAGAATATTGTAACAGAAGCAATCTACAAAATTGGAGGTGCAATAAGGAAACTGGGACTTATATATACATTTATGGGTGGGAATGTGAAAAAAGATACATAATAAAAATCCATCATTGTTTGGGTTCATAGTGCACTCTGAATGTAGGTGCACTCTCGATGTAGGTGAACTACAACTCCTATAAATTTATTTACTTACTAGCTGTCCCCTGTCACGCGTTGCTGTGGCCCAGTCTGGTGATCTGGAAAATAAAGTAATGAGAAAGTATTGGTTTCTAATATATGTAATTCCTTTATGCTTGTGAGTGAAAAGTATTTCTTGTTGTTTCTTTGTCAGTGTTGATGTGGAGATTGTCTGGTTTGCCTACTCTGGAATATGCAACATATCATAGTCCTTCTTTAAGGGTCTCTTTCAAATCTATGATACTATATCTCTCTCTGTGTGTGAATCATATCTATCTATCTATATCTATGGCCGGATGGCTCTTTGTCAGGAGGGCTCTGATTACATTTTCTTGCCCTGGTGAAGAGAGTTGGACTGGATGGCCTTAAGTATTTTCTGTTGGTCATGGGGGTTCTGTGTGGGAAGTTTGCCCTATTTCTGTCGTTTGTGGGTTTCAAAATGCTCTTTAATTGTAGTGAACTATAAATCCCAAATGTCAAAGTCTATTTCCTCGAGACTCCATCTGTGTTCATATTTAGGCATATGGAATTTTTGTGTCAAGTTTGGTCCAGATCCATCATTGTTTGAGTCCACAGTGCTCTCTGGATGTAGGTGAACTACAACTCCCAAACTCAAGGATCAATGCCCACCAAACCCTTCCAGTGTGTTCTGTTGGTCATGGGAGTCCTGTATGCCATGTTTGGTTGAATTCCATCATTGGTGGAGTTCAGAATGCTCTTTGATTGTAGGTGAACTATAAATCCCAGCAACTACAACTCCCAAATGTCAAGGTCTATTTCCCTTAAACTCCATCTGTGTTCATATTTGGGCATATGGAATATTCGTGCCAAGTTTGGTCCAGATCCATCATTGTTTGAGTCCACAGTGCTCTCTGGATGTGGGTGAACTATAATTCCCAAACTCAAGGTCAATGTCCACCAAACCTTTCCAGTTTTTTCTGTTGGTCATGGGAGCCCTGTGTGCTAAGTTTGGCCCAATTCAATCATTGGTGGAGTTCAGAATGCTCTTTGATTATAGGTAAACTATAAATCCCAGCAACGACAATTCCCAAATGACAAAATCAATTTTTTTGAGTGGAGGACATAAATTGGACTGTTAGGTGTCTTGTGTCCAAATTTGGTGTCAATTCCCCCAGTGGTTTTTGAGTTCTGATGGTAGCACGAACTAACATTACATTTTTATTTATATAGATATAAAAATGCTCTGTGCATAATGAGTACCTTAAAAACAAAAGAACCAATGAACGAAATCACACCAAATTTTGCAACAAAACGTCTCACAACACAAGGAGTGACCATCACTCAAAAATATGATTTTGTCATTTGGGAGTTGTAGTTGCTGGGATTTATAGTTCACCTACAATCAAAGAGCATTCTGAACTCCATCAACGATGGAATTGAACCAAACTTGGCACACAGGACTCCCTTGACCAACAGAAAATACTGGAGCTTGTCTGTATAAGTGGTCACCCCAGCCACACACACATACATATTTTCACTTTTATTATGTGTATAGATGAATAAATTTGCATTATTTATTTATTATGAATCCATCACCCTTTTCCCCTTCCTCCTCGGCAGGGCATCATGCTGGTATATGACATCACCAACGAGAAGTCCTTTGAAAACATCCGGAACTGGGTCCGAAACATCGAAGAGGTTCAATAATAATAATAATATACTTTATTTATTTATTCTGCCCTATCTCCCTGAGGAGACTCAGGGCAAATCACAGAACACATACACAGCAAACATTCAATGCCATTGAAACAGACAGAACAAACAGACAGATAGAGCTATGTTGTGTCGGCATCCAACTCCGGCGCGCTGGAGGTTGTGCTGAATTCTGGCCACAGGGGGTTGCTGTCGCTCCATCACAGACTTCCTTCTTCGTTTTGGTTGTTGGCATTTCTGGTACTTCCTTTTATGGTGCTGTATAATACCTCCCCATTTTAAGAGGTACTTATTTTATCTATTGCTGCTGGTGATTTACCAGCTGTGCTACATCCCGGCCCTTAATGCTTCATTTGAATCGTGGGGGAAACACACTCATCCGATCCCTCCCAACAGATGGCCATCCAAGCCTCTTATTTAAAAGCCTCCAGAGAAGGAGATTTCCAGGCAGCGACAGCTCTTAGCATCCTAATGTTGAGGCGGAATCGCTATGTATTACAATCTATTATTATTATTAATAATATGTTTATTTATATCTCACTTTTTCTCACCACAAGTTGATTTAAAGCAGCTATGTATGTATTATTAGTATTAGAATTTATTATTATTATTATTATTAATACCCTGCTTTTTCTCTCCACAAGGAGACTCAAAGCAGTTATGTATGTATTATTAGTATTAGATTATTATTATTATTATTATGTTTATTTATATCTTACTTTTTCTCACCACAAGTTGATTCAAAGCAGCTATGTATGTATTATTAGTATTAGATTATTATTATTATTATTATTATGTTTATTATTATTATTATTATTATTATTATTTATACCCTGCTTTTTCTCTCCACAAGGAGACTCAAAGCAGCTATGTATGTATTATTGGTATTAGAATATATTATTATTATTATTATTATTATTATTATTATTATTATTATTGTTAATACCCTGCTTTTTCTCTCCACAAGGAGACTCAAAGCAGCTATGTATGTACTATTGGTATTAGAATATATTAATAATAATAATAATAATAATAATAATAATAATAATACCCTGTTTTTTCTCTCCACAAGGAGACTCAAAGCAGCTATGTATGTATTATTGGTATTAGAATTTATTATTATTATTATTAATAATAATAATAATAATAATAATAATACCCTGCTTTTTCTCTCCACAAGGAGACTCAAAGCAGCTATGTATGTATTATTAGTATTAGATTATTATTATTATTATTATTATTATTATAATTATTATTTATACCCTGCTTTTTCTCTCCACAAGGAGACTCAAAGCAGCTATGTATGTATTATTAGTATTCGAATTGATTATTATTATTATTATTATTATTATTATTATTATTTATACCCTGCTTTTTCTCTCCACAAGGAGACTCAAAACAGCTATGTCCCCCTTATTAGAATGCCTAGGCTAAGGCTCCTTTCCTTCTTCCGGCCATCCTGCGCCCGGTTTTTTATTACTGACTTCACTTCTTCCTCTTCCTTTTGCGCAGCACGCCTCTCCAGACGTTGAGAAGATGATCCTCGGAAACAAGTGTGACATGAACCACAAGCGGCAAGTGACTCGAGAGCAAGGAGAAAAGGTGAGGAGTTTCAGGGTGACTGACCTTGCATTCTGGGAGTTGTAGTTCACCTTTATCCAGAGAGCACTGAACCCAGCCAATGGCGGATCTGGACCAAACTTGGCACACAGACCCAAGATGGCCAACTGTGAGTACAGTCGGGGTTTGGGGAGGATTGACTCACAATTCTGGGAGTTGTAGTTCACTCACATCCTTATGCATTTTCTAATGGCAACATTCATTAAAAATAGAACCAAACACTGATTTTTTCCTAATATATAGCGTTACAGATTACCTAACTGATATTACCTAGCATCCAAAAACAAACAATGCCTTTTTCAAATAATCTAGAAATTGACGGGTACACAAGCTGGTATATAATAATAATAATAATAATAATAATAATAATAATAATAATGGATACATAGCTGCTTTGAGTCTCTTCGTGGAGACTATAAATAAACATAATAATAGTAATAATAATAATAATAATAATAATAATAATAATAATTAGCCATCCCCTGCCTTGCGTTGCTGTGGCCCACTCTGGTGGTCATGAGAGTTCTGTGTGGGAGGTTTGACCCAATTCTATAGTTGGTGGGATTCAGAATGCTCTGTGATTTTGGGAGAACTACAAATCCCAGCAACTACAACTCCCAAATGTCAAGATTCTATTTTCCCCAAACTCCATCAGTGTTCACATTTGGGCATGTTGAGTATTCATGTAGAGTTTGGTCCAGATCCATCATTGTTTGAGCCCACAGTGTTCTCTGGATGTAGGTGAACTACAACTCCAAAACCAAAGGACACTGCCCACCAAACCCTTCCAGTATTTTCTGTTGGTCATGGGAGAACTGTGTGCCAAGTTTGGTTCAATTCCATCGTTGGTGGGGTTCAGAATGCTCTTTGATTGTAGGTGAACTATAAATCCCAGCAACTACAACTCCCAAATGACAAAATAAAAAAAATTGAGTGAAGGACATAAATTGGGTTGTTAGGTGTATCGTGTCCAAATTTTGGTGTCAATTCCCCCAGTGGTTTTTGAGTTCTGTGAATATCACAAACGAACATTACATTTTTATTTATATAGATAGTAATAATAATAATACGACTTTCACACACCTCTAACCCAAGAACTCTCCTGTTTGTTTAGCTGGCCAACAGCTTTGGAGTGAAGTTCATGGAGACAAGTGCAAAAGCAAACATCAATGTGGAAAATGTAAGTGTAATCAGGGTTGTATGATGCCGTGACCCTCCTTGAGCCACGAGGAGAGGTGGGTCACATCATGAATAGTATGATGATTACTATTATACTATTTGGGCTCTCTTTGGTCGATGGAAAGTTCAGAAACGACACACGAGGGGCAGCTTGTTGCAAAGAAGCATTCTCACAACCTTCTGAATGTGTTTATACGTCTCGTTTGAACCACAGGCATTTTTTACGCTCGCCAGGGATATCAAGACCAAAATGGACCGAAAACTGGTGAGTTGGCAGTCATTTCATGCCGACGTTTTAAGCTGTGTTTTGGAAATTAGATTATTATTATTATTATTATTATTATTATTATTATTATTATTATTATGCAGAGGCTGGATGGCCATCTGTTGGGAGTGCTTTTCCTGCCTGGAAGAAAACAGAGGGTTGGACTAGATGGTCTTTGGGGGTCTCTTCCAAAAAATTTAGCATGGAAGTGTGGTGGAGGCTCCTTCTTTGGAAGCTTTTAAACAGAGGCTGGATGGCCATCTGTCAGGGGTGATTTGAATGCAATTTCCTGCTTCTTGGCAGGGGGTTGGACTGGATGGCCCATGAGGTCTCTTCCAACTCTTTGATTCTTTGATTCTATTATTATTATTATTATTATTATTATTATTATTATTATTATTATTATTAATAATAATAATATGCAGAGGTTGGGTAGCCTTTGGGGGGACTCTTTGTTATTATTATTATTATTATTTAGAGGCTGGATGGCCCTTGGGGGTCTGTTCTGTCCTTACTTACTTACTTAGGCAAATCCTCGTAGCTTGAGGATGATAGTCCTCCAACTGTAGTGTCTTGGCGGTGGATCCGTAGGCCGCTGTGGAGCCCTATTCTTGATCCGCAGGAAGGGCATCAGTTTCCAAGTAGAAGGCAGTCCCAGTCAGGGTTGGCTTGACACACTTTCCCCTTGGAACATTTCTCCCTCTCGTGCCTCCATTCATCCCTCTTTGAATTCTGCAGCACTGCTGGTCACAGCTGACTTCCAGCTAGAGCGCTCAAGGGCCAGAGCTTCCCAGTTCTTGGTGTCTATGCCACAGTTTTTAAGGCTGGCTTTAAGCCCGTCTTTAAATTTTGTTTCTGTCCACCAACATTACATTTCCCATTCCTGAGTTGGAAGTATGGTAACTGCTTTGGGAGACTATCCTGTTGTTGCTGTTGTTATTTAGAGGCTGGATGACCCTTGGGGTCTCTTCCACCATTATTATTATTATTATTATTATTATTATTATTATTATTATTATTATTATTATTATGCAGAGGCTGGATGGCCTTTGGTGGTCTCTTCCAACTATTACTATTATTATTATTATTATTATTATTATTATTATTATTATTTAGATGCTGGATGACACAGGGGTCTCTTCTATTATAATAATAATTATTATTATTGTTATTATTATGTAGTGGCTGGATGGCCTTTGGGGGTCTCTTCCAACTATTACTATTATTACTATTATTTAGATGCTGGATGACACGAGGGTCTCTTCCATTATTATTATTATTATTATTATTATTATTATTATGCAGAGACTGGATGGTCTTTAGCGGTCTTTTTCAACTATTACTATTATTATTATTATTGTTATTATTATTATTATTATTATTTAGATGCTGGATGACACAAGGGTCTCTTCCATTATTATTATTATTATTATTATTATTATTATTATTATTATTATTATGTAAAGGCTGGATGGCCTTTGGGGGTCTCTTCCAACTATTACTATTATTATTATTCGGATGCTGGATGACACGGGGGTCTCTTCCATTATTATTATTATTATAGGAGCCCCCGGTGGCGCAATGGGTTAAACCCCTGTGCCGGCAGGACTGAAGACCAACAGGTCGCAGGTTCGAATCCAGGGAGAGGCGGATGAGCTCCCTCTATCAGCTCCAGCTCCTCATGTGGGGACGTGAGAGTAGCCTCCCACAAGGATGGTAAAACATCAAATCATCTGGGCATCCCCTGGACAACGTCCTTGCAGACGGCCAATTCTCTCACACCAGAAGCGACCTGCAGTTTCTCAGGTCGCTCCTGACATGACCAAAAATTATTATTATTATTATTATTATTATTATTATTATTATTATTATTATGCAGAGACTGGTCTTTTCCACAATGATGATCATGACGCAGAGACTGGTCTTTTCCACAATGATGATCATGACGCAGAAGCGACCTGCAGTTTCTCAGGTCGCTCCTGACACGACAAAAAATTATTATTATTATTATTATTATTATTATTATTATTATTATGCAGAGACTGGATGGTCTTTAGCAGTCTTTTCCACGATGATGGTAATGATGATGTAATGTAGAGGCTGCATGGGCCTTGGGGTGTCTTTCAACTCTAAAATAATAATAATAATAATAATTATTATTATTATTATTATTATTATTATTATTATTTACTTACAGTATTTGTAGTCCGCTCTTCTTACCCCGACTCAGGGCAGATTACAAAACATAAATATGCGGCAAACATTCAATGCCTTGAGTCGCCGATAGGCTGGGAAAGGCGGTATACAAATACAGTAAATAAATAAATAAATAATTTCTACACTCACAAGATAGACAATTGTACATAGATAGAGGTGTATATATAGGCTTTTCCCATCTTCGGCATCTTGGAGGCTGTGCTCGGTTCCGGCCATGGGGGGGGAGGCGGGTGCTGTCTCCTCTCTCAGGATGTTTCTCTCTTTCCAATCCTTAGGAAGGCAACAGTCCCCAAGGAAGTAGCGGCAGCGGCAGCAGCAGCCAAGGCCTGAAGATCGGCCCCGACCAGCAGCAGAAGAAAGCCAGCTTCTTCCGATGCCTCCTCCTTTGAAGGAGGCACAGCCTTAATGCGGAACGCGCTCGGCCCTCTTCCGGGATTTTCTTTCTCACACACTCTTCTCTCGCCGTCTGGCCCATTGCAATGGAGGGAAGGAATCTGCTTCTGTCTTATCGAGGCGGATTTCCTCTCTCAATCTCTCTCTCTCTTTGAAATTTGCTTGATTAGGTGTCCTCAAATCTCACTGTGATCGGCATATCGCCGAATGATTTCCCTCGACCGAGGGTGTCATCGGAATCATGTTACTTAACTATGATATTCCCCAGTGTAGTTTGCATTGCACAGCGGACAAGCGGGAAGGTGACGGTAGCTGGCGGTAAAAAACACCCCCGACAGATGGCCATCCGGCTCCTGCTCAATAATAAAAATAATAATAATAATATCATTGCACCCACATAGTGATGAAAAGTGTAGACTCTGCAAGGAAACAGATGAAATAATAGATCACGTCCTCAGCTGAAGATCGCGCAGACGGACTACAAGCAGAGGCACAACGCCGTTGCTCAGGTGATCCATTGGAACTTGTGCCACAAACACCATCTGCCTGTAACAAAGAACAGGCGGGATCACAAGCCTGAAAAAGTTACAGAAAACTACTCTGGGACTTCCGAATTCAGACAGACAGAGTTTTGGAGCATAATAATAATAATAATAATAATAATAATAATAATATCATTGCACCCACATAATGATGAAAAGTCTACGACAGATTCTAAGTGTAGACTCTGCAAGGAAACAGATGAAATAATAGATCATGTCCTCAGCTGCTACAAGAAGATTGTGCAGACGGACTACAAGCAGAGGCACAATGCCGTTGCTCAGGTGATCCATTYGAACTTGTGCCACAAACACCATCTGCCTGTAACAAAGAACAGGTGGGATCACAAGCCTGAAAAGGMTACAGAAAACTACTCTYGGACTTCCGAATTCAGACAGACAAAGTTTTGGAGCATAATAATAATAATAATAATAATAATAATAATAATAATAATATCATTGCACTCACATAGTGATGAGAAGTCTATGACAGATTCTAAGTGTAMACTCTGCAAGGAAACAGATGAAATAATAGATCACATCCTCAGCTGCTGCAAGAAGATCGCACAGACGGACTACAAGCAGAGGCACAACGCCGTTCTCAGGTGATCCATTGGACCTTGTGCCACAAACACCATCTGCCTGTAACWAAGAACAGGTGGGATCACAAGCCTGAAAAAGTTACAGAAAATTACTCTGGGACTTCCGAATTCAGACAGACAGAGTTTTGGAGCATAATAATAATAATAATAATAATAATAATAATAATAATAATTTTATTTGTACCCCGCTACCATCTCCCCAAGGGAATCGGTGCGGCTTACATGAGGCCAAGCCCAAAGTACATCAAACAAAATAAACACAACATCAATAAACAATCAATAAAATACAAATCATATAAATCACATAAACAAAAAACAATAGTGACATAAACAATACTCCTGACCTCACGACTGTGGGAAAAAACGAAGTGTGGATCGTCGATATTGCAATCCCAGGTGACAGCAGGATTGACGAGAAGCAACTGGAAAAGCTCACACAGTGTGAGGATTTAAAGATCGAACTGTGCACAAGCCAGTCAAGGGGGTCCCAGTGGTGATCGGCACACTGGGTGCAGGGCCTCAATACCTTGGCCTGTACTTAAAAACAATCGGCACTGACAAAGTCATCACTGGTCAGCTGCAAAAAGCCACCCTACTCAGATCTGCACACATTATTTGCCGATACATCACAAAGTCCTAGACACTTGGGAAGGTTCCGACGTGTGATCAAATACAACAGCCAGCAGAGTGCATTGCTGTGTACTAATCTTGTTATGTATCAAATAATAATAATAATAATAATAATAATAATTGAAATTGGCCTCCAAATGCCATCCAGTCCAGCTGGGAAAGCATAAAGCCCTCCTGACAGATGGCCATCCACCTCCTGCTCAATAATAATAGAACCATAGTTAAGTAACGTGATGATGGCAAGGGGAAGGGTGTGGGAACCTGATTTGGGGGTGGAAAGCACTGGATTTTGTAGCAGATCTCACAAGGAGAAGCCTTCCTTCCTTCTTTCCTTCCTTCCTTCCTTCCTTCCTTCCTTCTTTCTAGACACTCCTGTGACAGAAGTTGCACAACGCCTTGATAATGACAAAAATAAATCTATTTTTGTAGATAAAAACACAGCATTCAGCATCTTTTAACCACGACCCTGATCTGAACCTTTTAGGTATCTCTCTGAGTCAAGGGAGTTCCTAATAAATGAAATCAATATGCTCCCAATAGGAATGGGATTGACAGAATTGATTAAAAAGAAAAGAAACTGTGGAATAATAAAGATTGGGGACCTTTTAAACGCTGACAGAACAAAAATTTAGAAGGGGGTTGACTTACTATTATATATAATATATTATATTGATGAGGGGGCTTATTACTATATTGTTATATATTATTATATTATTACATTATTGTATATTATATATTTACAATATATTGAGGGGGCTTATTCTATTATATTTTATTATTACACTGTTCCCTCACTTATTGTGGGGTTACGTTCCAGGACCACCCACAATAAGTGAAAAACTGTGAAGTAGGGACGTGGACGGTCGTGGACGGCTGATCCACAAGCTACTTATAAGAAGATACGACTGTACTAAACATTTGCACCATATTGTTTGTTGTCGCTGTGAGGTTAACAGTAAAAAGGTAAAGGTAGTCCCCTGACATTAAGTCCAGTCATGTCTGACTCTGGGGTGTGGTGCTCATCTCCATTTCTAAGCCGAAGAGCCAGCGTTGTCCGTAGACACCTCCAAGGTCATATGGCCGGTATGACTGCATGGAGGTTAACAGTGCAGCATGTTTATATACTGTTGTTGAATTAAAAAACTCTAAAATTACAACAGCAAAACAGCAGAGAGGAAACAACCAGGCACATCTGAACACCTCTTCAACAGGGGATTTTCCCAGGCTCTGCCAGGCCTTCAAATGCTAATGAAGGTGGTCAGTTGAAACATTCACACCTAGCTCCAGCAGAGAAGAGTTCCTTGCCCCACCCCAGCCATTCCACAGATATATAAACCCATTGTCCTAATTCCAACAGACCTCACTACCTCTGAGGATGCTTGCCATAGATGCAGGCGAAACGTCAGGAGAAATGCCTCTAGAACATGGCCCTATAGCCCGAAAAAACCCACAAGAACCTAATTATATTATTGTTTATGTTATACAAGTGGTATTTTTGTTGTATGCATTTCATTCAGGAGCCCATTTATATTATAGTACATCCATAGGGATGCCAAGAATCATAGAATCACAGAATCAAAGAGTTGGAAGAGACCTCATGGGCCATCCAGTCCAACCCCATTCTGCCAAGAAGCAGGAATATTGCATTCAAATCACCCCTGACAGATGGCCATCCAGCCTCTGTTTAAAAGCTTCCAAAGAAGGAGCCTCCACCACACTCCGGGGCAGAGAGTTCCACTGCTGAACGGCTCTGACAGTCAGGAAGTTCTTCCTCATGTTCACGTGGAATCTCCTCTCTTGTAGTTTGAAGCCATTGTTCCGCGTCCCAGTCTCCAGGGAAGCAGAAAAGGTGCTTGTTTATAAAGCTATTCCCCTCCCAACCTTGCTATATGCCTGTGAGACGTGGACTGTCTACAGACATCACATGCAACTCCTAGAACGATTTCCTCTGGAAAATCCTGCACATCTCTTGGGAAGACAAGCGGACAAACGTCAACGCGCTGGAAGAAGCAAAGACCACCAGCATTGAAGCAACGGTCCTCCGCCATCAACTCCGCTGGACCGGCCACATTATCCGGATGTGGCCCAACCACCGTCTCCCAAGGCAGTTGCTCTACTCCGAACTCAAGAACGGAAAACGGAATGTTGGTGGACAGGAAAAGAGATTTTAAGATTTATTTATCGTGTCATCAGCAACCATACCATGGTGTTACAATTCTAACAGAACAAAACAAACACACAGATTAAAAAGAAAAAGAAAAAAACACACAGATTTTGCAAACTTGGTAGTTGGTTAAATGTCCTTTGACCAGTATCTGGCCACTTGGAGTGCCTCTGGTGTTGCCGCAAGGAGGTCCTCCATTGTGCATGTGGCAGGGCTATTGCAGCAGGTGGTCTGAGGTTTGTTCTTCTCCGCACTCGCATGTTGTGGATTCCACTTTGTAGCCCCATTTCTTAAGATTGGCTCTGCATCTCGTGGTGCCAGAGCGCAGTCTGTTCAGCGCCTTCCAAGTCGCCCAGTCTTCTGTGTGCCCAGGGAGGAGTCTCTCATCTGGTATCACCCATGGATTGAGGTGCTGGGTTTGGGCCTGCCACTTTTGGACTCTCGCTTGCTGGGGTGTTCCAGCGAGTGTCTCTGTAGATCTAAGAAAACTATGTCTTGATTTAAGTCATTGACGTGCTGGCTGATACCCAAACAGGGGATGAGCTGGAGATGTCTCTGTCATCGCCATCTTGAAGCCAGGCAAAGACCTTAACGACCCAAAAAGCTACAGACCAATCTCCCTGTTGTGCCACATCTACAAAGTTCTGGAGAGACTTATTTTGCATAGAATTATGGAAAATATAGACCCCTGTCTGATCCCACAGCAAGCTGGCTTCAGATGGTCTCCAAGCCAACCTTAAGAACTCTGGCATAGACACTGAGAATGGGGAAGCCCTGGCCTGTGAGTGCTCCAGCTGGAGGTCAGCTGTGACCAGCAGTGCTGCAGAATTCGAAGAGGCACGAATGGAGGGCGAAAGAGAGAAGCGTGCCAAGAGGAAGGCGCGTCAAGCCAACCCCAACTGAGACTGCCTTCCACCTGGAAACCGATGCCCTCACTGTGGGAGAAGATGCAGATCAAGAATAGGGCTCCACTCTGGAGGATTATCCTATTCGGACAATGAGGTAGTAAGTAAGTAAGTAAGTAATATCAACCCACAGCGCCACCGCGTGGAGGGTGATAGAGCTGGACTGGGCGGCCAACTGTGTCCTGATTGGTCCTTGGGAGAAGGCTCTTCCTCTCTGCTTCCAGAGGGGGCGGGGCCTGGTTGCTAGGGGAAGCCACGCCCCCGATGGCTGCTCTTCCTCCCATTGCTCCTCCCGAGTCACCGGAAGTGCTGTCCTGGGCGACGGGAAGTGAAGAGGCCTCTGATGTCGGAGTACGAGTTCGCCCAGCGGGGGCCCCTCCGCCTCAAAGGAGCGGCGGCGGAGAAGCAGCGGTGAGCAGAAGAGTGGAAAGCCACACGGCCTCATCCTCAAGAGAGAGAGATAGAACCGGAAGAGGCCCCAAAAGGGACACCGTCCCAGACAACAGGAAGCTCTTCCTGTCAGGACGTTCTTCTTGGTTTTTGGTTGGCATCGGGAAGAACTTCCTGACTGATCAGCAGTGGAACTCTCTCCCTTTAGTGGAACTCTCTCCCTCCAAAGTCAGCTTCTTTGGAGGCTTTGACACAGAGGCTGGATGGCCATCTGTCGGGGGGGCTTTGTATGCGATTTTCCTGCTGCTTGGCAGAAGGGGGTTGGACTGGATGGCCCACCATAGAATCAGTGTTGGAAAAGACCTCATGGGCCATCCAGTCCAACCCCCTGCCAAGAAGCAGGAATATTGCATTCAGATCACCCCTGACAGATGGCCATCCAGCCTCTGCTTAAAATCTTCCAAAGAAGGAGCCTCCACCACACTCCGGGGCAGAGAGTTCCACTGCTGAACGACAGTTCCACTGCTAATAATTTTGGAAGAGACCCCCAAAGACCATCTAGTCCAGTGGTTCTCAACCTGGGGTCCCCAGATGTTTTTGGCCTACAACTCCCAGAAATCCCAGTCAGTTTACCAGCTGTTAGGATTTCTGGGAGTTGAAGGCCAAAAACATCTGGGGACCCCAGGTTGAGAACCACTGATCTAGTCCAACCCTCTGTTTTCTTCCAGGCAGGAAAAGCACTCCCAACAGATGGCCATCCAGCCTCTGCATAATCATCATCATAATCATCATCTAATTTCCAAAACACAGCTTAAAACGTCGGCACAAAATGGCTGCCATTTCGTTCCACTGCTGAACAGCTCTCAGTCAGGAAGTTCTTCCTAATGTTCAGATGGAATCTCCTTTCTTGTAGTTTGAAGCCATTGTTCCGCGTCCTAGTCTCCAAGGAAGCAGAAAACAAGCTTGCTCCCTCCTCCCTGTGGCTTCCTCTCACATATTTATACATGGCTATCATATCTCCTCTCATCCTTCTCTTCTTCAGGCTAAACATGCCCAGCTCTTTAAGCCGCTCCTCATAGGACTTGTTCTGCAGACCCTTGATCATTTTAGTCGCTCTCCTCTGGACACATTCCAGCTTGTCAATATCTCTCTTCAGTTGTGGTGCCCAGAATTGGACACAATATTCCAGGTGTGGTCTAACCAAGGCAAAATAGAGGGGTAGCATGACTTCCCTGGATCTAGACACTATGCTCCTATTAATGCAGGCCAAAATCCCATGGGCTTTGTTTGCTGCCACATCACATTGTTGGCTCATGTTTAATTTGTTGTCCACGAGGATTCCAAGATCTTTTTCACACGTACTGCTCTCAAGCCAGGTCTCTTCCAACTCTAGGATTCTATTGGAACCAATAGATAATGATGTATAAATATGTGAGAGGAAGCCACAGGGAGGAGGGAGCAAGCTTGTTTTCTGCTTCCCTGGAGACTAGGACGCAATGGAACAATGGCTCAACTACAAGAGAGGAGATTCCATCTGAACATGAGGAAGAACTTCCTGACTGTGAGAGCCGTTCAGCAGTGGAACTCTCTGCCCCGGAGTGTGGTGGAGGCTCCTTCTTTGGAAGCTTTTAAACAGAGGCTGGATGGCCATCTGTCAGGGGTGATTTGAATGCAATATTCCTGCTTCTTGGCAGAATGGGGTTGGACTGGATGGCCCATGAGGTCTCTTCCAACTCTTTGATTCTATGATTCTAGTGGAACTCTCTCCCTCCAAAGCCTCCTTCTCTGGAGGCTTTGACACAGAGGCTGGATGGCCATCTGTCGGGGGGGCTTTGTATGCAATTTTCCTGCTGCTTCGCAGAAGGGGGTTTGGACTGGATGGCCCACCATAGAATCAAAGAGTTGGAAGAGACCTCATGGGCCATCCAGTCCAACACCCTGCCAAGAAGCAGGAATATTGCATTCAAAGCACCCCTGACAGATGGCCATCCAGCCTCTGTTTAAAAGCTTCCAAAGAAGGAGCCTCCACCACACTCCGGGGCAGAGAGTTCCACTGCTGAACGGCTCTCACAGTCAGGAAGTTCCTCCTCATGTTCAGATGGAATCTCCTCTCTTGTAGTTTGAAGCCATTGTTCCGCATCCTAGTCTCCAAGGAAGCAGAAAACAAGCTTGCTCCCTCCTCCCTGTGGCTTATATAATATGTTGTTTATTCATTCAGTCGTCTCCGACTCTTCGTGACCTCATGGACCAGCCCACGCCAGAGCTCCCTGTCGGCCGTCAACACCCCCAGCTCCTTCAAGGTCAGTCCAGTCACTTCAAGGATGCCATCCATCCATCTTGCCCTTGGTCGGCCCCTCTTCCTTTTGCCTTCCACTTTCCCCAGCATAATTGTCTTCTCTAGGCTTTGCTGTCTCCTCATGATGTGGCCAAAGTACTTCAACTTTGTCTCTAGTATCTTTCCCTCCAGTGAGCAGTCGGGGTTTATTTCCTGGAGGATGGACTGGTTGGATCTTCTCGCAGTCCAAGGCACTCTCAGAACTTTCCTCCAACACCACAGCTCAAAAGCATCGATCTTCCTTCGCTCAGCCTTCCCTAAGGTCCAGCTCTCACATCCGTAGGTTACTACAGGGAATACCATGGCTTTGACTAGGCGGATCTTTGTTGCCAGTCTGAGGTCTCTACTCTTTACTATTTTATCGAGACTGGACATTGCTCTCCTCCCAAGAAGTAAGCGTCTTCTGATTTCCTGGCCACAGTCTGCATCTGCAGTAATCTTTGCGCCTAGAAATACAAAGTCTGTCACTATTATAATAAATCATAATAGTATAATATATTAGTTGAAACATTCACACCTAGCTCCAGCAGACAAAAGTCCTTTGTCCCACCCTGGTCATTCCACAGATATATAAACCCTTTTTCCTAGTTCCAACAGACCTCACTACCTCTGAGGATGCTTGCCATAGATGTAGGCGAAACATCAGGAGAAAATGTCTCCAGAACATGGCCATATAGCCCGGAAAAACCTACAACCTATTATATAATATATTGTAATAGATCATAATAAATATAATAAATCTATTATAACATTATCATACAATAATATAATGATAATACATAATTTATTATATTATGATTTATCACAACAAATGTATTATAAATTTATAATATATAATTAAATTGTTATATAATAAATTATAATAGTATAATAAATGTATTAGAATTTGTTAATTTCTTGGCTGGGAAGAGAACTGAGTGGTTTGCCTTTTTGCAGGAAAAAGAGGAAGAGGAAGAAGGCCGATGAAGCAGGGAAGGAAGAGGAAGGGGGCGCGATGGTGGAGAAAGGGGTGAGCAGCAAGAAGCCCGACGAAGAGGAGAAAGAGGAGAAGCGGGCCCTGGACAAGCGCACCCCAGCCCAGCTGGCCTATGAGAAGATCCAGGAGAAGCGGGTGAGTGAGACCTAGCAGCCGCCTTGAGGCTCCTTGCTCAGAGAAAAAGCACAATAAACACAATAATAATAAAGCTAATAATAATAACACTAATAATAATAATAATAATAATGCTGACACGATATGAGGATTTAAAGTTCGAATTGCAAAGACTCTGGCACAAACAAGTAAAGGTGGTCCCAGTGCCTAAAGACCTTGGCCTGCACTTAAACACAACATGTGATCCAATAAAACAGCCAGCAGAGTGATCTTGTCTGTGTTGAGAATATATGTGTGTGTTTAGATTAACCGTATTGTAGTTTTCAAAGTTAGTGATTGTGTGCTTAGAAATGTGATGCTTTGTAATGCAATGTGCCGGAGATTGTAATTCCTGTGTGGAAAGGGTTAACTGTATCATGAAGGAGTTGTTGTAAATCTCAGTGCGGAAAGTGTTGCGTCGTACGTCATCACGTCACTGTGGAATGTAAGGAAGTGCCTGATTCTAGATAACGAAAAGCCAAACCATGGGATAAGAAACGCTTGAGATGTTTCTTGTTCTGCTTAGTTTCTAGTGTAAATATTGTTTAGTTTTAAATAAAGTAGTTTTTAGACAAGAAGATGTGTTTCAGTGCCTAATGTGTGCTGAGATCGTCGCCATTTCATTGACAGTTTGCTGTCGACTCATCTTGTTGTGTTTCTAATAATAATAATAATAATAATAATAATAATAATAATAATAATGTGACTCTCAGGAACTGAAGCAACTGGTCGTCTCAAGCAACCAGCCAACAATTTTTTTTTGGTATCAGGAGAAACTACAAGTATCTTCTGGTGTAAGAAAATTGGCTGTTTTCAAGGTTTCCCAGGATGTATTACCATCCTATGGGAGGCTTCGATCATGTCCCTGCATGAGAAGCTGGAGTTAGCAGATGGGAGCTCACCCCACTCCCTGGATTTGAACCGCAGACCTTTTGGTCAGCAGTCCTGTCAGCGCAAGGCTTTAAGCCACGGGGGGCTCCCAACAAAATAATAATAATAATGACTTGGGAGAGACCCTAAAGGCCATCCAATCCAACCCCTACCTGCCATGATGGGAGACACAGTCCAAGCCCTCCCGACAGATGGCCATCCAACCAGATATATTAGATATGATTCAGACATAGATAATATAGGTACATCATGGAATCGCCTTGCCTTACCTCTTTTTCTCCTCTCCCACAGCAAATTGAGCGCATCCTGAAGAAAGCCTCCAAAACCCACAAGCAGAGAGTCGAGGTGAGTCGATATTCAGGGTCAGGTTGCCGGCAAAACTGTCTGCAATAAAACTTGACCTGGTTGTTTCGTTTCATGTCTGCATGCTGTTGGGTTTATGGGAATATGGCGGACTTCTCCTTTTCTTTTTCCTCCCCTCCTCCTCCTTTCCTTCCCCTTCTTCACCTTATCCCTCTTCTATTCTTCTCCCCCCCCCCTCCTCTTAATTTTCTGCTTCTGAGGGGTGAGAAGGGCGGGGTATCAATATTGTAAATCAACCTTCTTCCTCTTCTTGTCTCCTCCTCTTTCCTCTTCTTCTCTTCCTTCTTTTCTTCCCTCTTCTTATTTTCCCTCTATTCTTCTTCCCCCCTTCTCTTTATTTTTCCATCTTCTTCCCTCCCATTCCTGCCTTCTCTTCTTCCTCTCATTCTTTTTTCTTCCCTCTTATGCATCTTATCCCTTTATTCTTCTTCCCCTTCTCCTTCTCTTAATTTTCTGCCTTTTTCCTCCTCCTCTTGTCTTCTCCAACTCGTTTCCTCTCCTCTTTTCTTCCCAATCTTCTTCACCATATCCCTTCTTCCCCTCCTCATTTTTCTACCTCCTTCTTCCTCTTCCCCTGAAATCATCTTTTCCTTTCTCTTCTTCCCCTCCTCCGTCTTATTTTTCCACCTTCTTCCTCCTCTCCTCTTCTCCCTCTCTTGCTTCTCTCCTCCTCCTCCTCCTTCTTCCCTATTCTTCTTTTCCCTTATTCTTCTTCCCCTCCTCTGATTTTTCCATCTTCTTCCCTCCCATTCCTGCCTTCTTCTTCTCTCTTTTGTCCTTTTTTCTTCCCTCTTCTCCTTTTCCCTCTATTCTTCTTCTCCTCTTTCTCTTATTTTTCTGTCTACTTCCTCCTCCCCTCTTCTCCTCTTATTCTTCCCTCTAAATATCTCTCCTCTTCAACATCCGTCTTCTCTTCTTCCCTCCAATTTCTGCCTTACTCTTCTCCCTCTCCCCAAAAGCTTTATTTATTTATTATTTACGGCATTTATATGCCGCCCTTCTCACCCCGAAGGGGACTCAGAGCGGCTTCCAATATATATTTTCGTACAATATATTATATTATTAGCATAGTACAATATCAGTATTATATATTACTATATTGCACTATATCATTATATTGTAATATTATTAGTAATATTACATGTAATGTAAATACGAGGGGTATTTTTAAAGTAAGGTCCGTTTTGTTGTAGACACTAGTAGTTCGCGCGCATACCGCAACGAACGCATGCGTCGTGTACCGGCATGCCTCGGGAACAACTGTGCTCAGTTTCCACTCTGTAGCTAACCTGTACGGTTCTGTTCTGTGCTTTAAAAATGTTTAAGACTATCAACTCACCCGCCGCATGTGAGGTTCGCTCAGTGATACGGTTTTTGTCAGCAAGGAACCTGCCTGCTGCAGAAATTCATCGACAGATTTGTGAAGTGTACGGTGATACTGTTATGAGTGAAAGCAAAGTGCGCAAGTGGGTACGACAATTCAAAGATGGCCGTGACAACGTCCATGATGAGGACCGCTCCGGTCGCCCTTCTTTGATTACAGACGATTTGGTGGCTTCAGTTGAAGCGAGGATTCGTGAGAACAGGCGCTTCACAATAACAGGTCTCTCAAACGAATTTCCTGACGTGTCGAGATCAGTGCTTTACAACATTGTTTCTGGACACCTAAAGTTTAGGAAACTGTGCTCCCGTTGGGTCCCATGAAAACGGCAGTGAACTCTTGGTTATCGGAGCAGGCGGCAAGTTTTTATGAAGAGGGTATTTTAAAATTGATTCAGAGGTATGATAAGTGTTTGAACAAACTTGGCAACTATGTCGAAAAATAGAGTGAAGTATGTACTTTCTAAAAATAAATGTACTCTTTTGAAATAAACTTTCGTTGTGTACTTATGTTCCAACGGACCTTACTTAAAAAATACCCCTCATATTATATGTATATACAAAATACTATATTATATTATTAGTAAAGACAAGATGGAAATGTCTTCTGCTCCCCTCTGTCTTCGCTCTGGCCAGTTAATAATAATAATAATAATAATAATAATAATAATAATAATAATAATAATAATAAAAAACCTTTATTTGTAGCCCGCTACCATCTCCCGAAGGACTCGGTGTGGCTTACAAGAGGCCGAGCCCAAATACAACAGTAAAAACAGCAGCAACAACAACACAATAACTCAAAAAACAAAGCAATAGCAAAGAATAGCAATACATTAACAACATCCAATGACGCAATTAAAAATAATGGCCGGGCTAAATGTAATAATTAAAATTAAAATTGCTGGGCATGACAAGGTGGGGTTTTTGGAGGGGGGTGGGCATGCAAATACCCTGGATCTCTAATAAAGTGCATTGGGACATAATGCTAGGAGTTTCCTTATTCTGGAAAGGTATACTGGAACAACCATGTTTTCAAGCTCCTAAAGATTGCTAGCGACGGGGCCTGCCTGATGTCCTTAGGGAGAGAGTTCCAGAGTCGAGGGGCCACCACCGAGAAGGCGTTATCCCTCGTTCCCCCCAGTCGCGCCTGCGATGCCGGTGGGATCGTCAGCAGGGCCTCTCCAAACGAAGAGATCGTGTGGGTTCGTACACAGAGATGTGGTCACGCAGGTAGGCAGGTCCCAACCTGTTTAGGGCTTTGTAGGTAAGCACCTGCACCTTGAATTGGGACCGGAAAATGAAAGGCAGCCAGTGGAGCTCCTTAAACATGAGGGTTGACCTCTCCCTGTAAGGAGCACCAGTTAACAACCTGGCCGCCGCCCGTTGGACCAATTGAAATTTCCAGGCCGTTTTCAAAGGCAGCCCCACGTAGAGTGCATTACAGTAGTCCAACCTGGAAGTAACTAAGGCGTGGACCACCCTGGCCAGATCCGCCTTCACGAGGTACAGTCGCAGTTGGCGCACGAGTCTTAGTTGTGCGAAGGCCCTCCCAGCCACCACCGATGCCTGAGCTTCAAGCGACAGTGATGAGTCCAGGAGGACACCCAAACTGCGGACCTGTGACTTCAGAGGGAGTGTAACCCCGTCCAGCGCAGGTTGCCACCCTATACCCCGATCCGGTTTACCATTGACCAGGAGGACCTCTGTCTTGTCGGGATTGATCTTCAGCTTGTTCTTCCTCACCCAGACAGCCACAGGGGTCAGACACTCGTCCAGCACCCAAGGGGCTTCCTTGGAGTTAGGTGGAAAAGAATAGTAGAGTTGTGTGTCATCTGCATAGAGATGGCACCCAACTCCAAAACTCCGGATGACCTCTCCCAACGGTTTCATGTAGATGTTGAAGAGCATGGGAGACAGAATGGAACCTTGCGGGACCCTACAGGACAAAGGCCAGGGGTCTGAGCAGGTGTCTCCCAGCTTCACCAACTGGGAACGACCCTCCAGGAAGGAACGGAGCCACGATAGAACCATGCCCCCAAGGCCCATCCCGGAGAGTCGTCCCAGAAGGATACCATGATCGATGGTATCGAAAGCCGCTGAGATGTCCAGGAGAACCAACAGTCACACTCCCCCTGTCCAGTTCTCTGCGGAGGTCATCCACCAAGGCGACCAAAGCCGTCTCGGTGCCTTGGCCAGGTCTGAAGCCAGATTGTGACTGATCCAGGTAGTTGATGTCATCCAGAAACATGCCTTAACTGCTGGAAAGGGGAGTTTGGCCCGAGATCAGGAGCAAAAAAAACCTGCCGTCAAATCAGGTTTGAGCCACACAGCCCACCATCCGCCTTGTAGGCAACCCCTTGAGGTGGTGAGAATATTGCAGCCCTCAAAATGCCCAATTCCTTCCCAATTCAGCACCTTCTTAGGCTCCGCAGCCCCGTAAATTCCCTAAAATATACTTGTGTGGCGGGGTGGGTGTGTTGTTTTGTGGCGTGTGCTGGGGGAAAACATTTAATTTTGTTGTGCAAGAGTACAATGACAGCAAAGTTATTCTGTTCTATTTGGGTCAGGCATGGTTTCCAATATATGTATTGAGTCCCCTTCGGGATGAGAAGGGCGGCATATAAATGTCATAAATAAATAAATATCTGTGTATCAGAAACTATATGGATCAAATCAAGAACTTGTGGCGCTCAAGAACGGAAACCAAAGGAGGCAACTTTCACCGTAATGACTCCAGTGGCTCAGCCTTGCCTGAGTTGGACTCAATCGAACCCCAGGCCACCAAACCATATACTGTTACCCTGTTTACTAGGCATGTGCGATCTCCCCCCCCCCCCCCCGAAAAAAGGGGTTCTAAACTGTGTTCAAAAGTAGGGGGCAATAGCGCTTTGTTTCTAAAGTCCTTTCCAAATTTTGAGGGTAAACGTTTTGAAACTCTACAAAACTTCAGAATCTTCATTGTCGAAGGCTTTCATGACTGGAATCACTGGGTTGCTGTAAGTTCTTCAGGCTATGGCCATGTTCCAGAAGCATTCTCTCCTGATGTTTCTCCTGCATCTATGGCAGGCATCCTCAGAGATTGTGAGGTCAGTTTGAAACTAGGAAAATGGGATTCATATGCCTGTGAAATAATGTCGAGGGTGGGAGAAAGAACTTTTGTCTGTTAGAAGTAGGTGTGAATGTTTCAATTGGCCACCTTGATTAGCATTTAATAGCCTAGCAGTTTCAAGGTCTGGCTTCTTACTGCCTGGGGGAATCCTTTGTTGAGAGGTGATTAGCTGTCCTGGATTGTTTCTTGTCTGGAGTTCCCCAGTTTTTGAGTGTTGCTCTTTATTTACTGTTATGATTTTAGAGTTCGTAAGTGCTTCCTTAATGGCAGACGTGCATGCGCCGTAATAATGATATGGAGAAGTCAAATGAAGCACAGGGATTTCGTTTGACTTTGAAGTACAGAAGTTTCGTTTGACTTCTTCATATCATTATCCTAGCGGGTAAACCCAGGAGTGACTTGCAGGCTAGGTGAGTGATGTTTGAACTTCAAATTACTGTATATACTCGAGTATAAGCCTAGTTTTTCTGCCCCTTTTTTAGGCTGAAAATGCTCCCCTCGGCTTATCCTCGAGTCAAGGTTATTTATTATTTTACACTGTTAATAGTATTATTTTTATTGAATTTATTATTTTACTCTATTTATTATTATTACATTTACATTATTTTACTCTATTGTTATTACCTTTATTATTTTACTTTATCATTATTATTGGTATTATTACATTTACATTGTTTTACTCTATTATTATTACATTTATTATTTTATTATTACATTTCCATTATTTTACTCTATTATTATTATTATATCTCCACTATTTTACTCTATTATTATTATTATTATTATTATTATTATTATTATTATTATTACATTTCCATTATTTTACTCTCTTTATTATTATTGGAAGGATACGTCAGCACATTTACATTGAAGGTTAGAATAATTGTTTAATGAGAGTTGGGCAGTCTTATCTTAAATTACAGTTTTATGTAGATATTCAAAAACATTTAATCTACTGATGCCTCAATTAATCTAATTTTATTGGTATCTATTTTTATTTTGAAATTTACCAGTAGCTGCATTTCCCACTCTCGGCTTATACTCGAGTCAATACGTTTTCCCAGGTTTTTGTGGTAAATTTAGGTGCCTCGGCTTATATTTGGATCAGCTTATACTCGAGTATATACGGTAATCCACACACTGTTTTTAGATATATTGATCTCAAGATACAGGGGTTACTGAAGTCATGCGGATGACGGTGGAAAAGGAATGCTTTGACTGCAATATGGGATTTAATATGGAAGGTAAAACAAACAGAATTCAGAGAGAGAGGGATGCAGGATTCAAAACAATATAAATAATAATGATATGGAGAAGTCCGACGAAACAGACGTTTTAATTTATATCCAAACACAGATTTTGCAAGCTGACATATTGATTATTTGCCACAAACTACAAATCCCAGCTTTTCAGACCCAGTAGCAGCACACTTTAACCCAGGGGTCCTCAAACCTTTTAAACAGAAGGCCAGGTCACAGTCCCTCAAACTGTTGGAGGGCCGGATTATAATTTGAAAAAAATATGAATTCTTATGCACGCTGAACATATCTTATTTGTAGTGCAAAAAAACACTTTAAAACAATACAATAATTAAAATGAAGAACAATTTTAACAAATATAAACTTATTAGCATGGGGACCCGGAGCCGAGGATGAAATGTCCTTCTTGGGATGCGGCCCCATCTTCTCTGTATGCGGCCGCATGCGGCTGTGTGTCATCGAAAATGGCTACACGTGTCAGTGCTGATGCACATGTCATAGGTCCGCCATCATGGAGCTAGAGAGACAATCAGGCTCGGAAGAACGGGGGACAAAGCTTCTTAAGAAAAGCACTCCCCAGAAGGGGGTAGGGAAAAACTATATATAAAAATTTTAGAACACCACCAAGAAGAAGAATGGAAGTCAACTGTGTGTTGGTTTGTTGTTATGTGTGTTGTGTTTTTTCCCCCTTTTTAGTGTTAGTTGTTGGAAATCTTTCCTCTCCCATCGATCCCTACATACCCATACAAACTCCCTACCCCCACTTCCCAATTTTAATCCTTACATTTGGCCCTGCCACAGGTTTTTTAAATGCGTCGTGTCATTATTGTATTGTTTTCCTTTGTTATGAGTTATTTATTGTTGTTTGTTGTTGTTATGTTTTATGGTGTATTTGGGCTCGGCCTCTTGTAAGCCGCACCGAGTCCTGTGGGAGATGGTAGCGGGGTATAAATAAAGGTTTATTATTATTATTACTATCTTTTTCCCATACACTGTATTTGGAAAACTTCAATAACATTTAATTTAATAATAATAATAATAATAATAATAATAATAATAATAATAATAATAATGCTGATTCTGGACATCCATCGACAAGTGGGCTACAGTGATTTTTTAAAT